TACCTAAGGTTCTTTGGGATGCGCGGAGATCCGATCGGCAGCACTGCGTTTATATTGCAGCAATTTCGAATCAATTGAATAGGTTCCACGAACGCGCACAAAGGCCATAAAACGCGTCGCGTGGAGAGCTGCAAAGCAGCTACAAACTATGGTAAACTATGTTACATTGTAGCTGCAGAAGGACAAACTCCGCTCCCGCTTTTTCTGCCTGCTTTCCAGTTTTCCAGTTTTATTGGCCTTTTTGTCGTAGCAATTCACGCGTAAAACATGCTTCCCTTTCGGCCATTTCCCATTTCCCCGCTCTCCCACAAAACGGATCGCGAACTCTGCGCGTGCGCGGCTCTCCATTTGTTTGCACTGCGCACACGCCTTCGCCGGGGACTACGACTTCCTTTTTTAGAGGCGCACGCCGGAGGGTCCGGAATCAAGTATTCGACAAACAGATCACACAGACAGATTCCCCTGAATTTTCGGCGCACGAATCAAGTTGTTTTAACACTTGCCAAGCAGCCAGGGAAAACGATTGAAAACTATTGCGGAAGTGGCCTTGCCAAAGAAATGAGAGATGAAGAGTTGCTGGGGATCTATCTGCTGATCATAAATAAGTTCTTAAATGGGGAGAAATATTTTTATTTATATTATTTTATATTTTATAAGTAAATTCAAAGCATTCAGAGGGAAAGTTAACATACCAAACACAGGACAAACCCTCTTATAGATTACTGCTCTAACTATCAATCAATATTCGATTGATTTCGACAATCTCCCAGTGCATAACTTTGATTGGAGAGCACTTGTTTGTTTCTCGGAGCCTATTCAAATGGCTGCTTATCAACTGCAATCGCAGCCCTCGAAAAGTTGGACAAGTGGCAGTTAAGCTCCTGTCTGCTTGTTTGTGGCCGCTAAGCTGCCGACCAGAAGAGCTCCTCGAGGCGAAACCCCCCGATAAGCAATCGGTTGTCTGTGGAGCAGCTTATATCAGCCGAAGCCCTCGAGGAGCTCCCACAAGTGGCAGTGGGCTGGGTGCACCCAACAGAGCCAAAGGCCAAGAGCCCCAACCCAATTCAAGTAGCTCGTGCAGTTCACCTTAATGCGCCCCTCGGCATTCGGCACTCAGTACTGGCTGTTTGGTGTTTGGTGTTTAGTATTTGGTATTTTCTATTGGCATTCGGCACTGGGCTGTCGCCACTCGACGGGGGACAGGAAACTGCAGCTCCAAGTGACCGCCACTGCAACTGCATTTCGACTAGAGATTGGCCAGTTATCTGCGTCACTCCTCCTTGGTACCCCAGTCCACATGGCGCAGACCCAGTTTAGATAGCTACCCGTCATTGTCCGGAGGCACGAGTTGCCAGGCAGAGGTCTGCACTGGAAAACAAAAGGGGTTCTTCGAATAACGGTTAAATTCGGAAAATATTAGGAACCCATTGTAACCCATGAAGAAAGACATGACATTAGATACATTTTCTTTTCTAGTACTTCCTATACATAAAACAAATGCATTAACTAAGTAATTTAAATAATTTGGTAGACTTATTTATTTAATTTTTTATCGATTTCACTTTTATAGATTTGTATTTTGCAGTGCGTTGTTTGCCTTTGACCGGACGTTAATTGGACGGCACTGCTGGACCCCAGTAGGCACTACTCCCGGTTTCAATCTTGGCAGCTGTCTGCCAATCGACGCCCGCTGGGCACACATGTCCTGTCCGGCTAGGATGGGCCTCGCATGTCCTACGCTCGCCTCCTTTGATTGCCTACTAATCCCGGACATCGATGCTCGGGCGACAATCGAGGCAAACAGCCATACAAATGGGCAAACAAATGAGCAAATGAGCGTGTGTCCTTAAACGAGCCAAATTGGATCATAACTGCGAAGTGCTGCAAACTGAAACTGAAATGCTGAAATGCTGAAATCTGTGCAAACAGCGCTCTAATTAAGTCCTGCGGAGAGGGTCCACATGGAAAAAGGACGTGGACCTGGGACCCCGCTCCAAATGGCCGGCCATTAAATCCGGAAAATGTGGGCGCGTGTTTTCTGAATTGCGTCACAAGAGCGTTGACTTGGATCGGGAATTAATTATTTGGGGGAAGTATATGGTCCTCGGGGGAAGATTCTTACGTCAGCTGGTTTTTAGAAAGGCAATAAACCCTTGGGGAGAAAAAAGGAACGTAAAGTTGATGTTTCTAACGAAATAGAATATTCCCTTGGACTAAAAAATAAAAGGAAATTATCCAAAAAGTGTACTGGCTTCATGAAAGGCCTTGGGAGCCCAGCGATAAGCAAAGACCAGAAGTGCCTAGATTGTTTGGGGCGGTTCCCATGTGTATTTGACCCCCGATATTGCCCAGATTTGAGATTCCAGCTCTCAACCCGTTGGACGCAACATCAGCAATCTGTGTTCATAATGGGGGCGTCGAGTCGCCGAACTACCGATCGAAGAGCCACCAGAGCCACCAGAACTGCCAGAACCACCAGCACCACTCCATCGGAATGGAATTGGTCCCATGGGCACCTACTTATCGCCCGGAATGTTCGTTTTTAATTGCCCGTTCTGTCGAAGTACAATTTGCTCAGACTGTTGCCTTTTTACACACTTTTTTATCGGGAAAAGAGGAAAAGAGGAACACTTACCGAGAAAGCACTTAGCGCTAACTGGCTGCTATCGAGTGTGAGAGAGTGTTTGGCCCAGAGCCAATCGGCAATCGGCAATCGGCATCGTTAGGGCCTGGGAAGTGGGTCGCTCTGCCGCCCACTCACTCCAGCCACCTCGTTCGGAGCCACTCAATGCCCAGCTCCCCACTGAACACAAGTTCCCACCCACAGATACAGGCAGTTCCGCTTCCCTTCGCATTTCCCAACCAGCCATCATCGAACGACTCCAATTCAATTAATGCCAGAGGTGAGTTCTTCATTCATCTGTCCACAGATGTGCCACACTTGAAAATCGTATCTCTAATACTTAATTGGATTACAAATATTTGATTTTGTAAGACCAACACAATTAGTTGGTTTTTTGTGGAGTGAAAATACTTATCCAATTGATAATAATTTATTTTCATTTAAAAATCATACAAAAAATATTTATATTTGCTTCAAGTTGGTATAAGTTATTCATAACTATAATGCTGTTGTTCAATTATTAAAACCCTTCGACAGAAATATATTAAAAAGAATTAAAAATACTTTATTACCACTTTCCATTGCCTAAGTTTTCATTTTTCTGAGTGCATTTCTGGGCAGGGCCAGGCACTTCAAATTACAGCCACTAATCTTGCGGGCATGTCAGTTGGACCCGGACAAACCAGCGACAGAACCAGAAGGCAATGAATGCCCAAACACGAGTCCAAGTCCAAATTCGAAATCCGAAATCCAAAAACCAGCGGACGACGACCGCAGCTCAAAGTGCAAAGTGCACTTGACAGACGGCCAGCTGCAGCAGCTGCCAAATGTATCTGTATCTCTTTCCCTATGGGTTTCTATATCTGTATCTCTAGATGGTGAGTGCAATGGACGTTGGATCCTTTGGTGCCTTTCGAGCGGCAATTGCATTCATTACGCTCCACATCGCTTGCGGTTCAATTAACGCTTACTACTGTCCATTATCGCCGTGTTTTGAGGGCGTGTTTCCGCATCGCCATCGCAATTCAATTGTCCAGTCGAATATCTTGAGGCTCTTTGGCAATAGGGCCTAAGACAGTTGACTCAACTTAACACTTGTCATGATTCCTAAAGGGGCAATTAAATCGTGAGTATTGTGGCCATGATTTGTTTCACTGATCAAATTAAGCATGAACAATATGTCGAGCAAAATGGATAATTACTTAACAACATTAAAGTAGTAGTAAAATCGGCCTAAAAATAAAAAAGTAATTAATGATAACTAATGTATTCTTGTTTTCTAACTTTTTTTTAGGTCATGGCTGCGGCGAAGAACAGACAAAATGCCTAATGCAAACTGGTCTCCCGACTCATCCACATGGCATCATCCCAGGCAGCGAACGGGGAAACAGCGTTGGATTCCAAATTTAGAAATAGTTAATTGACCAAACATGGATTTTCCCAAAATGTACAGTATAAGCCTAGCGAATAGTTATATTAAATAAAGGAAAATAAAATAAATATAAATAAATAAAATAAAACCATCGAAATTGTAGCATACTTTTGAGGGTTCATAAATATAAAAATAAAAATATCGAAATTGTAGCATAGGGGTCAGTCTGCTATGGTCTTTAGTATCCGATTCTGCAACACCTGCTCCGTGTATGTGTAAGCCAACGCAGTTGCTCTGTGGGAAAAAAATTAAAAATTTACTAATGATGCGGTTGGTTAGAGAATTGAAATACAAACTTTAAAATCTGATTGAATTTAGAAAAGTTATGGAATACAAATCGACAAAAAAAATAGCTTCGATTTTTTTTCTAATTTTCTAACAAACCGCATCATATTGTTAGAAAATTAGAAAAAAAATCGAAGCTATGATGAATTTTGCTATAAGGTAGTGAACCCATTGTATATTTCTGTTTTATTTTATTATTTCTAATTATTAGCAATGTTAATATTGGATAATTCCATTTATAAGAATTATTGTTATTGCTTCTATTTTTATTTTACAAAACGAAATACATTTGAATCTTAACAATTTTCCTGCGCTCTGATTCCATGAATATAAATCGAACAGTGTGGCAACGCATCTACAAGATTTTTAAATATCACAAAAGTGTGCTACAAAACTAACGTACTTTCAGATGCAATATCTTTTGCTCAGCATATAAGAAAGGTTTGAGAAAAAATATATTACTTGGGAACCCAAAAGTAAATAAACGTAACTCCAACAAAGGGTGATTATAAATAGCAATACTAACATTACATTTTTTTAAGTACTGATTTAGCCACATTGATTATTTCTCCCAGAATAACTTTATCTCCCTAAATTACTATCTTTTGGTTAGCTGCACTATCGATATACTGCTATCGACGGCAGTTCCAGTTGGAACGCTCCATGGGCAGCCCAGCAAGTGCATGGAACGCCAACTGCACTCTCCAATCAGAAACCACAACAAGCACTTTGATTAACCAAAACACGGCGCAATGGGAGATACGGTTATCGGAACTTATAGACGGGTTAACGACTCGTTCAATAGAACAACACACGATGGGAAGTACGATTATCGAATCTCTCGGATCGATCGGGTAACATTCTCATTCAGCGAAAAACTACGGCACGATGGCAACGTATCTATGCAGCGGAGTGTTCACTGTACTACTGTGGATTCTGGGGACTCCCTCCCCGATTTCAGCTGGTAATATTCTGGCCGTATACCCGCACTTTGGGTTCAGTCACTTCAAGGTCGTGATGCCCATTCTCAACGAACTGGCGAGTCGGGGACATGACATCACCGTGATCTCTTATGTGAAGAATCCCCAGGCGAAGGGCTATTCGAACTACGAGGAACTGCTGATCTCGGCACCGGATGAGGATCAGTCGAGCACCACTATAAACCTGGTTCCCCTGACGGAACACACACCCACCAGATCCTTGGAAGTGCTCATTCGGGAGTATATATCCCTTTTTGAAGAGGGTCAGGAGACCTGCAAGCATCTTTTCACCAGTGGTCACATAGAAAAGGTTATTAAGAGACACCAGAGTAAACCTTTTGATCTACTCCTCACCGAGTACTTCAACTCCGATTGCCAACTGGTGCTGGCCAAGCTACTGAATCTTCCCATCATTGGATTGAGTACCTGTGCCCTGATGCCCTACTACTACGATCGCATCGATCTGCCAGACACACCCGCCTTCGTCCAATCGGAGTACGTGGGATTCGCTGAGCCGCTGAACTGGCATGAGCGGCTGCTCAACTTTGCTCAGGCCAAGTTACTAAGACTCCTCTACAAGTATCACGCCAATGCGGCTGACAACGAGCTGGTTCGAAAGTATCTCGGAGTGGAAATAGATGTTGACGAAGTGGCTCGCACCCAGACAGCTTTTGTTTTCGGGAACCAGCACTATTCTCTGATGGGAAGTCGGCCACAATCACTGCAGTTCGTGGAAGTCGGAGGTGTGCACATCACCAAGGAGGCAGAAAAAGATCTACCGGAAAACATCACAAGCTTCCTGAATCAGTCCAGTGAAGGAGTGATCTTCATCAGCTGGGGATCCATGGTGCGAGCTTCGAGCATCGATGAGGAGAAACTAACAGCCATATTGGAAGTCCTTCAAAATCAGCCTTTAAGGGTCATTTGGAAATGGGAGGCGGACGAGACTCCAGTAGCAGATTCCTCAAAGTTTCTGTTTGTAAAGTGGGCTCCTCAACTAGCTCTTCTGTGTGAGTAAATTCCAAAACCTGGTTTCTGAGTAGTTTAAATATTCAAACCAGTTTAAATATGTAAATTCTATTTCAGGTCATCCCAAAGTGAAGTTGTTTTGGACCCATGGCGGCTTACTGGGAACTACGGAATCGGTTCATTGCGGCAAACCCATGCTGGTTACTCCGATTTATGGGGATCAGTTCCTAAATGCATTCTCCGTACAAAATCGTGGAATGGGTCTGAAGTTTGACTACCAGGATATCTCTGTTTCGAATCTTAGAAAGGCTTTTACTAAACTCAGCAATGAGAGGTATGTAGATTATAAAAAGTATTTTAAAAAAACTAAATTCTTATCTTTCAGCTACTCCCAACGTTCTGCTCAGATCTCGAAGATTTTCAATAACAGACAAAAGACTCCATTGGAGTCGGCAATTTGGGCTGTGGAACATGTTATCCAAAATGGTTTAATTGCTGCCGAACTTCTGCAATCTCCTGGCATTAAGTTAAATGGATTTATCTACTACTCTCTGGACAGCGTAGTCCTGCTCCTAACTCCCATAATGCTGCTGTTCATAATAGCAAGCTTCTGTTGCAGAAGAAGGCCTCCTAAGTCGGCCAGCAAGAAACTTGGCAGGAAACCAAAGAGATCTTAGGGCCTGAAGAGTCTACTAAGTACACATGACAATTTCTGTAACAGTAAATATATATTAGGCGTAGTCAGATCAGAACTCAGTAACGCAGGCGCTGCATGCAGTCCCTGCGGCACTCCTCGAAGGTCAGGAAATTGTTCTCAGTGGAGGCGCAGCCCGTGTAGAAGAAGCTCTCGCAGTTTTTGGTCTTTTCGTTGTAGGCATATCGCAGCTGGCGTCCTCGACACAAGCCAGGTGCCTTCGGCTGTCTGCAAGCTGGGAAAGCAAAATGAGATTTATTTAAAATAAAATAAAGATAAAGTTATATTTTTTGTTTACCTATACCCTGTTTGATTTCCTCGTGCGTCTGGTTTTCCAGGCTGGGAAGACCCAGCGAGAGGTTCACCACCAAAATCAACACCAGCCAAAGTTGCCTCCAGCTCAAAGGCGAGATCATTTTCACTGATTCATGCATATATCCACAAGCTGTACGATTTTGGGAAAATATATCCTCCGATATCTTCCTGTTGCACTTTCGATTTTCCGCTTGGGAGCTTCAGTTTTCCGTTGCGATCTGCACAAACGTCGGGCACAGAATGTTCTCATTTGGTTTCACTTGCAATTTGACAGATTTTTCTCGGCTTTCTCTGCCCAGCGATTCGTTTCTTCTTCCGTTTGTCACGTAGTTAGGTTTTCGTTTTGGCCAACTTCGTTTTCGTTTCGGCGTTTCCTATTCTTGTTGCATAGTTGCCACTGCACTCTCTGCCCGTCGAGTGAAAACGTGCAGAAGAGAACGGGCGACATAGGAAGTACCTTGCATAAGGTCAATTCGAGTGGCTTGCTAACAAGGTGTTCATTTCTTTTTGCACTTAAACAAATTACAGAGTGCTCTTCGAGTGTCATAATATTAGATATTACCTTTTAAAGAATACGAAGCTGATAAAACTTTAAATATAAATATGGTACCACAGAACTCATCGCATAAATTTGTTTATTCAATTTCTAACTGGTTTACTTATAAAAGACAATTAAAAGGGCGTAGGCGCATTATTCGTACAAATAGTAGACATGATCGCTAAGACTAATGAAAGATAGATCGGATAGATCGCTTGACAGCAGTATAACAATGTTTCAGCGGGTATGACGGAAGATCTTGGTCAGATGTTGCTCAAAAATGTTCTTACAGACTATAAGGCAACCCGATTCGTATGCGTTTTTCAACAAACAATGACGTACATAATTAGGTTAATAGTATTTAATAGATACAAGTAGAACGAATTTATACAATGCACATGGCTAACAGAGCTCTGGACCAGAGCCACGGACCTACTTACAATTTACACCGATTCCGGGCGCACTACACTCCACTCCACACTTCCTCACTACAAAGTAATAGTTATATAGTAAACTCGTTAATAAATTCATTGCGTTGCACATCATGGGATGACGTCACGGCGGACGTATCTACGATCTAAGTTCTAAGGAGCTGAGGCGATGGATGATTGTGCTTTCGTTGCGACTGCTACGTATCCTTTATCCTGTTTTTGGGCAGCTTTTCGGTGCGAGCTGCTGACTGTTGCTGTTGGCTTTGGCGTACATATGGCGCACTAAGATCAATTTATCCTCCCTAGCTGAATCTCCTCCGGGGTTTAGAGAGCGTCGTCCGGGAGCGGAGCTCCTAGAAGTCCTTGTCCCATCCCGTGACATCGTCCGGCGGAGGACCCTCCGGATCCGGGGGATAGTCGTCGAAGTTCGTGGTGTCCACCACGCTCTTCACCGCCGGCTTGATCGGCGGCTCCAGCGTGCAGTTCTGCAGGCCCCACCAGTAGAAGCCATCAAACCATCTGATCAAGGGGGGATTTTAAAATTAGTTTCAGCTTTTCATAGATTAAATAGATGGTATTACTTGTGCTTCTGGATCTCGCTGATTCCCCCGCGCTGGTAGCCCAGACGCTCGGCGGGATTGTCGCGACACAGCTTCTTGATCAGGTTGCTGGCGTTGCGCGTGATGTTCCTGGGGAACTCGATGGCGTCGATGCCCTTAAGTATGATGTTGTAGGTGCGCATGGGGTCGGAGCCCGTGAAGGGAGGGGTGCCTGTTAAAATGATTTAATTATTAATTAAGTTAGTTAAATAATAGTTTAATAACTCACCTGTTAGCAACTCGAACATGAGCACGCCCAGCGACCAGTAGTCCGCACTGATGTCGTGGCCCCGGTTGAGGATCACCTCGGGAGCCACGTACTCGGGGGTTCCGCAGAAGGTCCACGTCTTCCTGCCCGTCTGCAGCTTCTTGGCGAAGCCGAAGTCCACCAGCTTCACGTAGCCGCGCTCGTTGAGCAGCAGGTTCTCCGGCTTGAGGTCCCGGTAGATGATGTTCCGGGAGTGCAGGTAGTCGAAGGCCTCCACCACGCAGGCGGTGTAGAAGCGCGTGGTGCCGTCGTCGAAGTTCCCCTTGTCCCGCAGGATCGTCCAGAGCTCCCCGCCCAGGCAGCTCTCCATCAGCATGTAGAGGTACTTCTTGTCCTTGAAGGTCTTGAACAGCTTCACGATGAACTGGCAGTTGGCCTCGCCCATGATCTCCTTCTCGGACATGATGTGCTGCTGCTGGCGCGTCTCCACGATCTGCGACTTCTTCATCTGCTTCAGGGCGAAGGACCTCGAGCTGTCCCCGTTCGTCTGGACCAGCTCCACGCGGCCGAAGCCTCCCACTCCCAGGGTGGCGATGACGCGCAGGTCCGTGAGGTTGATGTCCCGGAACTCCTCGTTGATCCTGCAAAGGTTTGAGATTGTTAGTAGCTATTCATCAATAAAATAACCCTCCACCACATATTATCTCCTCTTGAAAACTCGAAGCTTTTAATAACTAACATTTGAAGCAGATTAGATGTTAATTGGCGACTTGAAACCCCTTTGATTATACTCTGTCGAAATTTGTATAGTAAGTACTGTTTGAAGTCAAAATGAATGTGGTAATTTCGTGTGGCGATCACCGGACTATCAAATAATTATACATCCCCACAGGCAAATAGATTTTTTGATTCCGAGGCGGTTCAACGACCTTCACGAGTTGTTTTTCAATTCCCAGTATCCCTTATCTTGATGGCTTCTAATCAGAGGCTTACTTTCTGCGCTCCATGGCTCCCTCGTCGTCGTAGCGATGCTTGATCTCGTCCAGATTGGAAATCAACTGATTGAAGGTCTCGCGATCGATGACCAGACAGCTGACGCCATCGGCGGACTCGCAAATAATGTTCGCCGTGCGCAGATCATCGCTGTTCGAAAATCAGAACGATTAATTAGGGATTGAAAATGGGATTACAAAGTAAACTCACCCCTGGAGGGCCTTCTCCCCGAAGAAGTCTCCTTTTCCGAGCATCCGGATGAACTTCTCCTCCTGCGTGTCCTGCTGCTTGATGGTCACCCGCACCTTTCCCTTCGAGATGATGAAGAAGGTGTCGCCGCGGGCTCCCTGGCGAACGATGTAGTCGCCCCGCTGGTAGTGCGTCTCCTCCAAGACGTCGGAGATCTTGATGAGCGTGTCTTCCGCCAGGTCTTTGAAGATGGGTACACTGTCGAGAGATAGAAGAAACTGTCAGTCTCATCCGAGATAATCTCCGGTTCGGTTCGGCTGAAGAAAGTGGTGTAATTAGTGGCCGATCCAGATAAGAGAATTCCCCAGTAATGGGCATCTATTGCTGACCCACATTGATCTGGAAACATCCACCTGAACTCCTCCCATTGTGTTTCTGCCTCCGGCAACTCTCCATATCTTCTGACTAATCAAAAACTAAAGCTAAGCAAGAAGTGGTAGGAAAAACCTTTGCAGGGGAATTGATTTTCTCTGTCAGTAGACCAAGATAATCGAACCTCCCATTCTGTTTTTCTTGTGAATGCACACATGCACCGGGAATCTATAGCTTCGCAGTTGCAGTTGCAGCTGCCATATCTCCATCTGAATCTCCCATCAGCCATTGCACTTTCATTTTCTGCCCGCTTTTCCGCTACTTCTCGGATCTGGAATAGGCAACGAGTACATGGTCGAGGCCTCAATTATGGTTTTTAGCAGTTTTTACGGACGACCAATTAAACGCGATTAATTTGCCGGTCACTCTGGGAAGTGAGACTGGAGGCTGGAAGCTGGCCAAAAACAGGTTGCCTTGGCCGTTTGAAAAGAAATTTCTACGCGTTCGTTGGCCGCAGCTTGCACTGGCTTTTCAGCCTGAGTTTTCAGTTTTCCGTTTTCAACTTCAGTTTAAGTTTGAGTTTGAGCCATCGCACGTCATATGTTTGGACGCCCATGACCATGACGATGCCGATGACGAGGTGGCCATAACGCTTCATCCGATCTGAAGAGGTGCCGGCTGTCGATGGGGCCGGAGAAAGTTACCTTGCTCCACTCGAAAACCTTGCACGATTTGAGAAATCACAAATCGACCGGGGCGCAGATGGGGGAAAAACAATCCTTAAGCTGAGCGATTTTTACATTTGCCATTACAGAGTAATGACCATACACGAGGTGCTCCGCGGAATTGATATAATTAAGTGCAAATGAACATTAATTACGCCCAAATTGCCAGTAACCAGTCGGCACCATCGCGGCATCGCCAATAAATCGCCGCAGGCGAGGCGCTCATTAAAATGCACATTAAACCGCCGATTGGCAATGGGGAAGTCTTGTCTTGGAGGGGCTGCTACTTCTGCTGGCTGCTGGCTGCTGCCAAAAGGAAACCCACCTCTTGAGGAAGTCGCTGTACTCCGCCTGGCGGATGAGACCCGTCCGCATCATGATCGTCTGGAAGCACTGCCGCTCGATGGCCCACAGGTTGCACTCGGTGATCGCCGTGATGGTCGCCGTCCGCTGGCAGTTGTACAGGATGGCCAGCTCGCCCAGGACCTTCGCCCCCGAGAGGGTCGAGAGGTACTTGCCCTCGCGGGACACCTCCACGCGGCCATCTGGGAAGAAAAGAGAATAAATCAAATTAGTCGGGGGAGTACGATGGAGGCTAACTAAGTACTAATTCAGCTACTATTCCATTTAAATAAAAAAAATGTAAATATTCTTTCTAGGTTCCAGAAATTAGTAAGTTACTATTCTATATAAATAACTTATTATGAAATGCCACATTATAATAGTAATAATAATATAATATACGAGTAAAAACAGTTAATGAGATTACTATTTAGAAATCAAGGGTAGTTCATAAAACCCAAACCATCTGAAAGAAGAGGAAACCCATTTCTGACCCCTTACCCTTCTCTGCCTCCTCCTCCTCCTGACCCCCACTCGACTGCTCCTTGAGATTCCCAGTCCTCCGGCGACGAGCATATGTGTGAACTGGAACAATGAGACGCGGTCGCGGGATGCAGAATCCCTCGCCGTTGAGATCCTTCGAGCTTCCATTGCTGCTGGCGGCGGGCGAGATTAGTCGCGTGTCCTTCTGCTCCTCCAGTTTCAGGTCCTTGACGGCCTGCTCCAGGCTGTGACGCCGCACGGAAGCAGAGGACTCCGCTACCGGCCTGATGCTCCTGCTGAAGGAAGTGGACTGGCTGGGCATCCTGATGGTGGCGTACCTCTGGACCGAGGTGTGCGATCTGCTGAGCGGTTTCGCTGTCCTCTTGGGCGGCTGAGGGGGCGGTTCTCTGGGCGGAGGGACCATCAGCCTCTGCGGCTGCTGGCAGATGACCATCTGGTCCTGGGAGTCCTCAGCGGCGGAGGAGAACGTGGAGTAGGCGGAGGAACTGTTGCTGAGATTTGGGGCCTTGCCCGAGACCTTGTGAGGGGATCTTAGGGTGGCGTAACTGGGCGGTTGCATCATCGTCTGGGAGCGACGAAGCGAAGGCGGTTTCACCGAGAGCTGTTGGCGTGGCCGTGGAACCCTGGTTCTCTCCGTGGGATCCAGCACGTAGTGGTTGACTGCAGGTGCTGCTGGGGGGACTTCCAGCTTCTCCTTTTCCCCCGGAGATTCTTCTATGGGATCCTCGGCCACCCAGCCGTTGTGCTCCTCCTGGTTCTGGTGGTGCTGGAAGGAGGATGGCTTGAAGCCACTCAGCTCCTTGATCGTGGTCACTATCCGCTTGTCCCGCGACTGCTGCTCCAGCTGGCGGATGTTCTCCAGGGCCATCTGGTACTTGCTCAACGCGGAGATGCCCTCGATGAGGAAGCCGCTGCCGGCGGAGCTGCCCTGCCTGCTCAGCTTGGAGCCGCCGGTCGCCGTCGAGGGGGTTTGGTTCGCCGCCCGCAGCCAGTTCTCCTCGTAGAGGGCGCCCATGGCACTCGGACCCTCGAGCGAGAGACTCGCGTCCACGGCTTTGCCCGGGTAGTGTTTGATTTTCATGGCAAGGGAAAAGGAAAAGTTTCACCTGGCCAGAGGCGAGTGGCAAGTGGCTACGTGCCTCGTCTTCCCCTCGAAAATATCTTCACTTCGCCGTTTAGTTTGCTGGGGCGTTTGGTTTGGAGCTACGTTTTGGGAACTCTTTTGCATAACCCAAGCTCGGGGTTTCGCGCACGGAATACCTGACGAGTCACAGGGAATGGTCTTCAGGCCTGATGGTGGTAACAAAATAACAAAATGTATTTGTTATTTATATTGCAAAAGACACGGGCTTGGGCTTGGTGGCTCTTGCTGTTTCAGCTGCTGTTTCTGCCGTTGTCGATGTTGTAAACTTTCCATGTTTTCGCGACTTGCCTCACGTCTGTGCATTGATTTTGTTTACGACCAGTTAATCTACCGCCTTTGACAAGCTGGCCAACAGTGGTGGCCAGAATAATAGCTTTCATTTCGGACACCAAGGAAGCCCTTCCGAAAGAGTGCTTTTAAATGATTTTACATAAGAAGTTATTGTGGGAATGGCCCACATTTTCAATGGATTTTTTATATTTATTTTACTGCTATCAGGTTGACCACAACTGTCTCTCTTGAAGACTCAATCTCCACCGGATTTGGGGAATTACGCACGTAGCTTTTCTGGCAGCCATGCAATATACAAAAGCAATTAGCCAGAGCTGCAAATTAATTTCGGGCAATTGGTAAGAGCGTGTGAATGAGCGAGTCGCGTTTATTCTCCACGTCTTCGAGTTGCCAATGCATCGAAAGCTTAATCATCGACAAATTAGCCAATTGTGAACAGGGGAAGTGACAATTGGCGATGTTGCCAAAGGTAAACAAAAGAGGCGTTCAACAAAACCAACAACCAAAAACCAAAAGTGACGTAGTGCCCGACCTAGAGAAACCCAAATAGACCGAGTGACCATCGGTGCTGGGCTCCAAAGTGGAGCGTGACTCCGAATTGGAATTGGAAGGGAGTTGCTCGATTGGCTCGAGGGATTTCCAATCGATTGTGGATCGATTGGCGCTAATTGATCGCTCAAATTGACGCAAATGATCAGACTCGATGTGGGCTTTATGACTCAGTTAAATGGGGTGTGTGCAATCGGGATGAGCTAAGTCTAATATTTGTTGAACACTTTTAGATACTGCACATGAATGTACAACTATTTTTGATTGGCTACTTAATAAGTCTAAGCTATTTTTAGATAAGTATACAATTTGGTTACTATTTGACATGTTTTGCCAGACATTTGTTTGGTTTATTTAGGTATAATAAAGACCTTGCTAAACAAATACCATAAACAAGATCACATGTTCGCCTTAGCTAAATTTCACCATTAAAGACATTGTATCACCCGGTTAAAAATTCAGCCAAAGCGGCTTTTTCCCACACAAGATGTTGTTTTCATAAATCAGAAGGAAAAAATTCCACAACATCTGCTGCGATCCAATTGAAATCGCTGATTGTCACGACTACGCACAATCAGAAACTGACTGAAGCTGACTAAACAAACAAACAATCGGCGACGAGCAACAATTACCAGCGAACTCAAATAGTGATCACTTTTAGCGCCTTGAACAAGATCAATGAAGCAGTAAACAAAAGACCGCCGGTGTTGTTGAACTATTCTCGTAACTAATAGCAAATAAATTGCCGTCTGCGAAGACATTTATTTGCGTAAGAGCGTCGGCTGAGATAAATCGAGAGACCCGAGAAGTCGGCAATTCGTTATCAGTACGTGGGTTTCTATGTGGGAACAACTCGTGCCTTGGCTTTCAAATGCGATAAGAGGTGTGACAACACAACCCGCCGAGATTGCTGGCCAGAAAACAATTTCCCTATCAGGCACTTCCCCTTAATGGCTAGCTTTTCCTGATCAAATGCGTGGAAAGCGCTGGTCCGCCAAGTTTGGAGTTCGGCGAGTTCGTTGGGGTCGAGGTTTGCTGGCTTTTTAAAATGCGGAAATCCGTCAGGCCCAGCTGAACACCCAAACAAAAAACACTCGGGAGAAAAAATGTGTACAAATTGAAACTGCAGACATTTTGCAATTTTGCCCAGAGACTGGCTTCGGGCCTTAATGGTTGTTGGTTGTTGGTTAGTTGTTATTGGATGTTGAGTGTTGGCAAGGTCAGCCAGTGTCTGAATCGCCGATTTGAATACAATCGCACAGCAGAGGAAACAAGAATTCTCTAAAAAAATTATAGCTTCACTCTGACTTCACTTGCACTGTGGAAAAAACATATCATTTAGAGTCTGATAATGGCTCACTTATCGTTTTGTTAGCAATAAATAACAATAATCGTAGGAAAATATCAATTTTCACTCGAAGTTATTCATGTTCATGGGAAAAAGCAGTTAAAGTTGTAGTCAACTATTGTTAATCTTTTGATATTCAGCATAATGTGTATACTTAGCTGTACGATTATCTTTTCGCATCAAAATAATATTCACCAAACTTGTTTAGTTTTTAGCTCGTATGTTTAAGGGGTTATATACCTTTTTTTTTTCAAAAAAACGAAAAATTTTTTTTAGCTGAATCCTAAAGTATATCCCCTAGAGAACATTTTCCCAAATTTTTGAAGAGATCCGAATAATAGTTCAATAGGAAAACAGCGTTTTGAGGCGCGGTTCGTCACTCTTTGTAACGCAACGTAAAACTTTGAATGCGATTATCTCAAAGTCGTTTTTTTCCAAAAGTGCATTTGCTGTGACCGCGATTGCACAAGAACTATTTGATCGATCTTCTTCAATTTTTTTTTAAAACATTCGTAATGATTGTGCCGAGTTCGCCATTGAATCAGTTTTTCTGCGGCAATTTCGATTTTGCAGTTAAGAAATTTTTAATAAAATTTTTAGAGCTCGAAAAATCAATTTTTTGAAAAAATTGTTACTGTATGCAGAAAAAACCAAATATTCTTGAAGTAATTCAATGACGAACTAGAAATAATACTAAACTAATAAAAATTTTTTGGTTTATTGATTTAAGTTGACCCGCTGGACTTCCATCGTGGTCACCGCAAGCCGCTATAACAAAAAAAGGGTTATGAGAGAATTGCCATAACTTCGAAAGTTATTTATATTTTTTTGAGAACAAACGTTTGTTGTGTCTATAAAAACATGTACTATCAATAAATAATAACCTCAGTATCATAAAATAATTGCTACACACCTGAAAAAAAATCCAAAGTTCCCTCATTTTTTTCGCTCAAAAAGGTATATAACCCCTTAAGCACCTCGTTTTTCTGAAACTGCTATTTATAGAAATTAACGGATCTCCAGAGACGGGGTTTTGGGTTTTGGAAGCCTCGATTAAGGCGAAGTTAGTCACAGACTTTGGCTTGTGGGCCAAGGGCAGTGGATTCAGACTCGGATTCGGATTCAGATCGAGTCCGAGTCCAAGTCAGTTTCGGTTTTGCATGACAGCTCGTAATTATACACACAAACTTGGTTTATTTTTTCGGACCGCCCTTTTGACTGACAATTAAGGCAAGGCGAAAACCAAAAGCCAATGGCTTAGTCACTCGTCGTGGATTATTTCTGCCTCCGCCGACATGACCGCATTTTGGCACACACACTGGCTGGCAAATCATCATAATAAATATTTATGTCCGAAGACCAGGCTGCGTTTCTTTTGTTTGTCTATGCTAATGAAAGTCGTTTATGAGAAAGTTATGAAAACTGGATGAACGGGGGAGAGGCGATCGGAAGGGAAGAAAGATCTTTTGTGTACACAGTTTAGATTGTAGTCAAGCAAGATCGAGAATCAATTTTATAGAACCCTATTCCGGCGATCTCCGGTCTCTCTTTGCTTTGCGAATATTAATTGAAAACAGCGATAAAGCTGTAAAACGAGATTCTGAACTGAGCCATAAGGTTCTCTGCTCTGATTGCTATTGGAATCTGAGCTCAAGTTACTGATTAGATTAAAAACCATCGGGGAATGTCCCATGGAATCACGAACTGGCACTTTCAAAAGTCTTATTTACGTGGAAAAACACATTTTAGCAAGCTTCCATAACAAAAAGTTGTTGGTTAGTGGCCTTGCATCATTAACTTTCGATTAATCAACTTTAAATAGCTTTTGGGCATCGATATAATTGATTAATTAAGTCTGCTCTTTGGGAAAGAATGCAGGCAACCAATATGAAAACCAAGCGTTCAAAAGTCTATAAAAATTTCAACAAGGAAACACATAATTGTATAAACCACAAAATAAACAAAAATGTAGCTACCCAATTGGTTCCACATGCTTGATATCAAATAGAAACTGCATCCATATTTTCCGAATCAATGGAAACACAACATTAAGTAGCCGCCCAAATCGTTCCACTTGTGCGATATTAACTAGAAACCGCCCCGGAACACTATAATTTCGAGCCATTCAGCCCCAAATTTCCCAATGATCTTGTGATCTGCCTATCATTTTCCACTTTTCGTCCATTACTCAATCTTTTTGGAGCGCCCAAGCGAAGCCAGTTCATTTGGCATGTCAAAAGGCGAATGCAAAACTCGTTGGGTTACTTAAAAGTGAGAGTGCCCCCCCGGTTCCGAGCCCCCAGAGACCGCGGAATCGCCGAGTTCCGACCGGTCTTGGCCCGAGTTAGAGTCTGATTCCCCGGCTAACTATCCACCGAGTTGGGATTGTTGGGAAATGACAAAAGAAGTCAAATGACAGGTGGAGACCCGGTTCCAGGGCATGACATTAGCACAGATGCTTCTTTCTGGCTCTGGCTCTGTCTCCCTCGCGATGATCATTATCTTTTTATAAGTCTTTGCCTGCGATTTCACACGATTTCTAAGTTTGGGGTTTTGTTTCATACTTCTGGCCATGTCTAATTTAATTTTAACATTCTTCCGCACTTCAAGTGAATTTCTTTCGTATCAGATTCCCTGTACGATTTGTGTTCTCACATTCTTGCACGATCAAATCGGAGTAGCGACATTTGGCATTATGCGGTTTGGCTCTACAATATAATATCTGTATTTCTACACCATTTTTGCCGTTTTTATTTCGTTTTTTTCGGACCAATGACCGAGACATAATACAAATACAAATCAACGGAGCAGTAACAGCAATAAAACAGCAACAGCAACAGCAACAACAGCAGAAACAGCAACAACAACAGCTGCAAAGGAAAACCACAAACCGGAATTCTTCAAGTGATCTTTACGTTCAATTCGAGAAAAAGAGCAAATCCAAGTCAATTCTCCGTTTCGGTGTCTCGTTCTCCGCACATTTGTCTCTGTTTCTCCTCACTCTCTGTGGGCGTTCAGTGTTCAGTTTTTCCGTAATGCAAGTATTTAAACAATTCACTTTCACTTTTAATCCACTGAATTCCAAGAATTACGCGCAGTTCAAAGAAATTAACACCACCGTTTTCCGATCTCTTTTAGCATAATTACAGCCGCGATGGGAAAATTATGCGGTTTGTTTACTTGTTATTTAGAACAGCAACTAGAGCTATTTATGTAAGCATTGTGGAAATAGCGCGAAGGCATGTGTGAGCGGCATTGTAATTGCCGGGTATGTGGGCTTTATTATTATTTCCCTGCCGATTGCTTATGGCGAAAACGAAATAAAACCGTAAACTCGGCGCACAGAAATCTCGACAAACTACCCGCAGAAATAACGAGACACGAAGAGGGAGTTTGGGTTTCTGTTATTCTGGCAGGTAAGGCAAATCAAATCGAATCCAGGTGCAGTTTTCGCAGCCGAGCGCGCATGCGCCTCACACGTTTTATCGCTTCAATGTCTGCCGGACGAATGACGAATTGTCCGAAGATCGGGGATCCGAAACACAGGGTATTACTCATTCCGAGCGAGCGATCGCTTAAGAGCGGAGAAAGAGCGAGCGAGCGCTATGTCTCCACAAGATTGAATGTGGGGGAGAGACAGTGCAGCAGCTGTTTTGTTTGTGGGCGAGAGCGCCACAAATCAGGGGATACTCGTGTGCGTGTGTAAGGTGAGAGAGAAAACAATGCACCCACACAATCACACAGGCAGAGAGCTGAGCAAAAACAAGTGCTGCACGCAGGAAAAAGTGTAGCGATTAGTTAAGAGCTCAAAAATCACAACAGGATGCATCTTGAAAACTATTAATGGGAAATTTTTTGAAATTGATTCCAGAAAAGTTTTGCTTCAAAAACAAATATAATTTTTTTTATTCCGCTGGACCTTTTTTTATTAGATTAATTCTGTCAGTGTAGCTACGAGTGGCAAGCCGGTGAACTGGTTTGGTCCAAACTGACAGGCCAATTCGCTACCCAAAGCAAAATATAGACAGAAACGTTATCATCTGGAAAACGTAACAATTCATAAATGGAACAATGAACATGCAAAAATATTTTTAGATCCTCAAGTCCAGTGACCTCATAGATAGCTCTAAAAATCGAAACATAACAAAAATTCACTTCAATTCGGTAATCAGCACGAGTTTCAAAACAAATCAGACGCATAGCCCGAGATAAGACAGTATAATCAGTAGGTTTTCTATCTGAAAAATATTTACTTAGTGGTATTTATACTATATGTATACAGTTTCGAGTGCATTTTCAGGGCATCGGGATAATCAGCAAGGCCGAAACCATGAACATCTGCGGATGGGGATTTCTCGTCAACTGCAGATTTCTCTCTGATTTTCTCTCTTTGGAGTATCATATGTGCGAGACTATATGATATATGGACAGATGCCGTGACATCTGTTCATCGGTTTCGAGTAGCGGACATTGGTGCTTCAGGTTAAGGAAGCGAAAATCCCATGACGACGATGTTGCAAGATTGAGGAAGCATCCTCTTCCAATTCATCTTGCCACTTGCGGAATGCATAATTCGGCTGTTGATTTAATCATTGTTATTTTATTTATACGAGCCACAATCGCTTCCATCCGTCTGGTTGCGACTTAAATGCTAATGTTAGTACGTAAATTAAGTCGGCGACTAAATTAACACGAAAGGCACACACACAGAACCCAAGCGAAACCGAGCCCAGTTCGAGCAAATATTTAAGGCAACAATTAGCCACGAAACCCGAGTCTAAAGGCCCGGAGCACACCCAGAAATAAAATGGGCGCAAGACAGACGCAGAAAAACGTGCAAAAAACTATTAAACAAAATGCTAAGCGAAAATTGAAAGGAAAACCCGCTTGGGCATTGTTTCTTTTCAGTCGGCAGTCGACAGTCGCCCGCTGACATTTCGCTGCAAGGCGAGACTCTGAACTTCTCTTCTTTCAGCGGCGTGGGTGTGACACACTCCCCCTGAAACCCCCTCACTGTACACTTAAGACCAAGTTCCAATCCCTGCCCAATGCTCAGGTATTTCACATCTGGCCAAAAACACACGTGCAGCTGGGCGAACTGGAGGAGTAGGTGCTTATCTGCGGCAACTAGTTGCACGATCTTGGCGGGGCAAGGTGAACAGATATAGGAGGTTATAAGAAGGGATAGGAAAAAATAAGGGAAAAGAGAAAATCATGTGGGCGAATTTCAAGGCAAAAGTAATAGCACATGAATGAACATAATTTACATATTTAAATGTCATTACCTTAATTATTGTGCAGATTTGAAAAAGACAAAGCTTTAATATGAATTGCATAGATTATCCTTTCCAAATTTCACAGATTTTTAATCGGATCTACATACATTAAAATCTTTAAGGTTAAGAAATGTTCAACCTCTTCAAGAACTTGAAAAGAACTTTACGTGCTCGACTTACTCACTATAGCTTATCACCTTTAAAATCTTATGACTCATTGAAATTTTGCATAATTATTCACTTTAATCCAATTATCATTTAGATACCAAATATGGATGCATTTTACACAATTTTGGTTTTAGTTTACACACATTTTATAGCATACTTTGTGGCTGAATCTACAAGATGAAATGCAATAGTATCTGAAAACCTCGCTGAACTGTATGTATCGAAACCATAAACCAACTCCCTCTTGTATTCACCTTAAAAACTAGATGATAACCTTACTAAATTATAAGCTATCCTATAGATACATAATCTTTCAACTCACCTTCCATGACATACACAATGCTGCCGACATCGCCCTCCTTGATGATCAGATTCTTGGCCGGGTACTTAACCGGATACATGCAGTCGACGATCTCGCGGATCTGCGTCAGATCCAGATTCTTCATGAAGTCATTATCCAATATGGCAGCCTTGATAAGTTCACGGGAGCTGCAAAGCGATATAAAAATTCAATTAGCTGTCGATATTAAAAATGGCAAGAGACTGCCAATGAAATGAGCAAAGGCAATAGTCCAATTAATTTTCCGACTGACACATATAAATCGTTTTATCTGGTCGGCCAGTTTGGCTTACAAGCCTTGCAACAAGTTGTGCCACCAAAATTTGGCGGCATTTTAATTCTCTTTTTTGCAACCCAGTATCGATGGATGTTGGCATGCGCGCAATCGACCGATATGAAATTAATACAAATTTGAAAATTGTACGCTTCGTTTTTGGGTGTGGGGTTCGGATCGGTTATTTCGGGGGAGTGGGGATCCGTATCCATACCCGTGTCCATGGACCATGCCATGCTATGCCATGTCGGCAATGCCTGTAAATGTCAAATGACTTTATCTGTCAGCGAACTTGACAACTGGCCCGGGCCAGAGAAACAGTAATGGGAATAGAAGCGGTGGATCGGAAAAATTGGAAGCCAGAGCTGAGCTGCGGTGATTAATTAAAGCCGGTCAAAAAGTGTGGCCAACATTCAGTGTGATTTAAAATACTGGAAAGTTTTAAAACGCCAATATACCAAACTTTGGTATATTAAACTGGAAAACTGTAAATGTATTCTTTTACGTAAAGGAAAAAATGCTTTGAAAAAATTGTAGGGTTTTTATTTTTAATGTCAAAATAACTAAAAAAATGTGGTTCAAGCCCACCCCGACAAAATGGTCCCACCGATTCGTGCCCAATGGTCGACTTAATCACGAAGGCGTTGCTCAGGCTGTCGTCAATGGGGTTGGGGGCCAATTTGTAAGCCTCGTTTTTGGCAGCGATCTGAGCTCGGCTCGAATATGAGTTTGGAGAAACCTGCAGCTACCTGATTGCCCCAAAATGTGGTGATGAGTTGGCTCGGCTCAGTGGAGTATGGAGCATGGAGTATGGAGTGAGGACATTTGGCCGAAACCGACAACTTCGACCAGACTCCAACACCTGTGTCGCCCGTTTGGCGGGTACTCATGTATCTTGCGGGTTTTCGGCTACACCACACAACACTCACAATTAAAGCTTAATAAAAAATAGTCAAATTTATTAAAAAAAGCGACTTGTTTCTAATCGAAACCCTGGTCACGACTAGTGGGTCTAGGAAGCGACTATTTTTTAATAACATGGATAGTTTTTTGACATAGTAAAGTATTAGATTTCAGCGGCCCACAAACCGAAACGAGTTCTTTTAATAGAGTTAAAAGTAAAGAAGAAGGAGTAAGAAACACTCTGAAAAAAAGTATGAATATTTTACAACAATTTAGCTCCAAATTTATACAAAGAAGGGTTTTTTATGGAAATTAAAATTCTGGTAAATAATAAAGTTAATAATTCGACAGAATATCCCTTATAATTTTTGTTTTTGAAATATTTCCAGCTTTTAAGAAATTGTGTGCAGTGTAGACGAGTAGCCGGAGGTGGTGGGTCGCTCCGCGGTGTTTGCCCCGTGGGGTTTTGCCAGCGGAGCTCTTTTTTATATGCCTAAATTAACATTTTCCTTGGCTGCCACACCACGCACATGCGTGCCACAATGGCGGCGGTGCAAGTGGTGCCAGCGGTGCCACCGGTGCCAGTGGTGCCACATTCGCTGCGAGCCAAAACAATTAATGGCTTCAATTAGACCTACGGGCCGGATCGCTCGAGCGTTGCAGTTGTCGGAAGCTATAACCATTCAAATGGCTATATTTGTGCGTAAATTGAATCCGAAATGTGTGCCAAGGCACGGAACGAAATTGGCTGCACCTTAGCAGATACTCGGAGCCTGTCCCCAGAGAGATCTCCCAGATCCCCGGTCGTCGATCAGTTGCGGGTGCGTTCGCTTTGCGACAGACAAAACTGGCAGGCCGAATTGAAAGTGTAAACACTTGGCGGCTAAGAGCAGTTGACAATAAAAGCGGACTGGCTCCCCGGCCGGGGAATCGAAAATGGAAATTGCGCATAGAAGTCGGCGCCATTGGAAGCGACAACCAACCGCGAAGTGGACTATTTTGGGTGGGGCTTGGTCTTTGGCTCAATCGTTGGCCATGTGTGAGTTGGCTTGCAGTCTGCGAGATGGCAATCAAGGCAATGAACGCCGAAGGGGAGGAGACTCACCCAAGAGTTTGGCTAAGTGAAATGAAAAATTGCACACCAATTTGATGTTGTCAAACAAATTAAATAATGTGCGATAGTAAGCTACCGTTCAAAAGTGGATAATGCCACACATCAGTTTCTCAAATTGCTTTTAATTAAAACTAAAAGATATGATATTTCCACTTTTTTCACACACTTAAAATTTATCTAGCAACAATATATTGTACAACTCTAATTATGCATTTACAGTCTGACCCACATGTTTTTTAGGAAAAAAAAAACCCTGTTGCTTTGTCATCATGACCGTGGACACATGTATGTGCAACATGTAGCAAGTTCTGAACAGTCCCCTCACCGCATGACACCACCCTTTGAGAAACTCCACTGCGCAGCCAATTTCGCACAATTTTGTGGCATTATTTATTAGATGGCCCGCTGAAAGCCAAAAGGCGACAGTTGCGTGGTGCAAATGGCCACAAAAGTACTGCGACCAACCTCGGTCCCAGTTCTCAGTCCCGATCCCATAGACTTCACGCATATATATCTGTATATAGCGAGCTGGAGGCCTACGGCGCTTTTGATTTATGCCATGCAAGTGTCAAAAAATGTCCTGTTGCACACACAAGCGTCGCCGTCGGCACAGATTTTGGTCAGAGATAAAATGGACCTCAATTGGCCGGCTCCGAAATCCAAAATTCAGACTCAGAAACCCACCGACCGCCCCCTTCATTCGGTCATAGTCGCCAACCATTAAAATGTTTGAATCGCAATTGAATTTCGCGTATTTGCCAGCGATTTTTTGTGATTGTGTCAACAGCTTGGGGTCATAAAAATGGCCGATTTAAACAAATTTGCCGCATTACTTAGCGCTTGATACGCATTCAGATTAAACTTCACCAGGTGTATGCGCAAAATCTTAATAAATATGAATAATAAACGTACATCGATTTAATTTTGACATAGAGATAATAAATACTACGGCGAACGCACAGTTTATATGCCAACAATTTTACCAATTACACTATTTTATTTTAAATTGTAATCTTTATTATTTTTGGATTGCCAAGCATATTTTAAAATTATGTAGCCTTGAACTCCAAATAATTCTTTATTTTTATTACGACAAAAGCGAAAGCGATTGTTATTTTTAGAAGAACCCCCAAATGTTTGGCTAATTTTACCCGAAAGTTTTCCACTCGAATAAAAAATACTTTTCGGAAGTAGGCGTTTGTTTGTTTACGCGAACGGCAATAATAATGTAAATAAATGTTTTTGGCTCACCCTCAACAATACAGAAATCGTGAAAATTATTTCGAAAGGCATTTCCCAGCATTAAAAATGGATCATCCTGATATCACGCAAAACAACAATAAAACTAAGTTATTGACTATAAAACCCAATTAAAATGAGTAGAGAATTTCTCGACAGCGCGTGTCGCCATTTAAATGATCTGCGATCGCACATGACCGGCGTTTTATTGAAAAGCATTCAGGAAACATCGCCACCAGTGGAAGAACAAATATTTATGTTTTCTTATGTTTCTCAGCAGACAAAGTGGGGAAAGCTGGCCAAGAGCAACGACTTCCAGAGGCGGCAAAAGTGCGAAAAGCGCTGAGCCGACAGATCCGCCCACGCAATATCACAGATTTAATTTTATGCCCTCTTAATTATTTATTTGCCGGCGGGACTGCATCGAATTCTGCATGATCCAAAAAATACGAAAAAGTGTCTTAAAAAATCCCCCTGAGAAAGAAGCGAATGTGACGCAATGTAGCGTGAGTTCGCTGCCAATTGGCAGTCTTTCCGTGGGCCGCGATTCATATATGTGGCTTATGCGAATATATCGAAGCAGATTTTCACATCCGAGTACTGACACTGCCCAAGGCCACCGGGCGGGTGGCTGAGGGGGTGGTGGTGGTGGTGCAGCGCCTGTCAGCCCAACTCAATTTCAATAAACGCATTTGTGGCAGGCGACACAAGCAATCGACGACAGGCGACAGGGCGCTGCTCCCAATATTTGATTAAAATCGGCGCAGTGACGCCGATCCCGATCGTTATCACCGCGAGTATATAGCCTATAGAGTGGCCTATAGATTCTGGACATCCGTATACCCCAGATCGCCATAATGCAGGGCTAATCTGACAAAGCGATTAGGTTCAACTGATTCTACTCGGGCGAAACGGGAAAGGAAAGCCAAAGTGTGATGATTTTTTTCCTATAACTATAGTCTACCCATTTTTATAAATATTGTGTTCTTTTGATCAGTCAAATATTAGTATAAACATCTTAATAGTTAGAATACATAGGTACATAAAGAATATTTTCGAGAGTACCAAATGATTATATAGCAAACACGTAATTAAAAAAATAAGACACATCTAAAGGGAAATGAATCATTAATTATTACTGACTGGCTATATGTTTTATCTGGTTTATAAAAAACGTTTTGTAAAATTATTATTATTATTTTCAAAACCCACACAGACAAATTTGTTACTCAAATAATTCATAATAAATAGTGATCGAAGATCATTCCCATATTTAAGAATCATAATTCCCAATGATTTGTTAAATATTCCCCACAACTCACCGCTCATCCTTGTCGTATTTGGGGAAGCTGACGTGCTCCAGGAGCAGGGAGGACTCGCTCTGCGGCTCCGCGGAGATGCCCAGCGCCCTCTGCCGCTGGAAGTTCTGGCCGGACTTCCGGGTGGCTCCGGTGGCGGTGCTGGGCCCGCTGGCTCCTCCGCCTCCCGCTCCACCGGATGCGCCGCCCGTGCCCGCACAGCCCGCCGCGCTGCTCCGGCTGAAGGGGAAGACGCTCTGGAACTTGTCCAGGTGCGACTTGAGCTCCGCGATCTCGTTGTCCTTGAACTGGAGGGCGCGCTGCATCTCCTGGATCTTGAGCTCCTTGGCCTGGATGATCTGGATGAAACGCTCCTCCTGCGGCGAGGCGGCCACGTAGTTGCCCACGATCATGCTGCCGGGATCCACCATTCCCACTGGGGAGGGCGTGGCCGATCCGCCCCCGCCTCCGGGCGGGCAGCCCGAGATCCGGAGGCCCTGCATCTGCTGCTGGAGGCTCAGCGAGGTGGGCGGCTGCAGCTGCGTGGGCGAGGGGGAGGGGCAGCTGGCGCCGGGAATGGCCACCGGCTGGCTGGGCGGCTGGTGGTAGAGCACCGGGCTGCCCTGGCTGGTATAGAGGCCCTGCGTCTGCGCCTGGAGCTGCTGCAACTGCTGGTAGCGCTGCTGCAGCTGCAGCTCCTGCTGGTGCAGCAGGCTCCGCGGGTCCTGGTGCAGCTGCTGCGCTCCGGAGGGAGGCGTCCCGTAGATCAGCGTGTGGGTCAGCACCTCCGAGTGGGTCGGCGGGGCGGGGATCAGCCGCAAGCCCGATGCCGTGTGCTCCAGGCCAATTACACCGCCAGCCGTCGGCAAGGTCACAATGCCACCCACAAGATTATTATTGTTATTGTTGTTGTTGGGGTTGCCGCCGAGGTTCTGTCCACTGGCGGTGGCGTTGTTGTTGACGATGCTCACCAGCCCCAAGTCGTTTGGGAACTGATAGTTGGCGTTCGGCTCCTGCTGCATGCTGGCCGCTTTTCGCACCACCTCCGTAGAATTCGAATTCGGGTCGGGTCTCCTCGTGTTCAGATTGCGATCTTCGGCACTGCTGTGCCTCCGGTACCGTTGCTTCTGCTGCTGCTGCTCTCTCTCCGCCGGAGGAGCCCTCTCTATCGCTATCTCCCCCCTGTCTCTTTCTCTGTCTCTCTCTCTTTCTGGCTCTCTATCTGCTGGTGCGTCTGCTGGGTCTGTGGCCCCGCTGGCTGGGGCTGTGGCTGTCGCTGGGGTTCTATGTCCGGCGGCTTGGCCTCGGTCCGCGTATCTCTGTCCCGCTCCCTCTCCCTCTCCCGCTCGCGATCCCGATCCCAGTCGCGATTGATTATCGCCGGCTGCAGCTTCTGGTACTCGGCGTAGAAGAACTCGCTGACGGGCGGATCGCTCGGCTTGGAGGCACTGGCTACGTCCGCTGGAGGCGCCTCGCTGCTGCTGGAATTGTGGTTACTGGTGGTGCAGTTTGCTGGTGGTGCATTGCTACCGGAGTTTTGGGCTGGCCGCTTGGTTGCGAAGCACAGCCGATCAAAGCAGAAACGCATCCAGGCGGCTTTCCTGATCAACCGCCGCCACCCGAACGTAAGGAGCCCTGCGAAAGTAAATAAAAACATTAGAATACATTATAGTTCCTATATTTTAGTAACATTGTAAACATGAATCACTTGGGGGAAGAGTGCCAATCAGGTTGTTATGGAATCTAATCGCCGGCTAATCAGCTGAACTGAACTGATTTACGATCGATGGCTTAATTCGATTGTTGAATGGACAATTTACGCAGGGAAATTCTGCTCAGAGACAAGCAAGCTTTTGCACTCGAAAAAATATTACAAATATACTTCTTTGGATATAAATGCAATCAATTCCAATATAAGAAACCCAATAAATATTAAATGCTTTATGAAGTTTTTTTCCCAGAAATTCCGATGGCTCGCAATAATTATCACATTATCAAATACCGAAAATCGGTTATCATTTCCCCTGGATACACAACTCGTCGGACAAGTTGACAATGCCTCCGCTGGTTTTTTTCTTTTTTGGGGGGCGACACGCCTTAAGCCCTTCAAGATAAGACAGCCGACAAATTGTCAACGCGGGTGAAAGAATTTCAAACAGCGAAAACGCAAGCTGGCACACTGTTTTTGTAGTTTGTGTTTCGTATTTGCTGTTTGTGTTGGCTTTGCCATTGTTCTCGGACACGTTTAGACAATAATTCAAGTGGCATGAGCGGGGCTAAAAATAAATCCAGCCAAAGTTAAACATGGCCTGGCCAACTTATAAACAAAGCGCACAGAACCCTATAAACAAGTGTGGCGGGTTTCGGTTTCGGTTTCCACTTTATGTGCGATCGCCGGGGAACATGGAAAAAGCAGCCGAAATTCGCGAGTGGGATGATCACTTGCCACTGGAGTGGGAAAGAGCGGTTACCCAAATTACTTTGCGGTCGAGCATGACCAAAAATTAAAAAGCTGTTAAACAAGATCAACCTGCAAACCAAAATAAACACTTTTCGGAATCTAAAAAGCTCAGTTGTTAGACAAAGATATATATACGGAATCACATTTATTTTGCGCGTACCTTTAATTTATGATATCTTCAAAAATGCTATATTTATTTGTCAATAAAATAAATCATTTGGGAACTAACATTTGCTTAAACTGCGAGCACATAAATATGTTAAGTATACTCTTCAGAATAAGAAGACAAATTGGAAACATCAAAATTTAAATATTTTTGAGATACGTATAACAACGATTAATCGCTTAATATGTTTGGCACAAAAAGGCGTCACAAAAATAAAAACAGATCCGTTTGGAAACCCGTCGATCAAGATAGTTCCCGCACATCGGCGATCGTTTGTTCAAGTAGCTTGAGCCACCTTGATTCTGGGCTCATCCAATTGAGTCTGCGAATTCGCAAGACTCTTGACTTCGATTACAACGAAAGCGATCGCTTTGAAAGGCATTTGCATGTTAATGATCGCACACCCGATTAATGTGCGATTCGTATGCCGTGCTATTTATACGCGCCACTCCATAAACAATGCCAATCGACATTGAGAGGGCGGTGGGAGGTGGTAGGTGGGAGATTGGAGGTTGTAGCTGCGGACGGATGCCCCCAAAGTGCGGGCAATTACCGATCCGTAATTACCCGCAAATTCGCTAAATGCTAAATGCAATTCCCAATTCCACACCGAAATAGTGAAAAACTGACACAACGAATTGAGACAATTGAGGAAGGAATTGTCTGTGGGTATTTTATTTATAGAACCAACACAATTGACGGGCCACTCAAAATCATCTTTGTACTTCCCCACATATTTTGTGGCTGTCTGCTGTCTGCTCCATGGGTTTTCAATGAATTCGCCGCTCGTGATCGGAGGCAGCTTTTGGGCCACTTAAGCGCAATTACGATTGCAATTTGTTTCCATCTCGGGCGCATAAATAAGCAATGGACAGACGGACAGACTGGGTTTCTTCCGAGGCGTATACGTAATATTTTAAGCGATTTTATGCTTTTATTGTAATTTAAATGATTCCGCTCGCCTCGTTATGGTGGCAACTCTGGCCAACAGGTTCTCGTTTAATTTTAATTAGTGTTATGAAAACATTTATTAAACGACAGCGCGAAACTCGAAATCTTTCAAATGTCAACTCGGTTTGGGTGGAGGGTATTAACATCGCCATCGCGGGTTCATTCATGCCTTTTGATAACAGGCCGAATCCGAGTCGAATATAAACATACTGCCTGCATTTAATGAGTAATTATTGGGAGGTCTTCGCATCGTATCGCTGGCCATATAGGGAAGTTCGCGGTTCGCCGTGACTGGAAAAGCTAAACCCGACGACTCACGATCCTATCTGCAATTAGTGTGTCATTATGATCGCAGATCGCAGATAGCGATACTGGTTGTGAGCACCCGACAATTAAAGCTGTTCGCCCACAAATTTGCATAGATCGGGATCTACTGATATTTTTGCAGGAGGAGAGATCTTCGAGATATTTGGCTGCTGTTAAGGTGTTGAGTTAAGTGAATTCCATTTAACTCTTTGGAAGGCGGAGTAAGTGGTACGAAATACCAATGCAGTTTGGATTGAATCCGATTTAATTGCCTGAATCCTTGAATTCTGCGATCCATCAAAGTCAATTCCAATGATCGAAATGTAAATCGTTTTTCTTCAACCCGCTTCCTAAATGGCGATCATCGTTGTCGCTGGCTAATCAAAAGTGACATTTACGATCATCAGGAGATCCCCAGCAAATGTTGTGAATGTCCCGGCTGTCAGTCAGGGAAAGAGAAGACAGAGTGACAGGCAGAGACAGCATGTTAAACACCGGCAGCAAATGGCAACAAATAGCAACATCAACTTAATAAGCATGCCAAAAATGCGCCGCATTCGAATCATTTGAACATAATTAAGCGGTTAGTCAGGCCAATGCCGATCTTTCCCTCGAATTGAGACATCAATTGAGAGTTATGTCGACCGTATTTGGGAACGCCGTCTTCTGAATACATATGTGTGCTCCAGACCGCTATAATTATAGGTTTCAATTACTGGCGAGTGCCCGGCGCTTCCTCAAAACATAAAAAGCGAACAAACAAACTCACAGAAGCAGCGCCAAATTGAAACAAGAATTCTCCGGATTTCTAGACACACGATCACATATAAATTGATTCCCCGGGGGAATTTATTCCATTTCACTTCATTCGATTCCATTTACGCCTTTTCCGCTGCTGGCGTGCAATTATTTGAGTTATTTTCAATTTCAGTTTTCGACTTTTAAACGTTGCACAAACAATCAATAAGAGCGCAATAAAAATTCAACTTGAATCGTGAGTTTAGGTCGTAAATTCCTCAAGAAGTGTGTTTTTAGACTGACCCGAGACCCCCTGCGAACAAATGTTATCACAGCAAGTGATTTAAGTCCCCTCGAAATGGAGCCAATGCCGAGGATCGTGTGTAAATAAATGCTGTGCGATTTGCGGCTAGTTTTCAGTTTTCAGTTCTGCCGTTTTGTTGGTTTATCGTTTATTTTTGTCTTACAAATGTTCATTAGTCCCGGCGACACGTCCGTTGATCGATCGCCATGCCGAAGGCAATTGATCGCCTGATAACACTCGAAAGACATTCAGATACGGCCAGACTAGTGGCTCGATTTAGGCGGTTAGTGGGCATTAAGTGAGCTCTATCTACGGATGCGGATACCTACATCGTTTTGTATGGCGAACATTGTCGTAATGCCAGCGGATCGTTTGGCATGAAACGCACGTTCGATCAATTAAAACCCTCGCACAGCGGGACTGCGATTCCAGTTCGGAATTGGTCCCATTTTGGGGTGACTCACCGAAGGTTGTGGAAGGGTTGCCGTAGGAATTACTTGGGATTTACTTTCAGTTGCGAAAACTTGGAAACAAGGAGGAATTTTAAGTACCACTAAGCTGTAAGTGGACAGCCTTAAAACCAAGATAGGCACTTTAAATCAAAGTAATGAATTTATTCGCTGGCAGTTGTTATTTATAAATAAACTTGGAATGCCATTAGATTACATATAAGAAACCACATTCCCTTAATCACGAAACCCATTTAGTCATACAGTCAAAACAGTTTGTTTACATATGCGACTGATAATTCCAGTTTCTCCAAAGCATAGCACAATTATAAGACCATAAAAGTTCTTCCAAAAAAAGACCAACTTAAAAGAACCGCCGCTTGTGATCAAACAAGTTCTAATCAAACCTTTTTTACTCACGAGCCACTCAAATTACTTGAGACTTTTGCCAGTCATATAGTAATCCGATGAAAAATGGATAAATAATGACAAGAGATTGCAGTGTGTGAAAAGCGAAAAACAACAAGTCCAAATTAGTTGGGGATTAATGGTGAATACGTTCGACTGCAGAATGGAATCCTCTTCCAATGGAGAGCTGACATGCAATCGCAACCAACTCATACATATGGTCAGTAATGAGTGTTGCCAGAGCCAACATCTTTATTCAAACCCCTCTTTAATATAGAGTTGTTAAAGCATTCCTTAATGATCCTAACGATGATCAAACCAGCTAATCAACCGTCACGCTTTTTTGTTCATTGCTCCTATTTTCCTCGGAGGAAACTCACTCGACGACCATGAATAGAATTCTGGATTCTGGACCCCACATCAAGTGCCTCTTCACTTTTCACGTCCCCTCTTCAAACCCCCTTTACCAATCGTTATGACAGTTGCTGGCTACTGAAGACACTGAATAGCACTGAGAGAAAACACCACTAGTTATTAGAACTTGTTTTAAAGGAGCTTTGATATTTCTCCTTCTGTTCATTTTTTACTGAATCTTCAGAGTCCAGTTTGATAGTTTTTGTTTAACTTATCACGATCATTAGTATGATGAATATTGAAAATTTTTATTAGTGTAGCTTTATTAATCGGGTGCCTGGTGGTCACTTCGAGAACTGAAGAGTGGTCGCCTGTCACATGACTGTCTTCAGGAGCAACTCTTCTCCAACTTCTTTTCCTTTTCTCCGGCATTAATTAAAACATCGCCACACACTCACACCAACAGTCTCGGTAAGGAAAATTGCCCGCCTGGGAGCGATGCGAAAAAAGGAGTCGTATAAGGAAATCGCCTGCTTTACCTTTGAGAGGCTGGCAAAATTCTCGTAGGCAATTTGCACTTTTAATGAGCCAAAACAAAGTGTAACAAACGCACAAGCACACCCGATCAACGTTAAAATTCCGATCCGCTGTTTAATTAGTCGAAGCCGTTGGTCTGGCGCGCTGTGGTGTTTTGTATTTTGTAATTCACAGAGTTAAGCGAAGAGGGCCAGCGGAGTTTGGCGCTTGCGATTCAGCGACATTCGTGTTGACCGATTGAGCGGCGCTCGAGAACTGTTTTCCGCGGCGAGTGTGAGTGTTGGGAAGCAACGATCGTAAGATCGTAAGCCTATCGATAGTAGTTGACTGACGGCGGGGCGACGTCGACGTCGACGTCGGTTATCGAAGTGGGCCCAAACCCCAGAAGCGTTTGCCTGTCGCCCGTTTGCGGCTGTCGGTCGCTTAAATTAAACTCGGAATTTGGCTGAAACCAGTTGAGTGCACGCACACGAGCGAGCGAACGGCAAAACTATATATGAATTCATATCAATATGTCCACGCCTCGTCTCTGATTCGTGCGTTGGCCTGCCGATCGTTTAAATAAAATAATAGTAGCACACACACACGCACACACACAGACGCAAAATTGCACTGGCAGCGATCTAATTGCTGGCTGGCATGCTAGAATGAAAAGCGTTTCGGGGCAAAAAAAAACAAATAACCACACCGCCTAGTATACGTATCGAAAGTATTTACTTCCAGGCTCACGCAGCATTAACCGGCTCTGGAGTTTCCTCAGATCCCCTACTTGCATATTCATGAACCGCCCTGGGCGGTTGGGATAGCTTAACTTCGCAGGTAATTTAAAGGATATGCAGTTGACAACATAATGGGGGGCGGCACCAGCGGCTCAAAAACACACTATTTATTATGAGAAAAGCAAAATACTTTTATTTCCGCACCTAAGTTCCACTTCAGAAATATATCACGTATACGCCAGGTGTACGCTGTGCAATGTTGGTTACCCAAGGGGATCTGACTCACTCGCAATAAATTCTGCTAAACCAAGCTCCTCTTCAGCACACTTTTCGAACACTTCAAGCCATTCTTAATTTGCATGCCCCAACAAAATATTACGCATACGCAGTGTTGACAACCCGAGGCAATTTATCGTAAACCTTGCCCAAACTCGCGAGGCGGCACTCAATGGATGATTTAGTGCGGATCACTTCATAAATCATGTCCTGTAGCTCATGCCAATTTCGACATAGCCAGATTATTCTCTTTTTATGTCATAATTACAAAAGCCTGTTGCCCGCTACTTGCGCGTGATTGCAGCGGAAAACGTTTAGGGAAACTGATTTATTTATTACAAACAATATTACGGGGCCTGTAAACAAAACCGAACTGGAAATATTATCAACTCGGCGCAGACGGATTGCGAGCGGGCAAAGTGTGGCGAGGAAATAGAGCCGAGCATGCAACAATCATTTGGCGTGGGACGTGATTTAAGCAAAAATCAAAACATTATTAAATTGTTTACATGTTAATTCAATTGGAAACCGTAACAAAAGTGGGGTGGAAGATTTCCAACCACTGAACAAAAACTATACAACTTTGATAAGTCATAAAATTGTCCAGGAATTTGCGATAAATTGCAAAACATTTTGTAGGCAATACATAAAATAAAAATTAATACACAGATTGTTCTAATATTATAATCACTAAAAAAAATATTAAGTTCTTTTATTATAAAAACGATAACCAAGTTAACCCATTATTTATTAGAAACTAAACTTTTCCGCACTCCACTACAAACTTCCCCCACCCCTGGGATCCATTTAGTTGCCTGCGTTTACTTTTATTAGATTGCGGCGATATGAGTCTTTGTAGTCTCTCGATTTTGTTTGTATTTGGTGACATTGACGCCATTGATAAGGCGTCATGAGAGACGCTAGTGAGCGTAGGCAATAATTATATATATTTTATTTAATTGGTGCAATCGGTAAGGAAAGGTTATTTGGGCGGCAACATAGCAGCAACAGTTGACTCTTGACAACATCCGCCCGTAGATGAAATTATGGTTCTTTCTTAGTTAAACTGATCATTAATAAAAACATTAATTAATTGGTTGTAAAATATAATTTAAAGGAATTTTTTTTAACTAACATTCCCACAATATTCTTGAGTGCTTATTCAAAAACACAACTTTAGTTATAAAGACTTTGAGAAACTTATTTCTATTTATTTATTGAACCGTTACGATATCAAAAAATTTGAACAGTAAAAGCTTGAAGTATTGAATAAAGCTTACGAGCTGAAAGCTTTTTGCAATTAGCGGTGACACAGTCAAATATTTTATTCACAAATTTAAAAAATATCGAAAAAATAATTTAAAAAATTAATGAAATATCTCTTAGATTAAACATAAGTTTAACATAATTAACATAATTCAAAACTTGTCACGAACAGCTGATTTCAAGATCACGAATAGCAGAAGAGAAAATTAAGAATTCTTTCCAAAGAGTAGTTGAATCGATTTCTCTTTAGTAAGAGTATGGCTTTACTGCGATCTCTCTGTATAAACAAACAAGTTTCATTGATGAAAAATCAAATTGGTGTTAATTTTTTCGCAAATTGATTGGCGTGGCGTTTTTCTTTGTCGATTTAACTGTTGAAAATTTGTCAACTTGGCATAAATTTGATATGCAACTTACTCAAGTTGTATTCTTCACGAAATGCGACCTGAAAAAGAAGCACGCCTTCAGAAAGAAGAGCTTCCCAAATCATGTGGCGGCAAAAATTTCAATTTATTATGGTTGAGGGGATAAAGAATTCGAATGATCGGGGGGAAAAGAACGCTATAATGCGAAAATTTGACAAACTGTTTATTTTACGTGCTATAAATGGGCGGAATTACTCGCCAAATGGTTTTTTGGATAAGCAAACAAATGGAAATTGTTGTTTACTACCAGATATACAAATTTATAATTTATAGTATAAAATTGTAGCTGTAATAAAGATATACAACACATATCTTTCAAGTGCTCCATAAATCACCTAAATTATTATAGAGAAGTACGATATTATTGAGGAATTTTAAATTTACCTACTTATCACTTAAAGCCATGATAAGTATATATTACCTTTTAAACCTGGAGTCCCATTGCCTATTGCGACTTAATTTTTCCGAAGTGAAAACTTTCAAAGCCAAGCAAATAAAGCTTGTAATTTATTTCTCCCCTTTCGAAAAACTCCTAGAATTGGTTCCGATAAGAACCCCTCTTTCTTATAATTAGCCAGTACATATTTATACGCCCGAAATCTGCGCAGTTGTAAAACCAAGTCTACACACCCTCACACCTTAAACCAATCGAAAACAAATCACAAAACAACAACACATTTTAATGGCAAAGTGTCAGCGATTTTTCACTGTTGCCTGGTTGGTTTGTTTGTTTGTTAAACTTTATGACAAAATGCTAAAAATAAGCTAGCAAACAAAGCGAAAAAAACTGAACAGCAATAACTAAAACAACTACTGAGCTTTGTTCCCTGTTTGTATAATGGTAAAGCTAAGGGAATCGCAATGAAATCGGAACAAAGAAATATAGGGAGCAAGAAAATTTTCCCTGACTTATCCTTCGAGTGCCCTTGTAAAAAGTCAAGAGTTTGGTTAGAAAGTAAATTGTTTATTTCACATCCTAGACCATTTGGTCCAGGATTATCAAACTTATCATTGAATTTTTTTAATTATAATTATTATTTTTGTATTAATTATTATTTATACTAAATAAGATCTTTTTATGATCGGTATCCCTTTTGGAATAGGGTATAAAATTAGGCTAAGACCCTGAGCAATCATTGAATATTCCGGGCACGGACAAAAAGGAGGCAGCTCTACCTCTACCTCTGAATTAAGGGCTCCATTGCGAAAAAAAAACAAAAAAAAATTATTCAATGGCCAAAAGATTGTGCAATCGCAAAGTTCGTAGGCGGCATAAATCCATAAATAAACAATAATAAATAAGCTGTTGTTCAACAAACAGCGCACAGTAATTGCATATTAAAATGGGGCTTACATGTTGGACGAAATGTGAAGAAATTCCAGAGTCGAAAAAAGTCCGAGAGAATCGCTCTCTTTTTCTTGCTCCTCTTTTGTGATCAGCCGGCTTTTGCGAAGAAAGTTTCTCGGTTTCCACTTGTTGATCGCCGCTCTTTGGTTTCCTCGTTAATTCACAGGAAGCACAGAATTAAGGCCGAAAAAATATATATAAATGAAATGCAGGCGGCACACGAAACTTCGTCATCAATTTAGAGAGTCTGCACTTTTGTTTTCTCGAGTCTTTTCACTTGTGTTTCTATGAAATTGGTCACTAAAATTTAAATGCTTTGCCGCAGAACACGAAAGATTGGGAAATGAAGGAGGGGCCGAGGAGCGGGGGCAGATGAGGAGAGAGAAAGTCCCCAAGAGAGGAGAGCGATCCAATCCCTCATCGCTGTTATTGTTATCACCTGAGTCAAGTACAGTGGGGATCCGTTCAAGCTATGAAAGTAATCCTTCTGTTATTTTCTTATAAATTTGAAATTAATAAAGTAAACATTGAATCAAGTTTTTTTTTTTTTGATCGTTATGTTCCAGGAGGCTCTGGCGTAGGATTTCGTTGCTAAACCAATGCTTGCAGCATACTTTTATGGACACCAAATGTTTTAACGTTATCAAATAAGTGGTCATCGGATCCCCACTGCTCGAAGCTCCACTGTATTTCTCTCTCTCTCTTGTTTTTAACGTGCTCTCCCGCTCCACATAGTTTGTCTTGTTGTTGTTTCTGCCAGCGTAGCTTAGTTAACTTGAGCGGCAGCAACAACAACAGCGAAACTTGTTGCTAAAAATAGAAGCGGCGGAAAAAAATATAAAAAAGCGAAGGCGGCAACGCGCACAAATTGGAAAAAATTATATGAGGCCACTATAACAAAATAAAGGAGTAACAGAACCACAGAAGAGGATGAGTTTGGAACAAGTGGGCCTCTTAGGAAATGTATCAAAGAAAAGCGCAAAAGCAGAACGGCGAAAAAAGGAAATGAGACGCAAAAAGAAATGCACTTCGAAGAGAGAAAGAGAGAGTTGAGAAATGCAGGGAAATTGTCTTGGACAATGTCCCGTTTCGTTTTCAGGGAAAATCTGCCAAAACAATGCGTCATGCCAAGGCGCGAACGAGATGAAGCAACAAACAAGTGATTTTCCATGCATTTAATTGCAGGCTGCACTTTAATTTATTAATTTTCCACTTTGAATCACAAACTAAGAGAGAGAGAGACAGAGAGAGCCAGCTCCACCTCTCTTCGGTCTTTTCCCCCACTTTTTTTAATGCATTTCACTAAAACTGCATTCACGTTTCGCGTTTTCCCGACATTCAGTCAACTTTAACCGTTGCCTTTGCTTTAATTACTTTCTAAGGCAAATAGTTGCACATATGGAAAATCGCTCGTTGTTGTTGTTTCTAGAATTCAGAATTGAGCACAAACGCTAGATCGTACGACTAGCCGAAAGCAACAACAACTAACCGAGTGGCACGCACACACACTAGACCCGTCGTTGAAAAAACGCCAAACGTTGATGTGGAGCCCGCGAGAGTGGAAAGCAATCTGAGCGAACGGCGCAGCGGACAAAGTCTGTGGAGCTCCAAATCGCCAAGAGAGGGAGATCTGCAAAAAAAAGCGGGAGAACGGGAGAGCAAAAGAGAGAGAGCCCCACGGAAAAAAACCGTAATCAGCAGCAGGTTGCTTTTGCATGTACAGGCATTTATCCCTATAAAAGACTTGCACTTAAATAAAGCCATTATATAAGCATTCTTAAGGTGGATAACTGGTGCTTCAAGTCTCGGTGTCTTCTTTATTTCTTTTGTACATCTTAAAACACCAACTGAATCAATTTTCCGATGATCAGGCGGAACAAATCGATTCTATTAATCACAGTGGATTTGTGTATGCTGTCATCTTTCCAAGTGGGTCAAGATAAGCCTCGTATTATAAACTGTCATTAAAGGATTATTTTTACAGTAGTTGAAAGTACACTTAAGTTTAAGTGGTATAAACTTTGATTTAACAAGAGGTCAAACATTCATCATCCCAAAATAAAAATCTTTTAGTGTAATTTTTTTTCCCAATATAATTAAAACTTTTGTATCTTTAAGATCGGACTACAATTTTCTAAGTCAGATATCCAGTTTTGGTTCACCTACGGTAAACACTTGAAAATAGTTATTTCAAATGAAAAACGGTTTATCACTTCGTGATGTAGGGCACTCTTGGAACTAATTGACTAGAGCGCCGTTTCGGATTATTCAGCCGTGCGGTTAGTTTTGAAACTACTCTGCGAGTTTTTAGCGCCAATTGTTATTGTCGAAAGCGGTGTAAATAAGCAGTGTTTCCGTTTCATTCCCTACATTTTCCAGTATATTTTATGCAAGCAGTCGAAGCAGTGCGTTTTACAAGGGGGCGTGACGTAGTCTTTATATGCACTCTCATCGAATTCCAGCCATTTTATGGTGACAAAAGGGGCGGAGCCTAACGAAAGCATACAACTACATGGTAAATTTAATACTGGGAAATTCCAGAGACTTTTACATTTTAAGAACTCCATATATTTAATGGCATATTTTAAGAAATTAATTTATTTTATTAATATGAAATATAATTTCCAAAAAAAAGAAATTTTTTTGTTCTTCTTTTCTCTGTTTGTATTAAAAACAATTTAAACTTAAGTTTTATGCAATATGATTGTTTTATTAATATTAAATAATTTTTTTATAAACAATATTCGAAGAATTAGACCAAGATGTTTTTATTTAAAAATCAATGAAACATTTCACTGATTTCGAACAAAGAATGTACCCAAATTCGCAGAGATGCAACGACCAAGAATCTTGGTTCCCAAATTTCCCCTAAGGAGGCGGTTCATCTCAAGAGCACCCACCCCCAGTATTTTCCCACCCCCTCTTATTGTTTGCCACCCACTTTTGCCCCTCTGTCGCTGCCGCAGTCGACGTCGCCGGCCGAAAGAGAAAGATGGCAACAAAAGAAGAAAGAGGGTGGAGAAAAGGGGGAGGCGAAAGAAGAGGAAAACTGAGGCGGCAGCAAAAGTTGATTAGATGGATTTCGTTTGGTTTTTGTGTTTTTAATCACACACCAATTTCATTTATTAAATCTTCGCATCAGCATTTCATTTCTCGCATTCTCTCTCTCTCTCTCCTTTCTCTCTGGCTCCCCCTTTTGGGTCCTTGTTGTTGTTTTTGGCTTTGCGTCGGCATTTTTGTTTTTCCCTACCGTTGTGTTTGCTGGTCTGGCTTTCTCTTTTTCCCACACTCTTGTTTGTTTGTTTGTTGTTTTCTCTTTCGCTCATTGTCACGAGCAATTGCCTTCTCCCTCCTCCTCCCCCTTTCCCACACCATCCCATCTCTTTTTCTCTTTCGGCCCAGGCAAAACTTTTTGCAAAATGAAATTGTTTTCGTATTAACAATTTCATTAAAATTAAATTACTTTTATTATTCCGACGGAATCGGGCGAGCGAAAGGAGAAAAAATCAGCCCCCCTTTCCCCCCTTTTCACCCACCCCATTTTACCCCCTTTCCACCCTTTAAAAGGCAAAAGCTTGGCTTCTGTTTTCTTCAGCTGTCATACAAATTAATTGCCCTTTTAATTCATTTTGCTGGATGTTGGTGGGATGCAAAGAGAAAAATCTTACTAATAATTATTAAACATATCTAAGGATATATTCTACATACATATTTTAAAAACTTTTTTCATCTGTCATAAATTTATATATCAATTGTAAATAAATTAGTTTATTGATATGGATACTCCTCATTCCAATAACTTCAGCAATAAAATAAAGTCAATGATGTTACTTTGCCGAAAACCACTTAGAGAGTGCAATAAAAAGGAAACAAAAATATCCATCGTAAATAAAAAATTCGCCACTTAAGTACAACCGTGTAATAAATAAAATATCATAAATGCGGTGCCTTAGCATCTCTCCAAATAAATAACTTTGAATGAACTTTATCCTATATCCTTCTGCGCCGCAGCTCCTTTCACTCTAATTCTGTTTGGCCATTTATTTTATTTAGGCATTTCATAGAACGATTACCATTCCACAACGCCCCTCCCCGTTTTTATTCCCAAATTGTTGTTGAAGACATTGCCTCCAAATGGATTTTCTTGGAGCTCTCTTTTAGCCAAATGATGCGTAGGCCATAAAACCGAAAGGGCAACGATGGAGTCTTGGCCATTTGCTTAGCCGGTGGGCGTGTCTTTCGCCCCCTACCCACCTACCGACCAAGGAATAAATTTACAGTCGAAAAAATAGTCTTTTAGGTTAAATATGATTTGTTTTAAGTATATCAGATTATCTGTTTTACTATACAGTTGTATTCTAAAGGCTTTCATATTCTATTATTTTTGTTTAATATTAAATACATTATCAGTTTAGTTTTCTTATGTGCATCAAACAATTTTTGATGGCGCCAATAAATTTTCCGGGTTCTTTTCATGCCTACGAATGCGAGTTGAAATGTCGCATCATAAATAAACGGGAATCGTTTCCAGGAGGTAGGTGATGAAGGGGTTGGGAGGTGGCAAGGGATGGTAATCGAGAATGAGAGGTGGCCTTCAAATAAACCGCAATGCAATTTGGCCTAAAAGAAGTTAATAAAATTTCGGTCGGCGCAAAGGGGAGACTGCTGTACTTTAAATGCCAACGGCGTACCGAAAACAAAAGGGGGGTTTCAAAGTTTTTTTTTAGAACATATTATTGATATAAAAGGTTTGAAAAGGTTTTCTTGAAATAAGAAGCCTAGCTATCGTTTAATAACCATTCAAGTTGTAAAATAGGTTTCCTAAAAACCCCAGTCTTTTATCAGAAATCAGAACATTTTTATTTTATTTCAATTTTTGTAGAAACAATTTAATCCGCAACTTCCCCTTTTGCACGTCCCTGCATTTATGCTCCTCCTTTCCAGCCGGCTATTCATTTTCGGGGGCTGCGCCATTTTGGCTTGGAAAATTTATAAACGTAATTGAGAAGCCTTCGCCGCAGCGCATTTTCCCACCCCCATTTTTCGCCACCCAACTGGCCGCACGTAAAATGCATTAACTGCTGCTTCTGGCTTCGTCCTGGTCCGGGATCAGGATCCGGATCCGGATCCGGTTACAGCTACGGGTTTTCACTCCTGGCAAAGTCCGAGGCACTCGCAATTTGGTTTTCGAAAAATAAGCAATTTGTAAATTGAAAATGGTCGTTCCAGGGCCAAGAGCAGGGGAGGGGGATGGGGGGCGAAATTGCAGTTACATGCGGCCATTTACTACGTGGGCGGTTGGGCGGCGGGGGGCGTGGCAGGCTAGAGCTGACTTCGCGGAAGCTGGAAATTAATTATTTGCCATTAAGGCTAAGTAGATGATATAAAAAGTGGCAGCAAAGCGTGCTCCAGCAGGGGAAAAGCGGTTGGGGGAAAATGGTTGGCAAATGGGAGGAAAAGTGGCGGTGGCAGTGTTATTGAGGCGGTTTCTCCCGGGGGTGGGCCCAGTTCTGCAGGCAATTTAGACAGTCAAGTGCCCATATAAATTACATAAATTTCACCCAGGAACGGTCGGGCCCCAAGAAAATGGTGGAAAAGGGATAATAAATAAGTACTTTAGCAGAAAATGTAGAAATTCTTAGAAGTGGAAGGACTCCTTAGTTGGTCATTCGCTTAAGTTATTATCAAACTCTTTTCTACCGAGTAAATTCTACCAAATAATGAGCATAATAAGTACTATACAAACATAGGTTTTTCTAAGACACTTCTGAACAACGATTTTTAAAATAATATCTATCTATTCAACCAACTTATTTAAGTAATCCCATTTAACGCATAACTGATGGTTTACCGATTACTGACAGCTTTGTTGCACAGTATTGCACAATGAACTACAAGTAGTTTCGGTGGCAGGAAAAATCTCTTTTCTTCACCGAACCGCTGGCACTCACCTGCCAAAGGAAGAGGCGGCAGGAGAAGAGTGCCACGCCTTCTCTCTGGCGTCCAAAACGAATCCCAGACTCATATATTATGAAGCAAGTAATTCCACTAAAACGAACCAACCAAGAAAAGCCCCGAAAAACGGAGAGGGAGTGGAAAATAAACACAATCAAAGAGGACAAAACAAAATTTAAGCGCAAAATGAAATGAAATTCGGATTGGAAACGAAACTAAAATACGAACTAATGATGGGGGAGGGGGTGGGGCTCAGGGGTTGTGGGTGTGTAAGGAAGTTAGCTAACAATAGACAAAGTCATAAATCAGGGCGCCAATTTGCGGGCCTGACAGTCTTTCCCGAGAATTCAGGGGAAGGACGTAGGGAGGGCCAGAAGAAACTGAATAGTTATCCAGCACGCCGAAAACGCCAGGACTAGAGGTTGGGGAAAGGAACACTATAAAAAACAGTGCCATTTATATTTAATTAAATATTTAAATGAGTGTAGATTCTACAAGAAAGGGTTCTAAAAGGTTTATAGTTCTAACTTCACAAACATCAAAACAGAAAGAAGAGAGAAAAAAAGAGTTCTTTAAATAATTGTCATATATTGGAAAGAGATTTTAATTCACTGTTAAATTTGTTGATTTCAAAATAAAAACAACATTTATTTTATTTCGCTACTACTTTTGTTTCAGTGCACAAAACGGCAGAATAGGGACTGCAGAAGGCAACAAATTCATTTCGTAATTGTGGCCAACACGCCAAGGGGTAAAAAGGGGGGCTGGAGCTCGAGGGGCGTGGACGGGGCGAAGGACAGTTAGAGGAGCCCATTCAGGCAAACAATAATAAATGGGATCCAAGATGGCGTCATTGGGATTGGGAATTGCGATTATACGGGTGTATTTTCGGGGGATGGAGGAGGGAGCTAGCCATAACAATAATGCCCCATAATAAATTAACTGAAATTCACTTAGTTATTTATTTTTTTGCCCGACAAGATGAGAAATTAATCTAAATAAATTGAGTTGTCAAATGAGGCAAGCAGAGAAACAGAAAGAAAAAAGAGGGGTAAAAAATGATATGCCAAATATATACCAACGGTGAGTAATCGTTTTCTTATTGTTACAGCAGTTGTTGTTGTAGCTGCTCCTGGTTCCTCTTCCTCGAGGAACACCCAAAGCACAAAAGCTTCGTCTTCTTCTGCCCCAAAACGCCCTCCCTCCCGCACTCTTCCCATATCTTTCTTTGCCCCACACATTCACCACACTTAACGATGAAAATCCAATTTAAGGCTGCCTCAGTTGTTTGCGCTCTCTTTCCCCCTTGGGGCTAGCCCCGTCTCTCTTTCTCTCTCGCTCCCTCTCTCTAGCCACCTAAATAAAGTGTAATAAAATAAAGTAGATAGGGATAAGAGTAGATAGGGATATTAGGAACCCGAGAGCCCTCTTCAACGTTTTTGTTGTTTTTGCAGCTCTCCATGCCGAAAATTCAATTTCCACAATGAAAATGCGCGAGAAAATTGTCTTACATACAGAGGAGGTGCAAGCGAGTGGGGGCTATGGAGCGAGCGAGATAGGTGTATGTCTCAGAATAACTGTGCTTTGGTTTGCTGACTGCGCAGCGCCTGCGCCAGCAAAAATAACGGGAAATGGCAAAGGCGGCGCTTAGGGGCAAAAACAAAACCCACCCCCCCGTTCAATGGCGCTCTCAGCATCCCTCCTTCTCTTTCCCACCCGCAGCCATCTTTCTGCCAGCGCAGATCTAATTTGCAGTTGACTGCGCTGCTAGCGTAGACTGCGCTGTCGACGTTGCAACTGCGGCAAGCACCGTTAGATCATTCGTAATCTGACGTTCCACGCGGTCGGTTCACCATCATCCAATCAGTACTGTGTAGATCAACAGTAAAGCCCCCGAAAATACGTAATACCCAACTGGATTAAATGACATATTAAAATCTGTGCAGGGACCTTTTCCGTCGGCAAAACTGTGCTTCTAGAAACCTAGTTACTTTCCTAAAAAGAACTACAGGATCCATCAAGTGATAACCCCCAAAAATAACTCTTAGCTCTCAGAAAATAAGACATAAGATCCTTCAAGAAATAAACCCACATGTGTGCATTCTAGACCTAAAACGAACTCCTGTTTGCGGACCATTACATTCCAGATTGAGTGTGTAATTTGCAAGGGAATCTTAAACTTTCCCCGACATCCTTTGTAATTCCTACACACATCCTTGTTAAGAACTTTCTGACTAACTTCCTGAAAAGTGTTTAGACGCTCGAGAAAACTTTCGCACCTTTGCCTTACGTGAGTTGAGTGCTGTGAAAATTGCAGAAAAGTTGAACTCGCAGCCAAATAGCTAAAACAAAAGCGGCAAAGGATTTTCTTTTGTGACCCGCTCGAAGTATTGCTGCCAAAATTTTCACGGACGGAAATAAGGTAAGTGAAGACCAAGGATATGAAGAACAGAAACATATTAAGATACAAATTTACAAACAACTGCAGCCGATGCAAATTGTTGTAATTTGAGGTTTTTGAAAGACACAAAAAGTTTAGTAATTTAATTTACTAAGACCCAGACTAAGACCGAAGTAATTGAGTTATCTGTCATCCCCAAATCGAAAACTTTTTCCAAGGCAGACAATTTTTAAAATCTTTTCCGCGGCACAACACATTGTGCTTATAATTTATTTAGACGCTTTTAATTAGCATTAAGGAATTTCTGTGATAAAAATCTCGACTCAGAAGGGTCCCGAATCCTGGAGTGTCCTGGCTCATGTGTTCTTGCGCGACAGCTGAAGTGTTTGGCAAAAGTGTTTGTGTCGATGCCTTTCCTGTGAGAAATCGCACAAAACTCGTGAACACTTCAAGCAACAACAAAAACCCAAGGATTGGAGGCGGAAAAAGAATTAAAACCAAAATTGGTGTGTTCATAAAGGATTCGGCGACAAGGATTCGAAGGAAGCTGCCTCGCCTGCAAGGGAAGGGGCTCTCGGTTGAAAGCTCGCCGCTTAATTGAAGACAGACCAAAAGTTGATCACTCCGCAAATGCAGTTTGAATAATTGATGATAATTAAGAGAGGAAAAAGAGGAGACAGTCCATGCGCTCCGCGAGTGGGAAAGAGACGGAGCAAGGGTACAAAATCAATGGCAAATATTTCGCCAAAGAGCGGACGAAAAAAGATGGAAAAACGAAGTTTCAAATTAAATTGATCAACCGCAAATTAATTGGCAGCCATGCAAACGTTCAACGCTCCAGTGGACGCCACGCCCCCAAATGGGCGGTTGCTGGAATTCAGGGGCGGGGGTTTTTGGGGGGAACACTGAATCCACAGAGGAGTCAATTGGAGTAGACAAGCGATTTTTCCATTCGTCGCCAAGTTTTGTTCGATTCGTTCAACTCAATTAGGGAAACATGGTTGGTGGGGAAAAAGGGGGGCTTGAAAGCGGGCAAAAAGGCGGCGAAAGGGGGAGTGGAGTGGTGGGCCACATACAAATAAAATACAATTTGGCATATTTAAATTAGCAAATGGAATTATCATAGAGAACGTTAGTCCGAAGGAGGTTAGTTCGGCCATGTTTATTGATTGCTTGATTGAATTGAACGTCGAATTGGTAAATGGGCCGAATTGATGGATAGATTGGACCCCCAACTAAGGGGGCATTCCATATGCAAATTATATATGGCTCGGGATTAGGGATTCGGAGAAGATTTGGTAATCAAATATCGAGGATATATTTTAAGATAAAATGAAGATTAAAAAAACATTACAAAGATTATCTTCACTACAGATATTCGTATCGTATTTGTAAGTTTCCAAAGCTCTACCAAATTATTCAGAAATCAAATTGATAATCAATAAATCCGTTATGTACAAATGAAAGTTTGTCAACGATGTCTCAGAAATTCCAGGCACCAATTATAATTCCCATATGTTTCTCAACCACTTAACGACCCCCCGCAAAGCCTAATATGTGGAACCAACACCTCCACCGCCCCTCCCTTCCCCACTTGAAATGCACAAAACAATTTGCTTTAATTAAACAGAAAATTCAATCAAAATATTTATAAAACAACAAAACGAAGCCTGTAGGGGTGATCACCAGATTTTCCTCCCCATGCGGGCGCCCCGAAGATGACGACACAAACATACATATATCATGCATTTATGCCGCACGAATTGAAGGGTTAGCTTTCGGAATCGGCGCAGTTTGGCTTTCGAGTTTGTGCGAATTGGCGACACTTGGACACGAAAAGCTGGCGGGGGAGCAGCATGGGTGGCTAATTCAATTTACGAAATTTTTCGCAGTGCGATTTGCAGGCGTTGATTCGTTGGTGGGTGGCTCTCCGGCCAAATGCACGGCATCATTTCGGTCTGATTTACACGGAGGCTCTGATTCCCTGATTCTAGGCGCGAGCCAATTGACACAATCAAATTCGAACCTCGCAAATTCGCTTAATGCGCCGCGAGACAAAAACAAAACCAGCAAAAACAAAAAGAAAGAAATACGCTCAACCAAAACTGCAATCAAGAGGGATACTTAGATGGGGGCATATGCAAATAGTTTGACTAGACAGTGGAGACCCGTTTTAAGGGATTTCGGGAAAGGTAAAAATATTATTTGATGCACCTTAATATTTGGGGAGTTCTTTTATTTAAATGTAATTATTTAGGTAAACAGGGCAGTAACTAGATGTACTTTTGAAAAATTCCCCTTCCTATTACATACATTTTTCCGTTACACAGGCTTCACTATGTCCAGCGTGCTTATATGAAAGCCCACTCCAAGTTGGATCATCAGTGGCAGACTGCGCCAGTTTAGTTTGATTATGCGGACGGACAGACGAACGGACGGACGGACAGACGGTTCTAAAAACGGATGCACTTTGCTTCGGTGGCAAAAGTGATAACCTCATCGCTGGTCGAGCGTTTTCCTGCCGCCCACCTGCTCCGCCCCCCATTTCCATATCATCTCACCTCAGTGGGAAATTATCGCGCTTTCGGTTGGGGCAAACAAAAAACTAGGAAAACTAGAGCTAAACGAGTGAGTGTGTGTGTGTGTGTGTGTGTGTGGGGCGGTGGGCAATTTCGCAAATGCGTTTAAGTGGCTCTAATGCCAGCGGGATGGGGTTTTGGAGCAGGGATGCGCACGTGGATAGACCCATGGATACGGATCCCGTCCGCCAGCGAAGGCAGTGCAGTCCGGCTGCGAATTGTGCCACTTTCCAGTTTTCCATGCGAGCGTATCTCTGCGCCTCGTTTAGCGGCGATTCGGCGAGCTGAGATTTGTGCAACCCGATAAGTCCATTAGTCCAGTTGCCCCTGAACGAAAGGAGGTTAGTTGTCAGTCTGACCTTCCAGAGGTTTTTAAATCCAGGAAATGTGGCTTAAAGTTTAGGTAAAGGCTTGTTTAGCCACCTCTTTCGAAACTAGAATCCAGTCAAACCATGCAAATAAATATCAACATTTTCCTATAGAAACTGTTACATTGATATGTAATCCAGATTACAACTGACAATATTCTGCCCCTGACAGTCCCCTTGGATCCCTTTAAGCTCATTGCTTCTGGGTGTTGCACTCGCTGATTGACTTGTGTTTCCATTTTTAATTTGGTTAATTCAAATTAATCAAGCGACAGTTGATAATTCCTGCCCCTCTTCGTTTTTTTTGTGTACAGTGGCGCAGCAAATGCATTTGTTGCATGGAAAGTGCATTGGCATTGGCGTCCAGACTCATCCATATTCATGTGCCTCCAATGTTGTTGGGTTTTCCGCTGTCCGCTGTCCGCTGTCCAGACGCACTGCATTTCCCACTTTGTTGTTTGCTCAATTAATGCAATTGCTCGTTTTGTCTCTCCGCCGTTGTTGTCATTCGTGACATTATTAATTTATATTTATATTACTTTTTATGGCTGCAGCTGTTGCATAATGCCCTCAGCAGTTGTCGCTTCTGCCGCTGCAACAAATTGCATTATGTCCTGATGCGTTTTAATTAATTTTGAGTTAATTTCGTATTTTATTTTGTGGACTCGTTTCAGGCACTCAGAGGCTCAATTAAATAAATGGGGGATTGCTATATGGAAATTAATTCCTACTCAGCTGTGATTGCATTTCAAGTACACTTTTCGGGGGTCAATAAAATATTGTTTGATATATTAACAGATATTTTCGTAAACATTCTATTATATTTCTTGTGAGGGAATCCCTTCTGATTAAAAAAGAATTTAATTGTCGTTAATAGCCCTGTTCCCTGGCATTTCGTTCCCATCAAGCCGACTCCTCCGACATCTCTCAGCCACCTAATGCAATTTTGCGAGCACTACATCCGCATCCGCATCTGCATCCGCATCCGCCTCTGTGCTGCCCCTCTGAAGCCCTCCAAATCGTAATCCTCCCGCTCTGATTGAATTTCCCCGTTTTTGGCGACGGCTCGTGGCAGAAACTAGCGCAGGCGTCCATTACTAAGCCCCATGTCCGAGGACCGAGTGGACAACAAAGGCTTACCACACAGATTTCCACCAATCTGCCAGCCCTTCACCACCCCGGCCTCGCCCTTTGCTATTTCCCATCCGATTTTCCCGGCACTGAGAAAAAACTCACCGTTAAATAGTAACGATTGGGAAGCTTAGGAGGTTTTCCCCAGCTCATGGAGATCTTTTGTTAACTTGTGATCACCTTTCACTTTCGTTTTGATATGTTGGTAATAAAAAAGACGAATATCTGGATAATTTGAATAAAAAGATACTTACACGAATTTTTTCTTAGTGTACCTGCGGAGTGCAGAGTCAAATCGAAATCGTTGCGCTGTTTAGTGCGCACTTAATTGAATTTCGCGTGTGCTGCTCCACCATCCACACACAGATGCTCACACACACACGCGCACACTCCCTCGAATGCTCACACACACACACACGCACACTAGCACTCACACAGAGAGTTGTGTTGCATTGTCTAGGCCACAAACATTGCCAAGTGCATTTCGTGCAATTGGATAATTGCATTTGGCTTGGCGTCGCCAGTTGCCGGCTGCCAGCGACAGTTGCAACACCATTGCACTTGCAGCAGCAACAACAACTTCAGTTGAGGTGAGCAAATTCGCAGGTGGTGACAATTAGCAGGCTCTGCCCAAAAGTAGGCAATTTGAGAGGAGTGGGAAAAGAGTCAGGCTTTAACAAGAGAGACTAAGCCTTAAGGCCACATTAGTAGAGTTTCTGTATAACCTTACTGCATATTTGGTATTTTTAATAAAAATTAAATAGGTTGACTTCAACTAATCTATAATAACCTATTTGCATATTAAGTATACGACGTGAGAGCAATTGTTTTATCTCGTACAGTAAACTATCAAATACTATTAAATTCCTAGATTCCCATGCACTTTAATTTGTCCTTAATAATATTCCCTGTTCATTTCTCTACCAAAAATCCTTCACAAGCAATGAGGGCTTAATGCAAACTCATGGCCAAAGTAATAGCCCTGTCCAATTTGTGTCTCGTAGTCTCGTAGTTGCGCCAACTAATTTGGCCCATCTGACTATTCCATTACAGCGCGTTACATAATCTCCACCGCTCCATGTCCGGGGCATTAATATTCAAAAATCAATTTCAGAAATAGCATTCTGATTTGATTTAAATGTAACGCCCCAAGGTCCGGCACAAGTGAGAGCTTTCGCCTCTGAATCGCACATGGGGCATTATCCGGTACTCTGCCAATCTGCCACTCTGCAACTGGGCAACACGGCACCGCAAAAGCCCCTCAGTCGGGCCTATTTAATACGGCCAAAATAATTCAGCATAAATTATTCACTGGGAATTAATTCACTAACAACACCAGCAACGAACGGCCTGTCAGCCCCAAAAGGCCGCCCCGTGCAAATCCCTACTCTGACGGCACTAAAACTTTAGAGCCGGCTCCTGCGGACCTGGCCAAAACAGCCCGTTGCCGCCAGCAGGCCGCATGTGCAACATTAGACACGAAATGGCAATTTTCCATTTGGCAAATGAGTTTTGCGGCCGACGGACTCCAAATATAACAATTATGCAAAATTACAAATTCTCACAATTCTAATGGAATGCCGGTCCCCGGGAGGCGGGATGTGGGATGTGGAAGGGGGAAGGGGCGTGGCCGAAAAGTGGGCGGGTCGAAGGGGACAGGTGGGGACTCGTTCCCGCGCTAAATGGAAATTTATTGGCGCCACTTGTCGGGGCTCGACTTTTGGGAACGCGGCAGCAGCTGCGACCAGGAAACAGGAGGCTGCGGAAGGACACTTAGAGAAATTACTACCTACAATATATTGGTCAGGAGTTAAGTAAACTAAGCTAGTAAGCCAATTAGTAAGGTAACAGAAAAATATTTTTGAAGAAGAGATCATTAAAGTTTTTCTTCTTTGGATTTAATATTCCTGTTAATTAGAATACCAATTCCTTTTCAACCCCCTTTTTCGCGCAGTGCAGCGTAGGCAGGACACGCGCTGCCGCCGAGCACGTTAAATTATTTTGCGTGTGTAAATTTGGCGGAAATAGTCTGTAACATGATATGCTAACACTTGTGGTGTGCTGGGTGGCTGGGTGGTTGGGTGGCTGGGTGGCTCAGGAGGTGGTTCTCTATGGACTGCGGGTGCGCTCCTGCCAACGGTCGTGTGGCGGCACCATAAATAAAATTCATACATTTTTTTAACAAATTTACTCAAATAAATTAAAATGTTGGGGTGGAGCAAGGCGAAGGTGGGTCCACCTGCAATCCGGGTGGTGCAACTGATTCGGTGGTTTGGCTGGCTGGCTTTTCCGATGTAAGTGTGCGGGTAATGTGTCACACAGAAGTTGCAATTTATTTTAATTGCAATTGAAATGTAACTGGAAATGTGATACCCAAAAAGAGGAAAGATATATGCGCAAACACAGGAAATTGGCCTGTGTCCATCTATGAATAAAGTTGGGCAATAATAACGTTCCCAAATGAGCGAATTTCGTAGTTGATCCGTAAATAAATCAGGGGATACTTTCAAGAGTGATAGTTTCGGCATAAAAGTTTTCATCCATCGGACTGATTTAATAATTAATAACATTTTTACAATGAGGATAGAGTACAGGGTACCTACTCTACGTTTTCTATAACTCCTTTCCCACCAATATCAATTTCAATTCGCCGAAAGGGAATCTTGCTTTCCCAGCGCCTTTCGCTGATCTTGGCTATCTGGCAATCTCTAGTTTGACACTATGACTTCCTTGCATCTCGAAGATAGGGAACTTTTCAATCAACTTTCCCTCCCTTCGCATGTTTTCGCATGTAAGGAGAAATTCCTCGACTAATTAAGCTGCAAACTGCATTGGGAAAGGCGCCAGCGAAACGCAAACATCGACTCATAACTGAAGTGAGTTCATCAAGAGCAGCTACAGTTACGGCCATAGTTATATGCCGAGTCTTTTGCGGCAAATGCAATTAATTTAAATCAATTGATTCGTTTGAGGACAATTTAATTGTATGCAGACGACGTACAATGCAGCGAGCAAACTGAAACTCAAACAGAAACAGAAACGGAGATGCAAAAGCAGATGAAATCGATTGTGGATGATTTGTCAGAAGTCTGTAATTGTCTTTAATTGAATCGAATTGAGTTTGAGGTGCATATGACAACATTAAAGGCGACGCAGAGTCGCCCCACAAAAGCGAGCGGAGAAATACCCGCATCCAATTGAATTGTGCACTTAAATTACAAGTTTCTCGTTCATCACCATCACGATCACAATCATCATCGTCTGCGTGATTGGCAAGTGAATTTATCAAAATTACATGCAATTTAAAGATTCTTTTTCTCAATTTCGATCGATGAGTAACCCTGTGGATTCTGATTTGATTGTCATTCCGATTCCTTGTCTTCTTTTCCATTTCAGCTCGGTCCTGCAGCCGCGGGCAGAGGAATGTTTTGCTACCAGTGTCCTCCCGCTCTGCATCCTTGCGGTCCCCACCCCCCGCGCCTACCAACTCTCGACTACCCCTTCGCCGCCACCCATCCATGTGAGTATACAATGTAAATAATTAAGTAATTTTTCCTTCTTGCATAGTAAGTTCGATTTTACAGGAAATTGTTACATCCTAAACCATGTTAGTCGTTTGATCAATTCCGCCCACTTATTAAAACCCTCCCTAATCGCTAATTAGGTAATTTGTGTTGCGAATTAGCATCTGCCGGAACAGATGGATTTCCAACTGACAAAAGTGCAATCCTCTCGCTCGCTTCGAATTAAATTTAGATAAAAAGCCAATGATAATCGCGGCTGCTTCTGCTCATATTTTGGCTGTCGTCAATGGATTATTATCTATCTGCGAATCTTGTAGTTACATTAACGAATTATTCTATTAGCAGCACGCTGCATTCTGTCGGGGTGATGCTGCTTAGGGTACACATTCCCCACTCCCCTTGTGGCATATCAGATTTCACGGTCGCACATGTCGAGAGTTTGCTGTTTGCCTAGAAAACTTTACCACTCGGTCAGAGGGTAAGTGCTACTTGAATTGGGTGTGAGAAGACCAGCATCGGAGGTGAAATATCATGAGGAAATACTCAGAGTTATAACATCATATACAGAACATGGATTTAGGCAGTGAAATTTAGGGAAAACAAGTATTTAATTGCTCTTCAGTTAAAACAGTTGACTTATGGTCATGGATAGTTGGTGAATAACCAAAGAATATCCTGCACCTACAGAGCAATCCCATTAAACACCATTTCGCTGAATTGGGTGTAAGGAAAAGCCACCGCAAGCAATTCGATTTCCCATGGCCCGCTCCTCCTCCCTCGGAACCACTCCGCATTCCCACTCACCAACCAACCGAACAAACTTTGCCTGGCACTCCAGAACCCGGAATTCGGAACCCAGAGCCCAGAATCGGAGCAGCAAGGCCCCATCGCCATATAACTATAATTGAATAAAAAAAAAGCTGGCTGAGAGCGGCAACTCAATCGATATTCGCATGCAGAAAGGGGATTTTCGGAGCAAAGGAGTGGCCAAAGGCAAAGTCAAGCTAACGTGAACGTGTCGAAAAGTGAAGCGATCCATTCCGATTGGAACTGAGAGGAAGGGGCTAAAGGGGGGCAAGGGGGGCTTGGGGGTATGGGGAATTTTGGATTTCATTTCATGCAATTATCGAATGGCAAAGCGTTAATGCTTTGGCATGCAAATTTTCCTTCGGCACTCGGAATGCGGCGACAGATTCGACAGATTTCGACAGATTGAGGCTGAGTGCTGAGGCATTTATCGAAAATCATAAATCAAAGCGCCATCCGCCGACGGAATAGTTTATTGATTTTCCCACCCAGCCAGCAGCCGTAAAAGGCACCGCCACGGAGCACATAAAAGTGGTTCCCCAAAACTAAAGCTCGCCGCAAATTGCAGTGCATTTTGTGGGCGGGATTTCGGGGGGTTTCTCCCGGGAATCTCCGAGGGAATGTGCGCCACGTAATGGGATTAGATGGAGACTTACGAACGCATTACGCAACATCTCGGCACGTAATCCTAATCAGGTGCAAATTCTATTTGCTGCTGACTGATTCAATATGACAGACGGACGACTGAGCGATAACTTATGTTGCGGGTCCTTCGAAAGGTCGGAGGTCCTCGGAGGGACTGTCGCTTTTGATTTGCGATGGCTTGATGGGGTCACAAGTGCCCCTAATGCAATTTCAGGCAGATAATTTGATTCTTTGCTTTAATAAAACATTAAAGGGGAAGTACCTTGAGTCAGCTCTCAAAGTTTTTAAAAATATCCTAAGACATCTAATAAGCAAGTTATAAAGTTCAATGAAAAGCAAAGGCATGCAGAGAAAACTCCCCCAACGAATTCCCTCTCCCCATTACATAACCAATAAATATGGCTCGCGAATCAGAACGAAAGATTCCCCAGAACATTTGCATGGCTAATTCAATTTGCCCGCTGTTTTGCGAGATTCCAACTCGTGATTCCTGACGTGACATTCCCCCAAGAAGCGACGCAGCCCAAGAAGACCTGACACCGAGAACGCCTCTCAATTGCTAAACTAATTTAAAATTTTTGCCAACGCGTGCCCGGACTGGCAAGCTCTGAAATTGAGACGGGCGACACTTTCCAGGGGAATTCGACCCTCGGCAGGGGGAAATCTTGGAGGAAAACTGGGCCAGCGAAGGAAAAACTATAATGAATGCTAATTCCCGGCTCTCAGATTAAGTGAGCTGAGCTGAAATCGAATGAGAATTGATTTCGGTCTGCTGTAGATACAGTATCCGCATCTGCAGACAAAGTTGCAGACGCGCGTATCTTGTGGATACCTCGGCTGAGTGGGCTGGGTGGGCGGAGCTGGGCGACTAGTTGGGTGGGCGGGGCAGAGGACGAGCTGATTGCAAGGACTCTTGACTTGACTGCTCCCCGACCGAAAATCCCTTAATGATGGTTTCGCTTGTTATGCCAAATGTTTAAAAATTGAATTATCTCCCATTACCGGCGCAGCTAACGAGCAGACGCAGAGCAGCCTGTGTTCACTGAGAAAACAGTATACTTAAAAGAAATATTTAAAAAATAAAAATATATAAAATACCTTACTCTCTTTTATCATAAATATTTTGAAGATAGAAAACTACTCATGGTACTTGAGATACATATTTTGGATTACAAATAAGAAAGATGTAGTAATTTGTGCCAGTGCACAATGAGACGGCTTGCCTGGCTTCCAGGGAGGGATGCAGAGATACAGACGGTTGGCTGCCCGACTGGCTGACTGGCTTGTCTGCTCCCCTTTGCGTACTTTTTGAATCAATTTGGCAACAAGGATTTGTTAATCCTGTCTTCCTGACAAGTGCGGTTAGTTGACTTGTTGTTGCTACTGTTCGGTTGTTCGGTGCTGCTGCATGACGTTTGATGTTCGAGCCGGGAAATGGGGAAATGGGAAACTCGGGGTGGTGGCACTTCTCCATTGGCTCGGCTTTCGGGGGAAAGCTTTCAGCATGAAATTCTTATTGCCCGGTTTTTGGGCAGCTTTTGCTGCGCTCAGGGATTTGCACTCGAAACCTAATTGTGCTAATTGCCAGCCGCTTGAACGTCAGTGGAACATGTCCGCTCTGGCCTTCTTTTTCGGCCAGAGGCATTTTCGGCCAACCTGGGGCATTTTCCATTTGCATTTTAGGCAATTATTGGCTGCAAAGAATTTGATTAGCAAGAAAATTGCACTGCAGCAGGATGAACCGGTGATGAGCAAATGAGAAAGGTCGTGCTCGTGATTATCCGAAATTTCGTCAGGAGAAAAAGTACAAAGTATAGCTCAACTGTCAGTCATATAAACTTGCATTAAAGCTTAAAAAAATTAGATGATATGATGTGACTAATAAATATATTATGAGTAAATTTAGAAAACAATAGAATATAATTCTTATCAATAATTTTGTTGAACTCTGTGTACAATGTTAGATTTATGTAGAATACGTATAGTTGATTCTCGTTATCTATTTGGTGATTTGAGTGAGGTTTAAAGATCACGTTTCACGCTAGCACCTCTAATGAGAACTTGGCTTTCCCCAGGCTCCTGGAAAATTATGCTGAGTGCCCGTAGCTGAACTCACCGACTATTCGATTAGCTTTTCCCAACTCCACTCCACTACCTCTTTGATTGCCGGGTCCAGACCTCAAATGGGTGCTTCATTAGCAGGATATAGAGATATTTTACCTGAGATACTTCTGCCTGATGGCGAAAGAAGCCGAAAACATTTTGTAATTATTTTCGTAATTAAATATTAATCGATGGCAGGCATAGCGACACTTGCTCGGCAGAAGAGAAGCGGCGGAGAAAACATGGCAAACAGCATTAGTGCGCATTACAGAGAGTCTCTAGGGAATCGAGAAAAGGGGGCGGGGTGGGGGTGGAGATGGGACGACCTTCGGCCTGGCGAAAATGAATGCCAAGTAACAACATTTCAGCTAATCGGATTAGAGCCCCCAAAAAAGTTGACACAGCCACACACACACAGACAAAGGAGAGAGCGAAAGAGAGAGAGAGAGAGGGAAAGAGACAGGAGGCTTTGCCCGGCTTTGGCAAGAAGAAAATTAAAATTAAATTTTGCAATTTGCCAGCTAATTATTTATTTAAAATCAAATTGAAAATTAATTTTACAACACGAACGAAACGAAACGAGAGTCCGAGGCGAAAAAGGTCCGACAAAGTTTCCGCCTTTCGACTTTGGACTTTGGTTTTCCATTTTCCGGGGGTGGAACGGGTGGAGCGGGCATTGTGGGGCGGAGGTCAAGTGGGGCTGTCAACGCCTTTCCTTTTGCTCTCTATCCCTCTCTTTCTGGCTCAAAGGCAGTTATAAAATATTTCGTAGCATACAAAATGGCGCTGCTGCTAGAAAATTCAATTAGCCTGCAATTTTTGGCAACAGCTGGCTTTCAGCAGAAAGGCAAGTGGAAAAGGGAAAATTCGAGGGAAGGGAAAGGGGTTTTTCAGCAAGGGCTCGGCAGCTAAGAAAAACTTTTGGCATGAATGAATTCCAAGGCAGTTATAGTTGGGTCATTTAAAATGTAGAAACTTCGGCTCGACTGGAGATATTGAAAAAGTAATGGAATTCCATCGTTTTCTATAAATAAGTTAAGGGACGAAGAAACTTTAGGACAGTTGTTATAAATTAAAAATCACCAAGAAATCAGAACATAAGTCCTCATAAGTCTTCACTGGATTCTATCCATCCTGTAATTTTCAAACACCCAAGTGAATCCCTGTTAAACTATTTAATTCATGGCTTCTCCAGAGAAGGCAGCTTAGTGGCACTTATGCTGTTGCACCCTGGGTGCAACTAGCCGCACTAAGAGGGCTAATGCAACACCTCACATGGCTAATTCCCGCTTCCTGCGATCCGCTTCTCCTCAGATACCAGCTACTCGTATCATCCTGCCATCCACGATGAGACTTTTGTGCGGCGGAAGCAGCGCCGGAATCGCACCACCTTCACCCTGCAACAGGTAAGTCGCCGGAACGCCGTAGCGAAACGAAAGAAGTAGCCTTTAATTTTTAATTCGGACAGCTGGAGGAGCTGGAGACGGCTTTCGCCCAGACCCACTACCCGGATGTGTTCACCCGCGAGGATCTGGCCATGAAAATCAACCTGACCGAGGCTCGGGTTCAGGTAAGAGAACGCCTTTCTTCCTCCACTGATTTGTTGGCCTCTTCGCTGGAAATTATGCAAAGTAGGAAGAGTTGAGAAAGGCGAGGAATATTGAAGTCAGAGCTCGAGAACTTGGCGAAATCGTATCAAATTTCATAAGTATATAAGTGCAGGGCGACCCTAGAGCGGTCACGCAGTCTGATCAAAGCCCTCCGTTTTTCTATATCTCTCTCCATCTGGAACTCCCCGTTCCCGAGTCGATTAATAATGCATATGCATGCTGAACAGGCCCAGGATTCGGGGATTACCAACGGGTTCTGGCCCGGATTCGAGTTCTGGGGTGGCGGGTAGCCAGCCTAATGCAATAACTGCCTTAAAAATATTTTTTATACACATTTTCAATGAAAGAAAAAACCAACGAAGCATCAAAATATGCAAAGTTCTTATGAGTTGGCAGGGAAAATTTTAAAAGAAAAGCGCAAGGAAGGGAAATTTTCCTCCTGCTCTGGTTATAAAGCGAACTCCAGCTAAATCAAATTTATTTTTCAATACGAGGAGGAGAGCTGTATTTGGTTTGAAGCCAAAAGCCAGCAGCTCTCAAAATAATGAAAGAAGTCCAAAATACAGCAGCTTAAGAAGTTTAAAAGACAGAAGATGGAACAATACTAACTTTAAAATGTTTTTTGATGATGGATATCTTTTGAAATGAAATCATTATTTCATATTCTTAATGATTATATTAGTTTTAATCTACTCGTTTTCCTCCCACCTCATTTACCTTAACCTTTTTACATTATTCATGATGCATTTCTGGCAATTGCAGCCAAAATTAGAATCACTTTTCTGTCTCGCGAAACAAAGGCATTAGAATTTATAGTCCAAATGGAAATTAAGCCAGGAAAGATTGCTCACTGGTCTCAGAAGTCCCAGAAGAAGGAGGTAAGTGCGAGGGCAATTTGCATAGGATTGCGAGCTGCATTTGTCAGATTAAAATGACAATTAGCGGATCTACTTCCACACATTTTCGTTACGTTTCGTTTGGGGGAAATGGAAATGGAAATGGAAATGCAAGTTCGCAGATCTTGGGTGGGTGGAACGGCGGGTCTCCGGCACTCGAGCACGTTGTCTCTGTTTCTCGGGCCGAAAGCAAATTATGCACATGGAAACTGAAACAGAACTTAATGAGGATGCCGCACTAACTAGACACGTTTGTCGCGAAACCCACGCACACTTTGGTGGCTATTAAAACACTTTGGTGGCGTTACGACATCCTCTCCATTTTTCTATTTCCGGCACAATTAGCCCGGCGCCTTCGAGTGGGCTTTTTCCCAGGCGTAACCAGATACCTTCAATTCAATTTGCCGCATAAAAAACTCTCGCAAATTGCTGTTTGTAAATATAAAAACTTCGGCAACGGGACACTTGTCGCAAACACGTGCACTTGTCAGGCTAACAAAATTACTAGTTAATAGGGAGGCAGCCGCCCCGTGTCCGAGAACCTGTCAGTTATTACCAACTTTTGTCCAGAGTTCTTTAACGAAATTGCGGCGAAATTGTGAAAAAAAAGCCCGAAAAACATTTCGACTGGACAGCTTAGTCTGGGATTTCGATAATGGAATGAACGCCAGATATTTTGATGAGGGTGCAGCGCGTTTTCCAACCGCATTTTGACACATTTTTTCCGTTCGGCCGTTGGGCCAACGGCGGAGCGGAAATAAATTTTATAATAAAATTTATTATGTGTACTTCGCTTGATTCCCCAGCATCCCCGACTTCGGTTTAGCCGCTCACTTGCCTGTAACCCGATACGTTTTCCACGGGATTTTCGTCTGTCAATTTTTGATGCCCCGGCCGTCGTCTGTGTTGTTTTCCCTCCTGTCGCATCGCATTTGAGTTCAGTGCAAAATCATTTACTTAATGTACATCCCAGCGAAGTATCCGTTGTGGCTGGGACCCAGCTGGATCAGAGATATATCCGTATATATGCGCACGGCGGACCCACCTGACAAGGACAAAGCACTTTGAAGTCGGGCTAAAGCCGCAGAGCCTTCTAATAACTGATATTGATTGATAAATGAGTGGGAAATTTGATTTTTGAATGGGATGATAGGGGAGTTTTCAGCAGGGAAAAAAGCTACTGGTGGTGGAAAAAAAAAGATTTGCATAGAATTAAACGACTGACAAATGGTTAGATCGATAGTCCGAAATATTTTATTAGATGTATAAGGAATTCTTTAACTAACCTTATAAATGGGGAAAATAATGGAGGAAATAATCTCCTCGGAATACCTATTTACCTAGTCCGAGTTTCCAATCAAATGCCTTGAGGCACGTCCATACATTAATAATAATATCTCCGATAAGCCCTCTCAATGCGCATTCCCTGCATATTAGTTATCAATTTCCCAGTCGGAGGCGATAAATAATGAAGTCGTTAACCCACTGCGATTACCGGTTCTCACATTTCCGACTACGCACCTCATACATAACTAATTCGATTAGAATTAATGTGCCGCAGCATGACAATTCGAAAGGATACACCCACTGCAGAGCCACCCAATCGGAAATATGGCACCACCCACTCGAACCACCGCAAAAGGGCTGCCACCGCATATAATGCCAATAATTGATAATTTATTATAATCACAGAGGTCCCAAGTGGCGATGTGAGGAACTGGTTGAGAGAAAAAACCGCAGAAGATGGTGAGGAATGAAGTAGACACAGGGGGAAAAGTCTATGTCAAAGTATTGTGCAAAAAAATCATGAGATAGATATTCAAGATCAAAGAAATATCCATTCAAAAACTAAAACTAAACTATATGGAATACGATCCCCAGGATCTCTGAAATTCTTCATTCATCAAACCAAGAAACTACCACTTTCAATCAAAAATATTATTATTTCCCCCAAAATTATGATTTTTATGAAGCAGTCGCTTTTTCCCTAAGTGTACTGGAATGGCTGGTTCGCCGGACAGCCTGTCAAATAATTGCATTTGCTCGAGTAATCCTTTAATGCTGATCCAAGTTGATGGCCGTCGAGTCGAGTCGAATAGAGTCTGCCTTATGTTGGCCTCAGGATATGGGCGGAATCGGGGGAAGGAGTACAGGATTCGGGGGAAAAGGAAGAGGGAAAGGGAAAAGGGGTGGTGAGTGTGGTGTTGCTGCTGCGGTAGCCCAATTATTGTTGCAAAGGGTTCGGTTTAGCCGAGAGCGAAATGCGTTTGATATTAACACATCTGTTCATTCATTCCACTTGAGCTGCGTCATCGAGGTCCTTGGGCCTTGGTTTTTGGTACTTGGTCCTTGGTCCTTGGGTGTTGTTTGCATTGAGTGTTCCGGGATCGGGACAAACTGTTTGCGGAAGCTAATGGTGCGCACTTGTCCGTAATTACCCCACAGCCGAAGTCCTTCCCCTTTTCCCCTGATTTTCCCCTGGCTTCTAGGTGGTGTTTCCATTGTTATCCTTTTCCTACGTTTTTTTTGCTTTGTGTAATTCGGTGTGTAACAACTTGGCATTGTTTGTGCTACCCGCTTGTTTGCTTATTTGTTTTCGTTTTCACGGCAAATCGGTTTTTGTAACTTGTAACCGCAGAATTGTGTTTGCTGAGTATATGAATAATTGTTTGGTTTATTGTTCTTCGAGAATTATGCGAAATTTCGTCGCTTCAGGCGTCTGCTTTGGTAAATAAATTACTTGAAGAGGGTCGAAGGGTTCTTCAGAGGATCCGCAATGATATTTTGATAAAAAGAGAAACATGTGCAGTGAGGCATTTGGTCATGAAAGCATATCATACAGCTATTTATCATTTCATAAGGCATTTAAGGTTCCCCCTGAAAGTATACCCCAGTTCCATATTAAAATAATAAGTTCCTTAAAGTTAAATTACAATTTCATGGAATCAAAAAGGTCCCATAATCCCCACTTTGAAAAGTAATTCCAGGCAGGCAATCAAGGAACTAAACCAAGCGAATTGAATAAACAAGAAACACGTTAAATTCTGTGTGTAATAAAACAAAGCAAAATTGTGCATGAAATTATGATTGGGTGCGAGGGGGATGGCACTAGCCGGAGGGAGCGAGCCAGACGCACACAATTGTTTTTCATTATTCAATTTTTGTCATAATAACAGGAGCAGTCAGAAGGAGAAGCTTTTACCGTTCGCTTTTCTCTCTCTCTCGCTCTCGTTCTTTCTTTCTCTTATTTCCATCTACCCCCAGGGTACTCACACACACACACGCACAGAGAGAGAAAAAAAGTTTACCCAGCCATATTTTATTGGTAATGTGCTTATGGCATAAATATTGTATTAAGTAACTGGTGGGCGTCGCCACCAAAAAAGGAGGAAAAGTGGAAAAGTTCAGTGGGTGGTTCTTTGTGGGGGGTAACTTCCTTTTGGGGGTTGGATTGTGCGCAATTTATTGTTTGCCCAGTCGGAAGGGAGCTGGGGAAGTGCAGGAGCACCAAGTCTGGGGCAACATGGCCGCCAGAAGAGAGAGAAAATCCGGATTGGGGGAGGAGGGGTTGGGTGGGGTTGAGTTGAGTTGGGTTGCCCGGGGGCCAAAGTATGCTGAAATTGTTTTACGCTGCGTTATGATTACAACAATGGAGCCAAATGCCAACTTTGCACAATGTCTAATTTGAATTTTGATTAGGAAACTTACTCCCACACACACACACACATACACACACTCAAGAGAGATTTCCATCCAAGATGGCGCCCGGCAAGGGAAATCCCATTAGAGGGCGCTCTAAGCTGGGGAATCAACGCAAACCGGAACTAAAAGCAAACGAAACAAACGGGAAGTAGGGAAAATTCGCCCAGCAAAGGGGGGAAATCGGGGAAAAGGAAACACGCGCGCATAAGCAAGCAATCCAAAGGATGTGTCTAAGGATGCCGGGGCATTGTCTTGATTGAGCCTCATTAGAGCAAGGCAGCCATGTGTGTATGTGTTTGGGTGGGGGAAGGGCCCAAGCCCCTTGGAAAAGCTCCCAATTTAGGCGCTGATTACAGGCCAAATTTGTTTTGTCTTCCTTAGGAAAATTGAAAATCAGATTTGTTTGTTTATACCTTGGATTGGCTGGTGGAACAGGATGAAGCGGGGTAGCCCAGCAAATTGTTAAAGTTTCCGAGGTGGAAAACTCCGTTTGTGTGTGGGGAAAGTTTTTCAATTTTACATTGGCTGGCAGCGGGAGTCGACGAGGCGACCTGCCCCATGGCACAGATAATAATAGACATGTGGCCGCATTACCCTGCCAGTTTGCGCCAAACTTTCTCAATTTCATTCGAGTTTCCCATTTTCCCATTTCCCCCAGGTTTGGTTCCAGAACCGCAGGGCCAAGTGGCGCAAGGCGGAGCGACTCAAGGATGAGCAGCGGAAGCGTGAAAATGGCGAGAGCAGCAGCTCCCTGGATAAGGTAAGTCAATTGAATTACAGCTGGGTTTTCTATACAAGGCAAGAAACAGATCTTGAAACTCAACTTAAGCTATCTAAGAGAAGAAACTTCATTCAAAATTTTCCATTTTCCGATGGCATACCTCTAAATGTTTGTAATCGCATCCTTGATGAAACAAAATTCCAAATTTTCCATTTCCCGATGTTCGATATTTTGACATCTGTTCGTGCCAGATTTATCCAGGTTTCCCGACAGGAGACCTTATTCCCGAGGTCCACAATCAGAATAAAATCCCGCTTTAACTGAAACCTTTTCGTTTTCCCCAGCTCCACGACTCCCGTGAATCCTCGCCGGACATCACAGGTGAAATAGACGACGACATGGACGAGTTGCCGCCCCGCCAGCGGTCCCACAGTCCGCTGGCCAACGGGCAGATGGAGCAGCAGCACTCGCTCTCCCTCTCCCACTCGCACTCGCATTCGCGCAGTCCGGGCGGCGGAATGCACCTGGACTCCAGCGACAACGAGCGGCCGCTCTCCTCCAACCAGCTGGCCGCCACCCCGCACTCCGCCTCCCAGTCGCTGGGCTCCATCAGCGCCGGCTCGCCCTCGCCCTCGGGGATGCACCGGGAGCGGGAAAGGGAGCGGGAGCGGGACAGGGAGCACACGCCGTTGGCCGCCGGCGGGGGCAGGGGCCGAGCAGCCCCTCCAACTCGCGCAACACGGACTCGCCCATCGAGGTGGGCGGACCCATGTCCCTCACCACGGGCTCCCGCATGCCGCCCTCCTCGAACAACTCGGCCTCGTCCACGCCCACGCCCACCACCCCGCACGCCCCCCAGCTGCCGCACTCCTCGGCGGCTGCGGCGGCCGCCTTCGGGAGCCACATCTTCGGCAACTTCGGAGGCGGCAGCAGCACCAGCGATAGGTAAGTGGAAAGTTTAGACTTCTTTTAACATTTTATAAAAACTGTTTTCCATGAAAGGAAAAACAACGAATCATTTAAAAATAAAATACATTCTGTATGCTATATTATGTAGGCCTGAAACAAAACTCAATCAATGCAGTATTCAAAATCAAATCTCAGACACTAAAGAACACCTAATTGAACAATCCCAGCCAATAAAAACGAATCAAAACTTCCGGCTAAAATCAAGCCGAGGCACTATCATCCAGGTCATTTATCTTCCCGTCCGTCCGACTGGCGGAGGATGTCGATATCCATCTGGCATATCCCACATCTGGCCGAGACAATGGCGGCAGTTCCGCCGATGATTAGACACTGGGCGCCCTCGGATCGCACGTGTCTGCCATTCCGACGATGGCGGGCATCATTAGCGGGGGCGGAGGGTGGGGGGTGGGGGTGCTTATCCCCTCCGAAGGAGCGAGCGGGGGAGCGGACTGCTCTCTTAATGTTTCCGCTGGCGCACACGACATCCGCTGACCGGAAGTGCGCCAATGGAATTTAAACGTTTTCCATCCAAAACATTAAGTAGAACGCCTTCCGCTGCGCACGCCTGTTCAATAGCCCGTGAGTCGGGAAAATCCAGCGGGAAAAAGGCGGAGAGTCGAGAATCGAGAGATGAACTCTGCAGGAGTCTGCTCGGCAAGGACACTCAGGAAAAAGTTCTGCATTAGAAAGGATACAGTTTTCTTTTCAAAAAAATACTATACACATTTTGCTTCAATCAAAAATAATTTCATACATATTTTGGGGCTTTGTTATCTTGGTTTAAATTTTTTTGTTCCCTGTCGCTACTCTTTTCTCTCAGTGTGTGCAGAAAAAGGATGCGATTACTAAGGGATCGGAGTCAAGAATCGCATTGTAGCCCAGCCAGCATCTAATGTCATTACTGCTCTCATTGCGGTCGTTGTCTGCCGACCTCCCCCGAATAATCCACCCCCGCCCCCGCAATCAACTGCTAATTTAGTCATCGTCGCCAAAAAAAGAAGAAGAAGAAGAAGGAGTAGTGGGGGGCGGGGGAGGAATTAACAGAGAGACAGGAGAAAAAGAAAGAGACGACCGCTTTTGGCACTGCCCACTTAGGGGTGCATTTTGTCGCAATCGCTCGTTTTGTCGGATTTCGTAGATATTTGCCAGGGGTTGAATGGCATTTCCACTTCTCCTCTGTTTTCCTGGCAGTTGTTTTTCCCGCTGCTTGATGACAAAATGCGACACTTGCCATAAATTTTATTGTTTGTTTGTCTAATTCCTTTGTAAGTGGAGGCTTAATGACACGCAGGCAATTAGCAGATCGTTGGGTTTATAATCGTTCTGATTGCCAGGAAAGGGGAGGGATCGACTGAGGGTGCTGAAATTTATATTTCCAGGGAAGGGAGATTCCTGCAACTACGGTAGCCCATTAATTGGCTCGCCTACTAATGAGCCAAGATTCTTCCACTCCATTATTATGTTTTATTTATGTTTAATTTGCATTTATTTATTCTGTACCACTGGTTGATTACTCATCATCTGCTTGGCAAATGAAGAGAAATGATTTAATATTGCAAGGATCCACATACATGACCCCGCATTTCCCCAAAACACAGTGCAGTGAGTCGTCCACGTATTTGGGTTCGGTCGACTTCCACTTTATGAAGGAGGCATCCGCATCAGAGGCCACCGACACGAAGTTTCCCTTCCTCGCCTTCTCGTAGATTCCCAGCCAGTAGAAAGTGTCATCCTCGAGTTTCTCATTTATCAGGTTCCACTCCTTCTCGCTTTTGATGGACGCCAAATGTCCTCCCATCTGACGACATGTCCTCGCCGCGGAGTTCCAAGTTTGCTTGTTGCTCTCCTCTATGTAGAAGTACCTGGATCCGATTAGCTGAAACCCAGGTGGAATGATTTTTGTATGCATTTTAGTGAGGGTTCCCTGTATTTCTGTGAGTTTCCCTTCTATCTTGGATTGCACAGATTGGAGTCTACTGTCCATGGATTTTAACTGGGCCTCCATCCTGACAAGTCTGTCCTGCAAAGTCGCCGGGAATGTCTCCCTCAGGGACTCCTTGGTACTGATCAGCCCTTTCTCTATTCTGCCCAACGATGCATAATTGGAGTCCTGGATATCCTTGAGATCGGTTAAGGCAGCTGTGAGTTGAGGGTCCTGCCTGTTCTGCCTAGATCGCAGCTCAGTTTCCAACGCTGTTAGTTGGACGTCCATCCTGCCAAGTGTATCCGTTAGGTTCTTCGGGATTGCCTGGCTTAGACACTCCCGCGTGGTGTTGAGCTGGCCCTCCATCCTATCCAGCTTGGCATCCCTGGACTCCTGAGAGATCCGCATGCTTCCGACAGCTCCTTGCAAGGACTCCAGCTGAACTGCCATCTGGTTCTGAGCCACTCGGGTGTCGTTCGCGATGATTTCCTTGCAGGTGTTCCACCGATCCTGGTTCTCAGCCACATAATCCATCACCGTTCTCAGTCTGGAGAAGCAGTGTCCGTTGCAGCGGCTCTCAAGATCTTCCGACTGGTTTCCAGATCCATAACCAAGCCCGAGTGTCACCACGCAGAACAAAAAGACCGACAGCTTCAGCATTTTATTGGGAGCGCTACTGGAAAATGCGAACTCTGCCGTTCGCTTTTATATTTCCCGAACGCGCTTATCAATTTTTAAATGGGTTTGTTGACAGGCAATCCTAAGATCCCCTGATTCGCGTGAATTTAAGTGTACTTTAACCCCAGATAGATGGTATTTCATATGTATTTAATATTTTATTACACATTATACTTCGAAAGAAGTTGTAAATAACAGGTCCTATCTCTTTCTGGAATTCGCCACTGCCCTTCTTTTCCAGTTCATAGCGATTATTAACTCCGTTATTCCATTTGCCCCAGCTACTTAGATCAGAAATTCAAAAAGGCCTGGCCACAAGGCCATAAAAAGCTACTTGAGAGTAAATTGGGCGTAAACGAGGGTGTTTTGTTTGTCGCTCGCAACTTTCTGCGGAGAGTCCAACCATATGCCACCAGCCCGAGGACGCACAAAAGGCGGTGGGCACGGGCTGCTTTTTTGTTCGGCCCCTGAATTATTTTGCTCTATCGGTGGGCGGTCTCATCAGCCGGCAAAGAGGCCATGGGTGGGCGAAAAAACTAGCATGCAGCATAAAAGACTCCGCGGCTCACATGTCAACGCGCTGGAACAACAAACATTACACCACAATAAAAAAGTACAGGATCCGGCTGGGACACAATGCAACCTTCGAGGACCGAGGACCGAGGACATCCCGCCGAGAAGGGCACGCGTTCCGACTGCCGAATCATTTCACCCGAAACCCCCCTCGAATCCCCAGAATCCCCTGCTTCCAGCTGTTTCTGCTGCTGTAACGGTTGACCAAATCAATTCCGAATCTCGAGCACTCTGAGTCGGCGATATTGTTATTCAAATGCCCGGAGCCGGATGTCCTTGCCATCCATCAGCACACTCGTGCATTGTATCTTGTATCTGTATCTATATCTGTATCTGTATCTGTATCTTGATCTGAAGCGAAGCGCTTCATCGCAAGCATTTGTCATCGCATTAGTCAGGCACTTCTTTTCGCTCTCGCATATCTTATGCAAATCGAACATCGCCAGAGACTATATAAATAATTACAGAGCACTAATCTGCACTTATATTCGCTGGCAAGGTCACTTTTGACGGGTGACGCAAGACGAGGCTTTTGCCAAAACGGGTTTACCCACCAACCGAACGAAACAGTGCCAAATTCAACACACATTATGTAACGACCCAAAGGCACTTAAATGCACTTTTATTGAAAGCCAATACTTAAAACGAGCGGAGCCATAAACTGTGACGAAATATGTATAAGGGGAACAACAAAACCTGTAGTGCACAGCATTGAATTATGAGTAAAAGAGCTTATTCATTGAATTCCGGGATATGTTGCTTATCAAATTAAAATTAGGAATGGAATTCTTGAAAATCCATCACAAAAATCCCTCTCGACGAGCAATTGCTGCCAAACTGAACCCGTAATCACTCGCTGGAATAAGTTTTCAGTTGAAAATGTTAATTGAGTCCCGCCGCAGTCGCAAATCCCCCAGCTCCACTCCACTTTATTTTAATCACCCCGAGCAGATACTCTATGCACAAATAGCTGAACACGAATCCCGGCCGTGGGAATCTACCCCCAAAATCCACGCAGCCACTCCCCCCAAAAAGGTGGAGCAGCCACCCATGCGCCACACTCCACCTGTAATCAGGTGTGTGTCTGTGTATGTGTGTGTGTGTGTGCTTGGGTGTGTGGGTATTCCGACGCTTATGCTGCGCGCACGAATGCGAGTGCTTGAATAATAAATTAGGCAAATATTTTAATATTCATCATGCAATTAAAATAAGCTGCCCGAACTTCCTCCCTCCGCGGAACAGCAAACTTTTCGGGTAGCCTAATATAATAAGCATTATGTGGAGCCCGGCGGGGCTTTCGGCGATGGGGGGAATCCAAAAAGTTTCGTGGAAAAAAGTACATTTTGCGGAAATTAAGTTTGACTTGTCGGGCGAAAGCGGGAAAGCTGAGCCTGTGTAGGTGTTGATTGCTCGAGTTTAATTTGTTGGAATTGCGTAAGGCATTAAAATGTTTGCCCGACTAATTACACACACACATACACACATACGCAGGCAGGCGGTTGAGTTTTCCATGTGGATGTCAAGTCGGGAAAACTTTATCCTTGGCCAAATGCAATCTGCAAAAAGTGAGAAAATTTTAAGAAAAACTTCTGTGGCAACTCAAGGTGTAAGCTGAACGGGAGCTCCCAAGATTGACATTGACAGAGGCCCCGCTTTCCCCATTTTCCCCACATCTGCTGCCTCGAGGAAAAGTTATGTACTAACTAACGAGCTCAACGACAACACTCGAGTCGGCGAATGTCTTAATTAGAGGGAGAGGGAAAGTCGCGCGGGAAGGCTTCTGTGAGTACAGCAATTAAGGCGGCGGCAGTCAAGTGGGCGTGGATCTCGGCACTGCCAGAAACGGGGACCGATTTTTTAAGTATTTAATTAAACTAATGCAACTAAGCATTCTTTCTTATCGAATAAGGATTTTTAAGGAAGCCGACAAGGCAAAGTCCAAGAGCAATACAAAATATAAACTGACTTTAAATAAATATGATTTAAGTCAACGCTTCTTATCAATTCGACCAACTGCTGTCTGATCTCTTAGTCACTTCCCAGAATTTACTTTCACTTTTTCCTCCCGAAATTATAATGGAACACCGACTAGTTTAAATGTGCGAACTTAGCAAGTATATTTTATTTTTTATATAACACAAATCGATAAAGAACCAGACGCTCTATTAGTATTAACCCCTTTCATCTGCCTGGCAGATGAAGTTGAACTTGTGCTGGGAGCAAGACTTTATGTGCATTTCGCCAGTGGTTAGGGATAAACATTGCACTGAGTTATCTTCGTAGTCGAATGACTTGGGGTTACTCAAGTACATAAAAAGAATCGGCAAGCCGGAGGCCACCGAACGGAAGTCATATTTAATACCGTGATCGCAGGCGCCCAGCCAATAGTTTGTGTCCTCCTTCAGTTGGGCGCTGATGAGGCCCAGCTCGCGCGGTAAAAGGATGGAAGCCAAGTAGCCACCCATCTGACGGCAAGCCAATTCAGAAGCGTTCCAAGTCAGCTCCTTAGTGTTCTCGATGTAGAAGTACCTGTTGCCGATGATCTCGAACCCAGGTGGCACCCTCCGCCTGTTCAACTTTTCCACGGTTTCCTTCACTTTCCAAAGCTGGCTGTTCTTCTTCCCGAGGAACTGCAGAAAGTCTAACACCCGGGCCTCGATTTTGGCCTTCCTTTCCTTTCTGGACTCCTGGTAAGCCTGGAAGTCGGTCAGTGCAACCCTCAAGGCTTCCACCTGCACTCCCAACTGAATCCGTTCCGCTCGGGTGGCGTTCGCCCTGGTCTCCTTGCAGGTTTTCCACCGGCCCTGGTTGGCAGCCACGAAGTCCATCATCGTACTCATTTTGGAGAGGCAGTGTTCGGAGCAGTGGGACTCCAGGTCCTCGGACTCACTTCCCGAACAGAAAGCGATCCCCACAAGCAAAACGAAGAGCAGGGCGGCCAAAAACTTGAGCATTTTGTCCACTTAAAAGCACTAGGGAAGAATTGCTGGGCTCGCCGTATTTATACGAGGTCGTGAATCTTATCACTTCGAACGATTGCTTTTTGACCTCCTAATCACTTTCACTCCCCAAAATAATATTGACAGACCGGCCATGCGAAATTACGAATTTAGGGAGCACGCTTTATTTTTCGTGAAACCCAAAATGATAAAGAACCATCCACTTCTATGTATTAAGACTCATCACCTGCTTGGCAAATGAAGTTATACGAGTGCTTGGAGCAAGACTTCACGTACATATGACCAGCGGATAGGCAAAAACACTGCATTTGTGAGTCGTCTTCGGGGTGGGGCAAGTGACCACCAGAGTCCATAAAGGAAATCTCCTGGCCTGAGGCCACCGAAACGTATTGGTACCCCAAGGGATCGTAGTTTCCCAGCCAGTAGGTTGTGTTCTCCTTGACTTGGGCGCCAATCAGGGCCAGCTCCTCCCTGTTCTTGATGGAAGCCAAGTAGCCTCCCAGCTTACGGCACTCCATTTCAGAGGCGCTCCAAACCAACTCCTTGCTGTTCTCGATGTAAAAGAACCTGGTGCCGATTAGCTCGAACCATGGAGGTACGCTCATCCTATCCAATTTCGGCACGGTTTCCACTATCTTTGTGATCTCGCTGTCCATCGTCTCCAGCAAGCGCATCATCAACTCCATCTGGGCCTCTATCGTCTCCATCCATCCATCCTTGGACTCCTGGGAAGTCTGGATGCTGGTCACGGCTTCCTGCAAGACTTCAATCTGGCATCCTACCAGGCTCTTTGTGCCATTTGCCTCGATCGCCTTGCAGGAATTCCACCGATCCTGGTTGGCAGCCACAAAGTCCGTCACTAAACCCATTTTGGAGAGGCAGTGTGCGGAGCAGCGGGACTCCAGGTCCTCCGACTGGCCGATCCCAACGAGCAAAGCGAAGAGCAGAGTAGCAAAAAACCTGAGCATTTTCTATCTTTTGTCCACTTAAGAGTACTGGAATATATAGACTGTGATCGCCGTATTTATACGAGCCAGCGATTCTTATCAAGTCGTCTCAATTTGGTTTTGGCTCCGAGTACTTAAAATTTTTTAAAATGTTGACAATTTGATGAGTGATATTTTTTGTTTTATTTTATTTTTGAATAAATATTGTAAGTTATTTTCCAAACTTTTCTCCAAGTGCTGTAAAGTCGCCCGTAGCAATTACCATGCTTTGCCAGGGCCCAAAACATGACTGAAAGAGAGGGGCTTATCAGGGGGAAAGAGATGGGTAGATGGGGGGAGGGAGGGGTGAAAATGGGAGAGAGTTTCTAGAGCGAAGCCCCAAGCTTTAGACTCGGGTCCGAGCCATCTGTTGGATGTGCACATGCAAAATTTAATTACGACCAAAGGATGAGTGCTTAATTATACGCAAACATTTAAGTTTACTGCTTTTTTCGCAACTAGAGAGAGAGGAGAGGGGAGGAGGAGGGAGGGGATAAGGGGTAGGGGATAGGGGGTAGGGGATAGGGGGTGCTAAAAGGGGGGCCGTCTCCGCCCAAGTGTTTGCCTTCGTTGTTTTTGCTGCTGCTGTTTGAGCTTTTTCATCTCGTTTTTGCCGCTCGGACTTTTGCTTTTTTGGCTTGGAGCTTAATTAGGGGCTAGGGGGTAAATAGGAAAAAGGGGCGAAACGAGTGTCTGTATATGTGAGTGGGAGGAAAACAACTTGCTTTCCATAAGCCGGGTAAACTGTACAGATTTTTGACTATCTCGAGAGCTTTACTTTCCTTCTAATTCAAAAGGGCATTGTACAAATTATCTTATTTTTTTAGAAATCCAAAAACGAAACCAATTACCTCATCGAAAATTCTGTTTAAAGCGACCAAACGTTTTGCACCCAACTACTCAAAAAAGAAAAACAGGGAAAACGAGAAAGCCTCGGAAAAATCACGGCCAATTGTGGGTGAATAAGGGAAAGCCGAAAAACCTGACGAGCTTAGGAAAGTGGGGTGGGGGAAATTCGGAGGAAGGCAGAAAAATAAAAAGTGAAAAGTGAGGAGAATTAAAAGCGACAGTGGCCGCGACGTTTGTGGTCTTTTCTCCCGGCGGCTGTGGTCGCCATTCGCGAGGTCTGCCTGTCATTTTCCGGGCCCGATACCCCCTGAACCCCAACTCGATTAGCATATCCACAGATTTGTGATGGCCACGGAGCAGCCCCACCTGCAGTCGAAATTATCAAATTTTAGACACGTTTCCCCGGCGGCCCGCGGCCTAATGTAAATTTGAACGAATGGAAATTGAATTTTTTTCACTTATTCCGCGGCCAGCAAATAAGCTTCAGCTGAAGTTTATCATTCGCTGATTAAAAGCAATTATTTCTAATAAAAACAGTATGAATGTTAGGTTCTATAATTTTATTAATGGGGATTATGCGAGCCATAGGAATTCACCACTTCCACGAAACGCTGTCTCACTTATCAATTAAAACTTCCAAATTGCATTAAATGTTTTTTATTGTTCGGCTGGGTGTGAGTTTTTTATTCACACCCATTCGCCTTGACATGCGACTAAGCGCAGTATTTCATTCAATTAAAACGCTCGCAAAATGACAACTGGTGTTGATTATTATTCCCCAACCCCCGCTTACGCATACAAAATATTTAGGTTTATTAATAATAATGCAATTACGCATAAAAATGTTTTAATTTATTTCAATTAAGCGTTAATTAAAAGCCTGTGAGTTGTTTTTGTTTGCCTTGTGTGCTGTGCTGTGGTGTTTAATTTTGTTTTTTTGCCTCTGAATTGGCTTCGTTTAATGTGCGCGTGCAGCGAAATGCAAAGCAGTAATTCCCTGTGAATGGGTGCAGTGGCGTCAACGCGAGGGTGGACCGAAGAGTTGTTACATTTCTTGTTTCGCTTATTTGAAATATATATTTACATCATTTCACTTGTTTATTTTACAGCAACTGCGGCTTCCGCCCGGTGCTGAGTGAACAGAGCGCCGTGGCAGCAGCGGCGGCGGCAGCGGCGGCCCAGCGGACCGCCAACCACCCACCGCTCTTCCTGCCGCCCCACCTGGCCGCCCAGTTCACCCACCAGCCGCTCTTCCCGGGCCTAAAAGGTAAGTCTGAAACCCGTCACGCCAATCCATCAGTGGCAAAATCACTCCGAATCACTTCAATCAAATTAGCTGCAGTGCGCAGGTGATTATGTTCAGAGATTAATCAAACTCAAATCGATTCATAGACATAGAATTCATTAAAATTAAATAATGAATATTGTTCATAAACGTAATGTGTGCAAGTATATACTGCCCAGATTTCATTTGCCTGCAGAAACCATTTATAAATCTAATTTATGCCAAGGAAATGCAAAGCCTTTAATATTGAAGTGAAACTTCTTTAGGCGCGTTATGGATTTTCGGGGACGGAGTAAAACCGATTCATGACCGTCACGAAAATTACCGTCACGAAAATTACCGTCACGAAAAAGCGAGGATCCCCATCCCTTTCTAACCGCTGACGAACGATGTCTCTATCCTCCTCTATCCTTTCTCGCTCTCAGCGCGCTCGCACAAAGTTGCAGTTGAAAAAGGGGTGAGAGGTGTGAATGTCAAAAGGAATTCAAATCGAACAGGTTGCATACAGATATTAATTGGCACCATAATTTCTATCCATTTTATTTGACCTAGAAATGAAAACACATATCAATATGTATTTGTCTTCTTCTTCTTCTCAATCGGTTTGTTAACTTTTGAGAGTCGCCAGCACATTTCCAGACCTCTAAAATAAGCGTCTAAAATGGCTTTTATTCGGTTTCCTACAGAATTTCAATTTTAAAAATGAGTAGTGATGAGATAGAGGAAATGAAATGATAAGAGAGAGAGGAATACTAGAAGTTTCACTTCTGTCGTGCGTAGGCTGGACACACCCCTTTTTTTTATTAGTAGGAATTTGTTAATAAAGAAATGCCTAAGTCCTATTAATTTAACAAAGTATTTCAGTAAAAATGACTTAAATAGGAATTAAATTTAAATAATATTTATTTTGAACCTAAATGCTGATTTTTATTGGACTATTTTGCAGGTGTGTCGCCCTTCCAGAGCCTCTGCTCCTGCTGCTCCCTGAAACCGCCGCCGCCGCCAGGATCTTCGGTGGTGGCGCCCCTGAGCATTCCGGTGAGCAGCAGCTCGGCGGCCAGTTCGCCGGAGTCGCCCAAGTCCTCCGGCCAGGGGTCCGGCCACGATCCGCGCTCCAACTCGGTGGCCGAGCTGCGGCGGAAGGCGCAGGAGCACTCGGCGGCCCTGCTGCAGTCGCTCCACGCGGCGGCTGCTGCCGGATTGGCCTTTCCAGGACTCCACCTGCCACCCCTCTCCTTCGCCCACCACCCGGCCTTGGGGCAGCATGTGGTGAACCACAACAACAACAACACGATGCGGATGAAGCACGAGGCGCAGGACATGACCATGAACGGCCTGGGTCCGGGATCAGGATCAGGATCGGGATCAGGGGGAGGAGGAGCGATGCCAGGAGGCAGTTTGGATCTGGCCGAGTCGGCAGGGGCATATCAACACCAACAGCACGCCACCCTGTCGCCCCCAACCACGCCTACACAGCCGTCGTCGGGGGGCGTGGCAGCGGCTGAAGGCTCGCCAGGCTCAGGATCGGGATCAGGAGCAGTCGCAGGATCCAGTTCTTTGAACGGCAACGCCTTGCTCACCAAGATGGAGTAATTGGGATGTGACCACGAACACAAAACTTCAGATTGTGCAATTCTAATTTCGTATTAAGGGTCTAAATGGGTATTTAGTTTCCCAGATTTCCAATATTTGTACTAAAGTCTAAAACCTGTTAAATTAAATACCCAAACTGGATTGTCTTTAACAATAAGCAGTGAAAACCTTTAAAAATTAAATACTAGTCTAAGTATAATCGAGTAAGAACACAGAAAAGCAAAGAAAAAATCAACAGAATATAGCAGTACAGCACTTTCAAAACATATATATTAGAATACGGTTAGTTGTTGTTGGTTCCGGCAGATAGAGATATAGACGTACCCACTACCTAATCAGCAACAGGCGAAGACCATTCCCATGATTAACAATATCAACTAAAAGCAAATGCATATGAACAACATATACAAGTAATAACACAGTATATATACAGTATAGGAACCCCTACAGTACATAGAGATAGCTAAGGAATCGGACGTATATAGCCTAGCCTAATCACACTGAGTCGGTCGCCAATTACAGTAAGGCCAACATCAATTAAAACTTAACGAGTTAATAAAGAAAACAATAAAGATGATCACATTAGGATAACAAAACCGAGGGTTTAACTTTATTTATGGAACGACTATCGAGTGGGTGACTGATATTCAGACCTTGCAGGTCTTCTCGCACTGGGCTTGGTCGTCGAACAGGTTGTTATTTCCGTGGCAGCCGGAGTAGCTGAACTCGATGCACTTGTTCGTGTCCCGGCGATAAGTCCACTTTCTCAGCTGGGCTCGGCAGTTTCCTAACTTTCCGAACTCCTCGCCACAGATTGCTGCAAGTTTGGAAAAGAATAATGATTTTTAATTTCCTATAAAAGGTTTTAAGGGAATTTAACCATTTTTTGTGCTTGCTACTTGTCGGATCTTTAGTCAAATCAGCAACTTCTCGGAAGTACTTACGATTTTTAAGCTGAGCCATTGCTGTGGCCAAAATGCAGAAGAGCAGGGCGAAAACGGCAAAGTATTTCATACTGAATGATTTTTTGGGGTTACTGAGATCTCGACCGCGACTGGCGAAACTAAACTGTGGAGCGATCGGAGATGCTGGTGCGTTTTATAGGCCCAAACCGGATCGCTTATCAGTCGGCGAGGGTCAAGCGCGATTTCCGTTTGAGTTATAGAGCAATCGAGAAAAAAACAACAAACCTTGATTTTGAGTAAAGTTTATTTTGCGTTTTGCAAAACAAGATTGCCGGCTGTTTGTGTTTGGGGCTAAAGATGCTTGTTTAGGCGTTGGGTTTTGCCCGCGATGGGAACTCGTTTCGGCGGTCGGCTAGTCCTTGCAGGCCCTCTCGCACTCGTCCCTCGAGGAGAACTGGTTGGCGTTTCCACCACAACCGCCGAAGACGAACTCCGAGCAGGCGTTCTTGGAGGCGTCGTAGGTCCAGGCCGGCATGAAGGCCATGCAGGCTGCCCCGTCCTGGGGCATCCCCACCATCGAGTGCGGCTGCCGACAGCTCTCTAGCGGAAGGATCAGCATATGGTATGGGTTTCCGCCTAGAATAAGTCCCAGAGCTACTCACCCGGCTTGGCCAGCACTCCAGGAGCACTCCCGCAGAGGCTCAGCAGCAGCGCAACTCCCAGATACTGCCAGATCATCTTGAACGCAACTTAGACTCCACCACTCTGGTGGCACGGACATGGCCACGTCCCCGCTTTATAGGGATGCACATATAGCGGCCGACGGGGAATGGCTTTCGCTTATCTAGCGGGTCAATGGAGCCGAGAAGTACATAGAAAGTCGCCAGATAGCAGGAACCATTTATTGCTCTACTAAGTCTGTGGCTCGTAAAAGAAATACTGTAATGCCAGACTGGGTTACTAATGTGTTTCTATCAACAGAAACTGTAAAGTGTTCAAAACCGTCCGGAAATCGAACTCAGACTCCATGAAGTAATCAATAAGGCGAAAAGCACAAATGCCGAGATTAGGAACTTCATGGTGAAGCGATTTTCAGAGACTTTAGTTGGCGAAGGAAAGAGTAAACTGAAACTTATGTCATTAACGTGGTATACATATACATATTTGCTACGCTTCAGACTTAAAATTATTAAGTCACAGGAAGACAGTAAAAATTGATTAGATTTGGATTTGTCTCACATTATCGTAAGACTCTCTTTATTTTACTGTCTTCACAATTCTCCTTCGAGTTGAATCGATTGTCATTGCCTCCGCAGCCTCCGTAAATGAATTTGATGCACTCGTTGTTGCCGGAATCGCAGGAGATTCTGCCATCGCCATTTCGGGAGTTGGGTAGACCACAGATCTCTAGATATTATATAGCGACTACTTAGTCTTGTCATCTATTGAAAGGTCTTTTATTCGGCATAGTGCATTTCCGTATAAGTTTCGAATTGGGTTCCGGATCATTACTCCTTGCACTTCTGCTCGCAGGACTCCCTGAGGCGGAATCGGTTGTCGTTGCCTCCACATCCTCCGTAGACCCAGCCCTTGCAGGAGTTGCTATCGGCATGGTAGCTGAACGAGGGTTTGGAGGCGAGGCAATATTTACGGCCGATACCATCAGCATATGGGGGCAGTCCGCAGACAGCTGTGGGGAAAAATGCGATTAGAACAGTTCTCAGGTTCCACAGGACCTTCACTCACGATCCTTGAGGCCAAGGGCAATTTCCAGCAGGGCGAACAGCACACAGACAGTGGCAATGAACTTCATTCTGATTTCGGTTGGTAGGACAATCCTTCGCAGCTCTCGTTCAGCGACTAAGGACAATCGAAACCGTAGCTCTAGGTTATATATTATACGCCCGATCCGGAGCGAATCGGCTGGGATCTTATCGATATGCTCATCGACTTTCGGTTCATTAACAAGTGCCCGTGAAACTGGCAAATTATTGTTAGATCAAGTATCGAATATAGGGTAGATCTAGTTAGAAGTCTTTGAATGGCTTGGTTCTTCATAACTAATGAACTGTGAAAGGTGTATATATTTCATTATATTATGTTATGTTCTATTTTGAAAATAGTTCGTTTAATTTCACAGTCACTTTAAATTGATCACTAACTTGGGAGACAGGCCTCCTCGCAAGTCTGTCGGAAGCCCTAGCGATTGCCACAACTGTGAAGTCTGATAGAATAGATTCTAGAACAGATAGAATTTCGGAATCTCTATTTAGGGAAGACAAAAGTAAACTGATTTACGTAATTTCAGATTGTTACGCTTCAGACTTAAAACTATTAAATCAAAGGCAGACAGTACAAATTGATTAGATTTGGATTTGTCTCACATTATCGGTAGACTTGCTTTATTTTATTGCAAACACTTGTCTTCACAATTCTCCTTCGAGTTGAATCGATTGTCATTGCCTCCGCAGCCTCCGTAAATGAATTTGATGCACTCATTGTTTGCGGAATCGTAAGACCAACTGGGGATGTAAGCCTCGCAGGAGATTCTCCCATCGCCATTTCGGGAGTGGGGAAGACCACAGAACTCTAAGTAGTTTTCAAACAAAGTGGCCAAGCTGTCAAAGGTATTAGAAGTAAACATGTTTGTATAAATACCATTTTTTAGAGCGGTAGAAATTGCCATTAAGGCGGCAAGCACAAAAACCAAGATCAGCAGCTTCATGATTAAAAATATTTGAGGGCCCCAAGCTAGCTCAAAGTAAACTGAAACTGAGACGCACAGAGTCGTTAAATATATAGCAATAATCGAGAACTTTCAGCTAATCACTGAAGCTTTTTAAACATTGTGATTATTCGACAAACAAATCAAGCTCAAATACGGTTGGGAAATCTCCACAAAAACTCGCGCCGATTTATGTAAATATTTTCGTCGGAGTGTTTACTTTCCTCTGCTTCCCAGAACCCACTTTGTTTACCAGCCACCTGAGCGGGAAAGTCCCTCGCATTAGTGTGTACTACTCATTATAATCAATGTACATTATATTGCAATATGAAGCGAACAATGGGCCCGACCACTAAAGCGTGTCAACAAGTGTTGCAATTCCTCGGGAGGGGGCAAATGGGAAGTAACCCTCATTAATTACAAAAATCATGACGACACAACTTTTCGAAATTGTTCTTATACGTTCTGGGGCGATAATTTTAATCGAAATGTTGGGGGCACATACAATTTGTTTCCACTCAAAAAGCTGACTTTGGTAATATTAAGTAGCCATGTTATCTATTGAAAGGTCTTTTATTCAGCATAGTTCATTTCCGTATCATTTTCGTGTTGAGTTCCGGGACATTACTCCTTACACTTCTGCTCGCAGGACTCCTGGCTGGGGAATCGGTTGTCGTTTCCTCCACATCCTCCATAGACGAAGGACTGGCAGGAGTTGCTAGCGGCATCGAAGCTGAAGGAGGGCATGAAGGCGGCGCACTTGATGAGTCCGTTGCCATCGGATTTCGGGGGCAGTCCGCAGACAGCTGTGGGGAAAATTGCGATTATAACAGTTCTCAGGTTCCACAGGACCTTCACTCACGATCCTTGAGGCCGAAGGCGATTCCCAGCAGGGCGAACAGCACACAGACAGCGGCAATGAACTTCATTCTGATTTCGGTTGGTAGGATAATCTTTCGCAGCTCTCGATTTGCGACTAATGACAATCGAAGCCCAAGCGCTAGGTTATATACTCTACGCCCGATCCGGAGGGGAAACTACAAATCGGCGGGGATCTTATCGACGTGCTCATGAACTTACGGTTCATTAACAATTGCTCGTGAATCTGGTAAGTAAACAGACAACACTCAGAGTGCTTTGAGCTTGTGTTAGAAATTATGCCGGCTCCCAAACAAACCTATTTACTTAGCTCCACATAGAGCAAATTAAATCAAGCTTTGGCTGGTGAGTCAAATGTGAGATTGATTGTCCGATTTTATTTCGTACTCATGCTACCACTGAAAGTCAAAGTGCTTATTTTATGGAAAAAGAAACAATAGGTTTTTCGAAAGAAAAGCCAAGCTATTGTCAAAACCTGGAAAATCCATGGTGTAGTTGATGTAGATGTCACATCCATTTAAACGATTTCAATTCAAATAATGGGTAAGCATAGTAGACAACATATTTCTCTTAAAAACCATGTAAATTTATTCAAACAACAATATTTCTATGAGTTGCGTACTGAAAATGAGCTGATGATGACACATAAGCCTATGAACTGCGCAGTAGAAAGCAGAGTAGCCTAGGCACTCGTGCTCGTTTCGGTGGAGATTTCGCTGATCTGCTCGGTGGTGGAGTCCGGGACTGCGGACTTTCCCAGGCAGGCCTGCTCGCACAGGTCCTTGGTCTCGAAGTTGTTCTTGTTGCCGGCACAGCCCCCGTAGACGAACTCCTCGCAGGACTGGGTGTCCACGTTGTAGGCGAATCGGTAGAAGAGGGCGAAGCAGCGACCGGTCTCCTTGGGCTGGTGGCAGTCCTCCGGGACCTTCAGGTCGCCATCCGGCTGGGGCTTCGGCACACTGGGGTCCTCCGCCTTCTCCACCACGACGTCCGAGGGAGCTCCGAGCACTCCGGCTGCCAAGAGCAGCACCGCGATCAGGGCGAAGCTGAAGCTATATCTGTAGCACATTTCGATTCCGGCGAGTGGATGCGAGTGATTCAAGCTCCGCCGCGTATTGAAGCTTAAATACCGTCCGTCCGCAGTGATTCACTCACGTAGACACTCGGGCTTTTGCCCACGGTCTTGCTCTTTTTGTGTACCTATTTATCGGAGCGGGAGCGTGATTGAGTTTGTCCAACTGATTCGACGTCGCAGGTAAATCACGCCGGAGCTTCGCTGACGTCTACATTACCCACATCACCGGCCCCTGACAGCCCTCAAAAGCTATGGCATATAGCAGCTGGCCAGCCTTCGGCTGCAGTTCAACGCACCGGCCGAATTGTCATAATGCCGGCCATAAAGTCATATTCCGACTTGCTTCCTGATCGCATCGATAGTTTTGGGCAACCCCATCACGTTCGAAAGTTGGAGGGGGAATCTCAGCTAATTCCCTAATAGCCGTAAAAATTGCTAATTAAACTGTTAATGTTCATGTTAATGTTGTTATTTTGTGGTTACAGGAAATGATACACCAACCACTACTCAGTCGTGTAATTTCCATGTGGAGTTGCTTCAAATATACACATCACATACATTTGTAAAATAATCATACTCTAATTTTAAAATGATGTTCGTTTGAAGATTTAATAATCAAGCGGTTTTCACCAGGGTGCTAAATTGTGAATCCAATTGGGTATAAATAATTTTTGGAATAAACGATCCTAAAATGATCAAGTATTGAATAGTAGATCTAGTTAGAAGTCTTTGAGTGGCCTCCTCGCAAGTCTGTCGGAAGCCCAGAGATTGTCACAACTGTAAAGTCTGAAAGAATAGATTTTAATGGTATGATGAATTTTAGAATCTCTAATTAAGAAAGACAAAAGTAAACTGATTTACGTTATTTCCAAAGGTAGACAGAACAAATTGATTAGATTTGGATTTGTTCTAATGATAATATGAGACTCACTTTATTTTATCGCAAACACTTGTCTTCACAATTCTCCTTCGAGTTAAATCGATTGTCATTGCCTCCGCAGCAGTTGTTGCCAGAATCGTAGGACCAACTGGGTATGTAAGCCTCCCAGGAGATTCCCCATCACCATTTCGGGAGTGGAGTAAACCACAGATCTCTAAATAATATATAGCGACTGAGTAGTCATGTTATCTATTGAAAGGTCTTTTATTTGGCATAATTCATTTCCGAATAATTTGGGTTCCGGATCATTTGCGTTCCGGATCATTACTCCTTGCACTTCTGCTCGCAGTACTCCTTGAACATGAATCGGTTGTCGTTGCCTCCACATCCTCCGTAGATGAAGCGCTGGCAGGAGTTGCTATCGGCATGGTAGCTGAAGGAGGGAATGTAGGCCTTGCAAACGATACCATAGCGACCATCAGCATTTGGGGGCAGTCCGCAGACAGCTGTGGGGAAAATTGCGATTAGAACAGTTCTCAGGTTCCACAAGACCTTCACTCACGATCCTTGAGGCCGAAGGCGATTCCCAGCAGGGCGAACAGCACACAGACAGCGGCAATGAACTTCATTCTGATTTCGGTTGGTAGGATAACCCTTCGCAGCTTTCGTGCAGCGTCTAAGGACAATCGAAACCCTAGCTCTAGGTTATATATTCTACGCCCGATCCGGAGCGAATCGGCTGAGACCTTATCGATATGCTCATTATCATTAATAACTTATGGTTATTAACAAGTGCTCGTGAAACTGGCAAATTATTGTAAGAATAAACGATCTTAAAATGTTCAAGTATTAAATACAGGGTAGATCTAGTTAGAAATCTTTGAGTGGCGCAGTTCTTCATAACATACGATATGTAAAAGGTGTATATATTTTATTGTTTTATTTAGAAAAGAGTTCGTTTAATTTCGCAGTCACTTTAAATTGATCACTACTTTGGGAGACAGGCCTCCTCGCAAGTCTGCCGGAAGCCCCAGCGATTGTCGTTGCCCCTACATCCGCCGTATTTGAAGGTCTCGCAGGTTTTTTTTCTCCTTGTTGTAGTAGAACCGTTCCAGATTCATGCGGCATGGACCCACTTCCAAGGGCTGCAGACACTTCGGATCTGTAACATAAGCTCAGTTTAAACAGGAGGGATAAAGTTGATCTAACTTAAAACTAAGAGCAAGCTAAATGTGCTTATAATATTCATTTCCACCACACTTAGAATAAAATCATTTAAATTTACGGACCTGGTTCCGATCTCCGTGGCTTAACTGTGGCTGCGGCTGTGGCAATCGCAGGCTTATTTCCTGCCGGGTTTCCTGGCTGCACCTGGACCACGTTCTTGGGTTTGATGTTGTTATTACCATCGGGCGTGGCCACGGCCTGCGTAAGTTGCATAAGACTGAGCAACAAAAAGGCCCCGAGGCAGAGAAACTGGGTCATCCGCAGTAGCATTTTGATTGTGGGACCTGATTACTGAGCGCTGAACGTCAATAGCAAAGACTGTGACTGTGACTGTGAACTGAACTGAGCCGAATGTTCTATATTCTGGTTCTGAACGCTGATTTTGAGCCGACAAGCGGCGCTCAAATTAAGTCATTGCTCGCTCTCTGCCCAACCAAGTGTGAGTTTAAGCTCACATTGCGTATACGTGATTAATTATCTGATTTTCACGAGTCATATAAATTCTTGTGGAAGAGAGTGTAAGAGCGGGGGCAAATGAAAGTGGAATCAAACTAAATAGGAAGACTGAGGGAATTGGAATGGAAGAACTTATAAATAATGAATTTTGAACATTTTGTATTACACTGTATTCCTTTCTTTTCAACTATTTTTTTTTTGTGTTAGGTCGAAAATTCGCTGTTTATAAGTTGGTTTAATTAGAATGAGTAAACTTTAATTTTTTTATCGATAACAATTACACTTGCACGTGCAATACTCTTTTTTGTAAAAACGTTGCCTACTCCTTTGCTATTTTTCACTGAGGAACTAATAAATATCTTTTCAGGCAAGTAATTCATAGGCAGATTAAAAATTTGTATTATAAAGAACTAACAAAATTTTCAAGCATCAAGTTTTTTAAAGTAGCGAAATGTGTTGCGGACTAATTTAATTTGTTTTACAAATTACACAGAAATTATATATACGTATTCAATGAGCGATATTGTTTTGTTCGCTTCAGTTCATCGGGCGGTTCTGATTTAGTTGTATATATTTCAAAAAATGAATTCAAAAGTCATCGTTCTGATTATTGCAATGTCTGGTTTGGTGCAATGCTCGAAAGACGGTGAGTTTTCAACAAATCAATAAGCCCGATGACCGAGGTGTGGATTGTTCCTAGCTGTATGCAGTCTGGAGCCCTTCGTCCCAGGACCTTGCGTTGAACTCACCATCCTTTATTCCTATATAAACGACCGAAACGACTGCATATTCTGGCAGGGCTGCCCGCTAGATGGTAATAATTTCATCAGCAAAGATGAATGCGAAGCTCGGTGTAAGGACTAGACCTCTGCTATATAACACGAGATGAAAGATTTAATGCAGAAAACCCCTTCCTCACGTGGGTTAAACTGAATTAAATCACATAATATGAATCGAATTATGTTTCAGATTTGTTTTGAATTGGGAATAAACTAAGAAATAGAGTTCACTTCTTTTTTATTACTAGATGTTCAACTCCTCCAAGACGTTCTACTTTTCCGTGTAGAATGAATTAAAAACCGTACCAAAGTTGTTCATTTCATTAGCGACAGTTATTCCATTTGCTCTTTTTGCTCATAGGCGGAATGCTTAGTTATTTCCAATAAGCCGAACAAAATAGACTTATTCTAATCATATGAGGGAGATTTAACGTACACTTTTCTATTCAGCATATTCAGCGAGTATATGTTTAGCCCCTCTTCAAAATAAGCCATAAGCTGAGAACAATTTGCATAATAAATGCGAGTGCCAGGACCAGGGCTAATACGGCCAAGGCAGATATTATAACTATGGCCAGTATGGCACTTTGAGGAGCTCATTAAAGTTGCATTGTGGGCTGACAGGATGGGAAAGGCTGAAACATTGGGCAAGGGCGGTAATTAGAGCCACATTAGGCCAACTGATGGACAAGACAAGATGGTCGACAGCAGAAGCTGAAACGATGCCAGGTGTTAATACGCAGTGCAAATTGAATTATCGCTCGGCGATGATAACGATGATGATGTAACCATAATTCCGATGTCCAGGAACTCGAGGAGCTTGGGGCTGCCAAACTGGCGTGCTATTTATTCATTAGCTCCCGCACACATGAGAGGGTCGAACGTTTCGGGCCCGATTGAGTGGCCAACACGTCGGGTGTGTGGGGCGACAATTCAGTTAACTGTTTAATTTGCTTAAAATAATTGAGCGCCAGACGTTAATTGTCCCTCGCTCTCAGCTGCGTTTAATTACCAAACTAGTGACATTTCAATCGAGTTAGAAGTGCAGGAAGAGTGGAGAAAGTCCAAACGACATCTGTTACTTGGCCAAATTAATTATGGAAGAAGCTTGAATTGCTTAAAACATATCAAGGGATCAAAACCGTACTATCTTAAACGAGTAAATATAATAAGTGTTAATTAATTTGTTAATTTTTTATACAGAAATCTTCCTTATATCAGAGGTATTCTTGTGGATTGCCTAATAAGTTGAAAGCGAAACTTGAATTGAAATTGAAACCTCGTTTCTGTTGTCAATATACACACACACACACACACCGAGGTACTTGACTTTTAAGTATTGGCTGAGCCGTGTTGTTGTTGCTGCCATATTGATATGCGGAACATGTTTTTTGTTGCCTTCTGCCAAGTGCTTTTACGTCATCGAACGAGTGTAGAGTATGCGATGGGGAGGTTCGTTTCTCCCAGTTAGCAGGGCGATGAATAGTTATACAGTTTGATGGCTACAAACTTGATTTTTTTATGCCAGTATAATAAATTTTGAATTCTTGGATTGAAATTTTCTTTAAATCTATCTGAAGCATAGGTAATTCCCATGTTGGTTTGGCCTGAGCATTTGCCATTAAACTGCTAACTTGGTCAATGTTGAATATTGGCAAAAAGGAAATAAAAACAGGTATGAGCATTTGAAGGCGTTTGTAAACACAGAAATCAATGCTGAGGGAGCCCGGTTCAGTGAGTTGTTGGCCCAAGAACGTGACGGTTGGGTATCGGTGGATGACTTAGCGGATTGCCCCCGGATGACAAAATGCCGGCTCCATGGCAGTGGCTCCTCCTCGGACTCCTCCTGCTGACTCCCCTCCAAACAGAGGCGGCCTCCAAGAGGGGTATTCCTTAGATGGAGCTCTTTCGATCGTGCCTCAAACTAATCAGTGGTCTTCATATTTAGTTAAAGCGTGCCTCCAACCGATGGTCAGTGGTCGGTGCTTCGGAAATGTGGAGAGCTTTGCCTACAACCCCATCAAGCGCCACTGCGAACCCTTCATCTACGGCGGGTGTGGGGGTAATGACAACCGATTCAGCAACAAGGCCGAGTGCGAGTTCAACTGCCGTGATATCTGAAGGTGTCTGTCCAAATGCCAAGACCAAACTCAAGCCAACGAGCGCAAAGCAACAATGCCTTAACATTAACTGATAATTTATCCTATTCTATTTCAGTTACAATTAAAATATCTTCCAGTGAAGTGACAAGTGTTTTTTAGATAATGTTACATGATTTACGAATTCAAAGCACTTTGCATGCAGTCCGATTACTTTACGCCGAGTGAAACACATAAAAGAACGAAGGTTTTTGCTTGTATTTTATGTTTTCAATGCGACGTTTCATTGGCCTTTGCTTGGTTCCGCCGCTTTATGTGTCGCATGTTGTTGCAGATCTTGTCGCAGTCTTCCAGGCTGCCGAAGAGCCTCTTGTTGCTGCAGCCCTTGTACTGGCAACGTTGCGTCTCCGGGTCGTAGTAGATGCCCACTGTGGTGGGCACACACAGTCCATTCGTGGTGGGCTGCACCTGGCAGAGATCCCCTGGAAACGAAAGCGAGCGTTAATGGAAAATCAAAAATTTGAGAGCTATCTTTAGCGTTAAAGAAAGGTATTTCCATCTAGAAGTACGTAATAATGGGCTTGTTCTGTAATACTAGATACCACAGATAGGAGCTTTATGTATTTTCCACTGATCTTTGTGTACTTACGCACTCGTGCCTCCGCAGGCATCTGCTGATCCAGGATCATGGCCAAAATCACACAGAGCCAAACGGTGATTCTCAGCTGACTGTGGGGGTTCATTGTAGAAATACTTCGACAGTGCTATAGGGGTAGTGGTTCCTCTGGGCTTTCGTGGATCAGTCCTCGCCAACCGTCGCTCCAGTTAGTCAGCTCTGTATTGCAGCTCGGCTTTGCTCCCTGGCACCGATGATGTCAATCTGGTTCAGGACAAACACAAATGCGCAGCAGCTGCTCGTCGCCATATATAGGAGGCTGTACGGAATGTGTCCGATTCCACCGCGATCGAAAGCCTCTAGTATATAGACGATCGGCCGATCCGTCAGCTTTGCTGAGTTATGTGTTCTTTATTCTTACACTCGTCGCTCTGCAAAGTTCATCCAGAGTGCAGGCAGCCGAAAAAGTCTTTGTTGCACTTGTTTTCAGCTCGCTGTGCAGATAGGGAATCTCTGGGCCCTAATGCTCGGCTTTGTGGACTTTGTCTGCGCAGTTTCGAGAATTTTTGATGGGAGAAAGAAACGGATTTGGATCCCCACACACTTGGTCGCTGACTAAACGTCGAGTGGCAAACTCGACTTGAAACCTCGAACAAAAGGCATCGAAGGCACATATTTGTAATCGGGCTGCCTCCGCGAGCCGCTCTGCTCTTGATTCGGATTCGCATTTTGCTGAGAGAATCCACACCGAGGAAAATTCCAACTGCTTGTGGGATTTATTTTTCCAAACAAAATTTGTTCACTAACGTTTTGAAAATAAAATTCGCTGGGCTGTTCCATAATTACCCATACGAAAAACAATGTTTCTATTCTCTGCATGTAGCAATTGATAAGACTTTGATCATCGAATTCTCACCCAACGGCAGATAATGCTCAGCCTGGGGATGTGAAATAGTGATCGTATGGGGGTTGTCTCTTCTCCCATTCCGGCTTAATCCGGCGAGTGCCTGTTGCAGAAGGCCAAGACAAGAAAAGGGAGATGCACGCCTGATAAGGCCACCGTGACGTATACGCAACGAACAGCGAATGCTCTGAGAAAAAGTCTAGCATAATCGATCTAAGCAATTGCTTCAGGGGAACTTAGTTAGGTGAAGGTACTGAACTCAGTCAGACGGATTTTGAAAGCCAACTTATCTCTGAATAAATTTTAAAATTATAACTGCTCAGCGATGTAACTAACCTATAAGATATTTCTTTTTATAGAGCATCACCAGATTATGCCAAGAAGCTTTAATTGCCGACTAGACACTTATAGTTTTTTCGCACGTTTCAGATGTGCGACAGCGAAAAACAATTACGTCACAGGTCAACGGGTCGGATGATTGACTTTTAGCCGAGATTAGGCACTTCGACGCAACTTGTTTGCCGCTTGATTTGATGAGAGCTTGCCGAAACAAATTCATTGATTCACTCGAACATTTGTTTACGCATTTATTAGTGTTATTCGTTCAAATAAAAGTCATGAGAACGCCGGAATCCATGAATACAGGTGGAAACGCAGTCCTGCATGCTGCCGAAACTCTGGCCAGGAACCACGTGGCAGCCGCCGATCTGGTACAATTTGCAGTCCATATCCGCGGGATCGAAGTAGTGTCCCTCAATATCGATGGCACAAACGCCCTCGGAACGGGGAGGCGGCTTTCGGCAAATACCTAACGATGAATTACAAACGGTCATTGTGTTAAATAATAAACTCCTTTGACGAAGGGCACTCCCATAACAGTGCTACCCCACTCGGTGGCTACTCACTGGGTAATGTGAATCGGGCTTCTGAGCCCTGGTGGTGGATCAGCATCAGCACCACCAACACCAACGGGAGCGAAAGCACCACCGACGCGGGATTAAGTCGAGACATATCGACGGGCGACGGGCAACTGAGTGAGTGAGCGAACACTTCCCGAACTCAACCCACCGCGATAAGGAAGCGGAGCAAACTAAAATCGTGGTGGCATTCACTTACGAAAATAACAAAACATTAATCAAAAGGCTTGCGCTTACAAGCCTCCCCGAAAATCCAAGATACATAATTAGGTTATTAAACTCAATTTTTTAATTTGAAAAAGCAAGTTTTAAGACGAGGAAGTGGAGTCAACAACATTTAATAGATTACTCAATAAAACACTAACACGGCAATAGGTTTTTAGTTTTACTTTTTTGTTTAATAAATAATTTTGTTGACTTAAAATTGTACAAAATCTATGAAGGTTGTCTAGAGCAGTTCGTGTATGTGAACATCCTTGCGGACAGCATTGTTGAATCCTTCCTTATAGCGGTACCAAATGGGGCTCTTCACAATAGCATCGGTTTTGGCTTTCAGAAATAATTCTAGTTATACAAGATAATAAATCGAAAGGGTCCGATTGACTTACCTTCCGCTGCTGAACTGGTTGAAGACGATTTGTGGGTTACTCGACCGAAGAAGTCCTTCGTGAGCTGAAAAAACATAATAAATTAATAAATATCGCAAATATTACATATTGTATTTCTGTCATAACTGTAGGGAACCATAAAAGAACTATAAAGAAATTCGTCTGAATAAAGAAGATAAGCAGGCAAATACCCCAGAATACCCCCATAAAGTTGAGAACAAAGTAGCTTGCACAGTCGCTTCCGTTTAAGATGGGCAATAAATGTTCGTTTGCGCTGATCCCACATTACGAGTCCAATGACAATACCGTGGAATCCCCTTATGGGTTATTAGCTTTTCAGGGATTTGCCACGAGAAAAAGAGCTTCGGCAAGAACAGCAGAGGAAACGCACTTCGGGATGAGGAAAATAAACGCAGGTTGGACCGCAGCATATGCGCATTTCGGTGAGAAGCAAAAATTTGCAAGTAAATTGCTGCTAAGTAAATGCAAGGCATGCAAATCCTCGTAGATTCACCTGCTGTTTGGGAGCACTGCGCATATTAGGCGCCGAAATTGGCTTCGGCTTCAGTGTTTGCAAATGGTTGGGCAGCTGAGATGCAGCTCCCGGGGTTTTCTTCTTCGCAGCGGCAGTTGAGGGTTCCCCACCCTTGGGGGCAGCCCGCCGTATCCTTTCCAGGTCCACCTCGCGGGCTATCAGCTGGCGACTGAAGTAGGGAAGCGTGAGTCCAGAGAAGCCTGTAAGTATGTGAAGAGGAAATTGCTTTAATTTGGTTTGGCATACCGAGCAGAGGACTCACCTGGAAAGGCACTGAGTGCATCCAGATCCGGTTCCGTCTGGAAGACATAGTGTCCTTCCTGGGACTTCACCTGAACGAAAGTCAGACCGAGATCGACCATCACCTCGATGGTGTGGCGCAGATCCTGCTGCTCCCTGAAATTAATTAATTAATGGCAGGAATATTTTGAGTTGATCCAAATTCACCCACTTTAAGGACAGCAACTGCACCGCCACGGAACGCAGCTGCGGCGAGAGAATCCTCTTCAGGAGCGGCACCGTATCGAGCAGCAGAGTCCTGCCCTGACCCACGCCCAAAGCCTGGGTGGTGACACCTTTGCTCAGGGCCTGGAAGATGTTCCGCTGGTTGGTGCTCTTCTGCTGGAGCTGCAAGGATCGAAAGGGGTTGAACCTCGGGTAAACACTGCGAAATCTATGCAGGAGCCTCATTAATCTTGTGATTGCATTTGAGGCACATAATGGACAAGAAATTACATGGCTTGATTGTGTTGATTATGCACTTTCCACAGGGCCTGGCCGGGGATGTTTGCCCTGGCTAATGACGCCTGCATAAATCATGAGCCTGCCTCAAAGAAGCAGCCTCTGCCTCTCTGTGATGAAAAGAAATAATGTGGCCCGGGGCCATCACCTCATCTCATCTCAACCCATCGCCATAGCGATGAGTTTCTTTTTCCAGCTCACCTCAAAGCCACGCGTGGGAAATGCAATTTTCGGCCAGGCCAGTGTGGCAAACAGCAAGTGCCAGACGACGAAGCCGTACTGCAGGTACGGGTACACACTGTAGTTCTGCTGTCTGCTGATCTGATGCTGCACCGTATCCGTGAAGCAGAACCATTTGAGCGCCTCGCACACGCCCGTGAAGTTCGGATCGGGCATCTTCTGTTGCAGGTAGTTCTCATAGACACCTTGGGTAAGTCTGCAAAATAAAAATTCAATTTAACTAAGGGGCATACCATTATATATACAATGGCATACCTTTCGAAATCACCACTGGAATGGACAGCATCCAGAACATTGCGAACTCGTGTGCTAACAGACGTATTGGTCATTGTGACTTGGGCGGGCTCGTCGTTTTTGTTCGCGTCTGCCTGGAGAGTTTTCCGGGGACGTTGTATCTGGGAAAATACAATACAAATTACAATTCAAATATAAACAAGTAATAAATATAAAAAATCCCTACTCGGAAAATGGCATCCCAAACTGCGAAAAGACCTTGGTGTCTGTCCTTCTGTCCTAGATTATTATTGAGCACATCTTGCAGAGTAAGACTGTGTTTTTGGGCACTAAAAGCAAACAAATATTAAATTCATAATTTTCAACAAGTGTTCATTAATCCTCACTTAAAGAACTGCATGGATGATATACAACTCCTCACATCATTGCCAGATTTCTCAGCCAAAGCTATCAGTGAACCAAAGTCCGTTTTCAGCTCCTCTCTGTGGGCAATCTTAACTAATCTGAAAGTAAAAAACTATAGAATAACAATCATTGCAGGTAAATATTTATACACACCTTTCCGCTAGACGCGCAGCATCGATGGGTGGAAAAGTGACCACAAAAGCAACTTGCCTCAATGGACGCAGGGCGGGATCATAGACATCATTGCAAATACAGATGATGGGTCGCTTTAGAACATTGTGTTCAGCTTTGGCGCCCTTGGCTTTCACTTTGCTGTATACGCCATCGCTTATAAATTTCACCAGGTATTCGATTGATTGTCGAGGTGCGCCATCGATTTCATCTGAAGAGATTATAAATTATTATACATATTATTGTGTTGAGGGGTTTTCCCACCTAAAATTATGCAATTGGGCCGTTTGTCTGCATTCAGCACCGATGACATTTGGGTGCCGTTCTCCAGAGCCAGCTTGAAGGCCTCTGGACTGCGATCGTCGGAGGCGTTGATCTCTCGGACGTTATAGCCAGCATGGCGGGCGATTGTGTGGGCCAGTGTGGTTTTCCCCAGACCTGGAGGACCGCATAGCAAGGCCACCTTTTGCATGGGCCTGCCCATGGCATCCACATTCGTGTTGAGGGCTTGGCGAGACTTGCGCTGCCGCCAGCCGCCGTTGGACTCGAACTTTCCAGTGCGCTTGTTGAAGCTGTTCAGCTGGTTGTTAGCTCCTCCCCCACCACTTTCACTCGCTGCTGCCTCCTGTTCCTGCTTGCTGTGGAAGGCCTTGCCAAAGACCACTTTGTCCCACATCTTCAGCCAGTAGAGAAGACTCCTGTTGGTCATTTCGTCGGAGAGCAGGTCGATGTACTTCCTCGGCTTGTATTTGTCGACCCACAGGCGGCCTGGTTCCGCATCGGAGGGTACGAGGGTTACATCTGCCTCGGATTCGGCTGTTGCGCGACTTAAGACCTTCAGGAAATATGGCATTAATAACTGGAACTAAGGTCAATCGCGATACTCACTATTTCGCCAGCTTCCTGCCATATTTTCTCTTTGGCTTCGCCCAAGAGACTGCCCACAACTTCGCCCCTGGCGCTGATCATGTCCAATTGGCGTCGTTCGCAGTCCTCGGAGTGGAATCGAACATAGATCCGTTCAAGGTCACTTCTCTGAATTGCCAAGAAGGGCCAGTTGGGAATATCGTACGAGAGGTTCCTCATCTTGAAGTCGTGCAGGGCCTTCAGGCGACTAACATCATCCTTCCGCAGCGTTTTGCTGGACTCCCGCATTTTCCGCCGCAGCTCCAGGATCTTGTCGATGGCTTCATGGTCGCGCTGTTCCTCGGTTCGAGCTTTCTTTACCATGGGATCCTCGTAGGACTCGTGAAAGAGATCGTCGATGTCCCCGAAGAGATCTCGTTCCAAACGCCGCTTATTGGCGTTTTTGAGGCCGACTTCTTGAAGCTGGTTAGCAGCTTCGTTAGGCTTTTCCTGCGCGAATCCCCTGCTCGTTAGTTGCGTGTTCTCCAGTTCCTGAATGGCAGGCATTCGCTGGAAGGGCGTGGAGCAGCCCCTGCCCGCCGAAGGGCCTTTTGGAGTCCCAAAGAGTCGGCGATTGACATGGCCTCCACCTGAAGTTCCGTCATCCCCCTCCAATTGACTGGCTCCAAAGGTAATCTGCGACAGTTGTGGTGATCCCAGCGTGGAGTTTCCCAAATGGGAAATATCCTTTAAGGCCGCCGGAGCCCTGTTTTCCTTTTGTTTTTCCGCCGCTTGTTTCGAGGTGCAGGGTGCATCGATAAGCTCGTCCGGCAGGTCCTCCAGCAGGTCCAATTCTTCTTGGTACTGCAGCTCGAACTCCTCGTTTTCATCGGGATACTGATCCATCCTGGTTTTCGTCGAATATCAGGGTAAATGTAAACAAGTGATTCCCTGAAACTCTCTGCGAAATTCCCGCCAAAAAAGCAAACAGAAACAGCTGATAAATAGAGTTGCCACCCAGTAAAACAGCCGTTTGCTGACTGACGAAAGCTACTTGCTTTTGAGCGAAACGGCCACACGTTTTCCCTACACCACCGGCGACCCGATTTCTCTTGGAAAATATAATGCAACTCACAGTTAGAGTCGGATCGGTCGCCCTGGCGGCGCTAAAATCGGGCAGATAGTATATAGATTTATCCATTATAATCGGCAGAACTGTAAAGTTTCTTCCCCCGCCCGTGGCAAAGTGAAAATCATGTGCTAGTAGCAAATATCTGAAAAAACAGCTGCGGTGGCAGAAAATTAGATTGCACATTTCTTTTGTTATAATCTCGCACCTTGGAAAATCAAAGAAAATTGAGAAAAATCAGCAAGAGGAAGAGGAGAGCAGGAGAAAACCAAAGCAAAACAAAACAAAGCGATATAGCATTTGTTTTCGTTCATTGAAGCACACACCCACACAAAGTGAGTGATAAAAATAATTTACGTCACCTACTGATAAGGTCAATAACAACCGTATAATCGCATGTGTTATTATCACGGTCGAGCTTGCACTCGATAAAACGTTCATCTTGTGACAGTAATTTAAAGTTTTAAAGTACAGTGACCCCTCAATATAAGGCCACTTTACGCATACATACATAAAGCAAATAGTTGCCCTTTGAACTCAAGGAATCTGAAGACATAAAACAAAAGAAACATATCATTCCCAATTAAAATTAACGCATACTGTTCTGCTCAATTGATATTGCTTGCAATAAAACTGTTCAAAATACATTTAACATAATATTTTTAACCTTTCAAGAATGCAAAACTGGCTGGCTTCGCACGACGGCGACGAGGATGCGATGGCGGCTCCATCGGCGTGTCCCTCGTCAGCGGAAAGCAGCAACCGAAGGATCTTCGGCGACATAACCACCAACCGACTGTGGACCTTTCGGGTCCTGATGAACCAGGACCTGGCGGCCAACGAGCAGCTGGCCATCGTGGGCAACTGCGAGGCCCTGGGAAACTGGCAGCACTCAGGAGCCTCCATTTTGAGCCGTGACAGCGGGGACGAGGACAGCAATCTCTGGACTGGCGAGGTCTATATTCCACGGCACTGCGACACGGAGTACCGCTACTTAGTCTGTGCCTTGGACCCGAGTGCCGAGCATCTGGTGGTCCGCCGCTGGGAAACCCACTTACAGGTTTACAAATTGCTTATCTAGTGACCCTATACGAGTGGAGTCCAAAATCCAGCGGGACCTGGGGCCGGATCTGATTTGTATGCACTCGTATGGGACGCAAAACCAAGGGTATTTAATATAGCGAGACTAAAGAGTCTCTTTCCTTGCAGCCTAGAGTTATCAGGGAACTGGACGAGCAGCCGGCCAAGGATTACAAGGATATATTCGGCTCGAGTAATGGCCAGGAGAAGGTCGATCGCGGGTGGCTGACCAAGGAGACCCTTGTCCAGCTGAAATTCTTCTACGCCCCCTTTACGTTCAAGCAGCGCATGAAAAGGCGGCACATCCAGGTCAAGGTGACGCCCATGAACCTAAGCATCCCGAGTGCCAGTTGTGACTCCCTCGCACCGGTCTCCCCGTTGGAGGATTCCCTATCGAACGACACGCACGACACCAAGGAGAACGGCGGCGAGTCCTCGACAGCCTTCGCCTTCAGCGAGGTGGTCACCTTGAGTGCCGATGAGTGCGAGATCCGCAGCCAGGAGCAGTTTGGCACCGCCTGCGGTCCCTCCGACTTGGTCATCTTCCACCTGACCGTCGGCGACTTCGAGAACACCGCCTACCTGATCGATTTGTACAGCTACAGCTCGCGAGTGGCCAGGGAAGACGGCCCTCCGAATCACCTGGGCTACCACTATGTACTGCCCAATCTCTTCAAGCGCTCCGAGGGCAACGTGGAGCTGCCGATCACCTGCGCCAAGGGCCACCGACCCCTGGGCATGATGCGACTGGGATACCTCATTGTGAAGCCCTCCTCGCAGTGCGCCCACATGGACATGAGGGTCAGCTACGCCCGCTACTGGAACAACAAGTGGACGGGCCTGGACGTGGGCCACCGCGGCTCGGGGACCAGCTTCAAGGCCAAGGACGCCGTGATCCGAGAGAACACCATAACGTCCCTGAAGAACGCCGCCGACCACGGTGCCGACATGGTGGAGTTCGACGTGCAACTCAGCAAGGATCTTGTTCCGGTGGTGTACCACGACTTCATGATCTACGTCTCGCTGAAGTCCAAGTGCAGCATGCAGGAGCACGACTTCCTGGCGCTGCCGATGCGGGAACTGTCCCTGGAGCAACTGAAGAAGTTGAAGGTGTACCACACAGCCGAGGGTCTGTCGCGGGAAACCCGCTCGTTCCACAACGACGACATGCTGGAGCACCAACCCTTTCCCCAGTTAGCCGACGTGCTGGACGCCTTGGATGTCCACGTGGGCTTCAACATTGAAATCAAGTGGTCCCAAAGGCTGGAGGACGGCAAGATGGAGGAGGAATTCGAGCATGTTGTGGACAGAAATCTCTACATCGACTGCATCCTAGACGTGGTGCTGCGGAAGGCCGGAAACCGCAGAATAGTACTTAGTTGTTTCGATCCCGACATCTGCACCATTCTGAGATACAAACAAAATCGCTATCCCGTCATGTTCCTAACGCTCGGAAGGACCACGAAGTACCAGCAGTATTTGGATCCCAGGGGCAACTCCATGGAACTGGCCGTGTGGCACGCGGTGGCCATGGAGCTCCTGGGCGTTGTGGCGCACACGGAGGACTTGCTGCGCGACCCCAGTCAGGTAACTTGATCCTCTCTCGAGTCGTGAACCACTCAGCCACGGACGCTTTTAGGTGAATCTGGCCAAGGAGCGCGGCTTGGTGCTGTTCTGCTGGGGCGACGACAACAACTCCAAGGACACGATCAAGCTGCTGAAGGACCTGGGTCTGCACGCCATCATCTACGACAAGATGGATGTCCTGACCAGCAAGGAGATCAAGGTGAGTGCTCGAATAATATTTATATGACACATATTTACCAACTATTTTTCTTCCTTCCCCAGCAAAGCGTTTTCCACCTTCAGGCCAAGGACAGCCAGAAGGAGCTGCTCAAGTTACAGGCCCTGGAAATGGGACATGTGTGGCACACCTCTGCCGACGGAAACGAGGAACAGCAGGCATAGGACTCGATCTGCTCGACTGTTTTATACTCATCTTTTCGCAGCGAACACCGCTCTGCTAGGACCAAAACTCATCTGATTTTCACTTGTGTGATTCATTATCATTTCCTCATTTCAACACTTAGCAAATTGCATTTGATTTTTATAAAAAGCTTAATTAAAATTGTACTTATTGTCTTTCAAACCAAAAAATAGGATCTTTTATTATTTTATTATAACCGCTCTGTACTTCAGCTTTACGTTCCCCAATCTCTAATAAATACTATTTTGAAGAACCATTTTAGGGTAGTTTGTATGTTGGGATGACTTTCAATATGTTTTTAAAATGATTTGCGAGTTGGATTGCATTCATGTAATTTTTTGCAAATAAATATTTGTTTATTTAGTTCACTATTAAGTGACAAGAAGTTCGCACAGGTGGAATTCTTGGCATCAATTAATTTAATTGGCTTAGTTTCCATTATTGACAATCACTAAGGTCAATCCGCAATCATTACATATAACAAAGTATTTAAAGGCTGCACGTCTTGCGATGTTCTTATGGCTGCCTTGCTTTTAAAAACCAAGATTCGATATGCCACTTGTGCCATCACTCATACGCAGTGTTGTAATTTGGCGCCACACCGAGTGAATGTCAGAGCAAAAGAAAAGTGAAAACTAGAAAAGACACTGCGCATGTACTCAGCTCGAGTGCGATGCAAAGAACAATATCAACATCCCTCCGGAGGGAACGGAGCGTGGAAGTTCCGTCGGTGTTGATTCGGTTTGTTCGGATTCCTTTTCAGTTTGTAAAATCGCCTCGAACGCTTTGGAACGCGCGCGCGAAGAGATCGGACGGCCAACTCCCCGGAAAGAAAGAAAAACAGAGGAAGGAGGCGCCCCCCGCGAAAAGAAATCGAGTGTAGTTTAGTAGTGAACTAGTCCTCAGTTTAGTTCTCCCCTTTTAACCGAAACCCAACTTCAAATCCAGCGTTTTCCCGAGTTTTCCCGTGTCCAGAGCCAACAGCCAAGAGCCCAGAGTCCCAGCATCGGAACTATGTTTATGGGCAGAGCGCAGCGAGGCCGCAGGATGAGAGAATAGGTGAGAGATCGGCGAAGGCGGGATATGGATTTATCTGGCCGAGATACGGCCGTCCCCCGGATATATTCGGGCAGTTCGCGGAGCTCCACTCCGGGTCACTCCGGGCTTAAAGCCAATGCTGCGGCGGACAATAAGGAAGTTTGTGATACACCGAAAACGGAAAAATCGATGCGTGCGCGACGACAACACACACGTGCACTATGTGTGTGTATATCAAGTATACGCCAAGTTAACCGAGGCAGGCAACTTCATGCCACAACAAAAACACGCTGCTTACAAAACACTCCTGACCTACTGTGTTGTGTGCACCCCAGCAGAACAGCAGAACAGCAGAACGGCAGAACAGCACCCCCATTTTTCACTCTGCCCCGCCAGGAGGCAGTTAAGCCACCTTCTAACTACTCTACTTGCGTGTAATGTTCTTTCTGGGGGAAGGAAATTCGGTGTAAAAAAGTACATAGCGCGGCTAAGGGGGGCCGAAACTCATTTTAAATACTTCTGCTTCTGCTTCTGCTTCTGTTTCTGCCTTTGGTTCTGGTTATAACTCTGGTTCTGGCCAAGAAGCGTGCGTTTTGTAGGGGAACCCTCGGGCTCTCCCCTGCTCATTAGCAGTGAATAAATAATGCGGCTAGGCAAACTCGCTTGTACGCCACACATCCTGCACTTTAAACCCATGAATATTAAGCCAGCGCTGGGCAATCCCGAATCGTCGGCAGAGTGTGTATAACATAATCATTAGCATTAATTGCAACTGAATTCCACCACTTGGCCGGACAGGAAAACTGCCCTCAGCGTGTGTTTGGCTTGTTATGTTTGTTTTGTTTATAAAGCCTCATGAAAATCGTGTGAGTTGTTTTGTATTTTTATGGCGCTGATTTGAAAATCGGCATCGAATCCGAGGGGCAGCCGGCTGCGGGTAAACAGCCAATGGAAACTGATGAGAATCGACAACAGAAAAATAACAGCCGGACAGACAGCGACTGGCAGACAGTTGGACCAGAAAAGCCGACGGACAGGACGCTGTTGCTTACTTGTACGTGATGTACACACACCAGTGTCCAAGGAAGTAGTTCCTATTTCAAAATCCGAAATTTCGGCTTAGGAAACCTAGAAAGTTTATGATATGAAATGGAATTTACTTTATCTTGATATGCTCTTCAGTCTAAACTTTCCTTTTTTATTAGTCTGCACAAGTTCACTAACTTCGTGACCGCAACTGTTCCCCTGGTCATCCACATACAGTTGTATCTGTGCGAGCGGGAGTGTAAACAATGCAGCGCCAAAACTAAATATTGTTTAAGAACAAATATTTGCCTTTTGTGCAAATCACGAAAGGCAATTTCATTATTCCGCTACGTTCGGCTCCTTTTACTTTATTTCTGTTCTAGACAACAAGATAGTCTTTTTTCGCGCCACTCTCCAAAAACGATGACGCTATCGATGATATGGTTCGACTATATTTAGTTAGATCTAGGAGAAGGAAAATAAAACCAAGTGGGATGCGCTTCACGAGCTGCTAATGGGTCAATTCAATCGAAGCGAATATTATGGCCAATTTTCCAAATAAATGGCCTTAGTTCGAGCGTTGAGCTTGTTGATTTTAAATTAAGTGAATCCGGGCATTGAGTCATCGGATGCATTCATCGAATGGTTTTGGATTCGGGGATTCATTGGAACAGGTAAAAAACCCTTTTCCAGAGAGTTCATCCGGCACGCTTTTACACATAACGAAATCACTTGGGTTTGGAATCGCGTACCCGCATTTATTATCTTTTAAGTAAACAAATACCGGAAAGTATTCCGCCATAAATTGAGGATGTGCGAAACTTTGGCACTCAACTGAAATAATATAAAATATGAGTGTTCTCAATGATTTGTATACAAAAATATTGATTTTGAATTGATTGCTGGTATATTTTACATTTGGAGGCGAGGTTAGGTTTTTTGTTAAGAAAATTTCTTTTGTTTACTAAAATCTTATTGTTTGAGATTTAAGCACTTATTTATAAATACGTTTCGAAATCGATAAAGGTTTTTATCATAACAAACATTAACAATGGCTAAGAAAGTACTTACCTTTCTATGTATACCTTTAAAGCTACCCTCTAATTTCTTTGTTCTTAAAATAGTTGTGCGTGCGTAAATTATGAACGTTTGGAATAGACTTTTTACTCGGCACATGTGTGTCTAGGTCATAAACTCGTAATTATGAACCATTAAAGAAAAGGGATCACATAAGCAACAAAACTTGCTTGTAGTTTGTTTATAAGAACTTTGGTTAGGCCCACTATATAATCTCAGGAATTCATAGTTTATATTCATACGTTATGGTTTTTCCAAGTTCTTAAATGAAATCTATCTCTTTCAGCACCATGGTGTACAATCCAGCCCCAACCTAGTGAGTACCTGAATGCGGGGATCCTTTGGGTATGCTCCTAACATCTAGTTAAACCATTTCAAGTGGGAGTCCGAGGGCTTGAGACCTGATCCCCACTGGGTGCCGAAGACTGGACCGGAGGGAGCGAGAGGAGAGTGAGGTGCCTGGGAAGAAAGGCACGCAGAACTGAATAAATCGTGGAAAAGGACAACGAAAAGCATCAGGTTTGCCAGTAACACTCAAATCAACACAATCCCAAGAAGAGCAGACTAAAATATTATCCAAGCCCACACAAAAACCCATCAACACAACCAATTCAAAAATATTCGCTGGAAAAGCCCCCAAAGAAATACCACAAGAAATAGAAACCTACACAGAAAATCGTTTATTTCAAAACAATATTAAATTCCTAACAAACAAAAGTTTATGGAATATTTATTAAATACCATTTAATTTATGTTCAATAGCACTTAAAAACACAAAAACAAACAAGACCGCAGGCTGCACACATTTTTCAACAATTTGTATATCATTGAATGGCCACGTTATAATTTAAATGATTGAGTTTTGAGTTCTTATCTGGGAAAATGACCTACATACCTAAAAAAATGCAACATTATGCGCACGCAGCCATGAATCTGATCAATATGGACTCCGAGAACCGGGTGGTGCTCAATGTGGGTGGCATCAGGCACGAGACCTACAAGGCCACGCTGAAGAAGATTCCGGCGACGCGACTGTCCCGGCTGACAGAGGCCCTGGCCAACTACGATCCGATACTGAACGAGTACTTCTTTGATCGGCATCCGGGCGTCTTCGCACAAGTGCTCAACTATTACAGGTGAGAGGATCTATTTAGCTCTTATTGGATTTACTAAATAATAAAAAACTTGGTGCTTTCAGAACCGGTAAGCTTCACTATCCCACGGACGTGTGCGGACCGCTGTTCGAGGAGGAGCTGGAGTTTTGGGGCCTAGACTCGAACCAAGTGGAGCCCTGCTGTTGGATGACCTACACACAGGTTTGTCTACCCCTCAAATATATTTCCCAACTACCCAAATTGATCTTGTAACCCACTTGCAGCATCGCGACACCCAGGAAACCCTTGCCGTGTTGGATCGACTCGATCTGGATACGGAGAAACCGTCCGAGGAGGAATTGGCACGTAAATTCGGCTTCGAAGAGGACTACTACAAAGGCACCACATCCTGGTGGCAGGAGATGAAGCCGCGCATTTGGTCCTTGTTCGACGAGCCCTACAGTTCCAATGCCGCGAAGGTGGGTTATGATAATGGGGCTTCAATTGGTGTACCAGACGTATATGTTTTTATACTTATATGACATAAATTCAGTCAGAAATGCATTTAACAGAAAACACTAGAATTCACTTTTCAATGAAGCTATTAATATTTCAACAATTTCAAGAATGAGTAGAGAAAACACCCACCTAAAAGTTCCACATAACACGAAGTCTAATGAGTAATTTCAAAAGAGTTTTAGATTTTAGTTTGGCAATATGTTCTCGGCGTCGCATCTATTTCTGTATTTAGTGAATGATTTAATGTGTACTTGTTTAATTTGCACTGATATGCCAACATATTAAGCTATTAATCATCTTGAAAATATGTCTTTATTTTGGAACATAGATCTACTTATGAAATGATTTATCTTGCAGACCATTGGCGTGGTTTCGGTGTTCTTCATCTGCATCTCGATCCTGTCGTTCTGCCTGAAGACCCATCCTGATATGCGGGTGCCCATCGTGAGGAACATCACTGTGAAAACCGCGAATGGCAGCAACGGATGGTTTCTGGAGAAGACACAGACCAACGCGCACATAGCCTTCTTCTATATCGAATGCGTATGCAATGCCTGGTTCACCTTTGAAATATTGGTAACAGTTTTAAATAGATACAGAATTCTAGAACTATATTAAATGTGGTTAAACCCCTACAGGTGCGCTTTATCTCATCGCCGAACAAGTGCGAGTTCATCAAGTCATCTGTTAACATCATAGACTACATAGCGACGCTTAGTTTTTATATCGATCTAGTGCTTCAGCGGTTCGCATCGCACCTGGAGAACGCTGACATCCTCGAGTTCTTCTCGATCATCCGCATCATGCGGCTGTTCAAGCTGACGCGCCACTCGTCCGGCCTGAAGATCCTCATCCAGACGTTCCGGGCCTCGGCCAAGGAGCTGACCCTGCTGGTGTTCTTCCTCGTCCTGGGCATCGTGATCTTCGCCAGCCTCGTCTACTACGCGGAGCGCATCCAGCCGAACCCGCACAACGACTTCAACAGCATCCCCCTGGGGCTCTGGTGGGCCCTCGTCACCATGACCACCGTCGGCTACGGCGACATGGCCCCCAAGACCTACATCGGCATGTTCGTGGGCGCCCTCTGCGCCCTCGCCGGCGTCCTAACCATCGCACTGCCAGTGCCCGTCATCGTCAGCAACTTCGCCATGTACTACTCGCACACGCAGGCCCGGGCCAAACTGCCAAAGAAGCGGAGACGAGTGCTTCCCGTCGAGCAGCCGCGACAGCCCCGACTGCCAGGTGGGTCCCAAAATGGAATAAAATAACTCCATTGCTCCATACAAATCTCTGAATTTCTTTAACGTGTTCCTTTTACTTTTCAGGTGCCCCTGGCGGCGTCAGTGGCTGTGGCACCCCGGGATCTGGTCCCCATTCGGGGCCCATGGGATCCGGCGGAACTGGACCCCGTCGCATGAACAATAAAACGAAGGACCTGGTCAGCCCCAAGTCAGGTGAGTGTTTGTGTGTCCTCACACGATTACACCACACCGACTCCCACAATCCAAGCAAAATGCAAGCCTTAAGCTAAGCCACAAAAATAAGTATGTAATAATTTTAAAACCGAGCTACGCTTTAAAGGGCACAGCCAAAAAATAACACTAAGTACTTAAAGCGAGTCAACAAGCCAAGCCAAGCCAACAAGTTCTTAACCTGTCTTTTAAAGCTCGCACAGCTGCACCCTCAGTTCGAAAGTAATCGAGTTCAATGGATTAACTTGCAATTCACAACCCAGTAATAAATACTCGTTATCCTTTGTGCCGTCTCGCAGTTTCTCCTGGCAAATGAATATAAATAACAATAAGAGCCCAGTAAATGCCAGAGAATACGAATCTGTGACCCCGACAACCCCTGGTTTTGGGTGTGCTTACCCTTTTCGGCTATACTATATCCATTATATAACATATCATTCGTCGTGTACGTGTATATATGTACTCTATGTAATTACCATGCATTTGAGGCTTCTTAATTCATACTCCAGTTTGTTAATTTATCCAGCTAAGCTTTTATTTAACGCAACTCATTCGAAGGGGAGCTGAAATGGGAGATCGATTGGATTGGGAAGAAACCACACCAGAAAATAAAGCAAAAGTTATAGTTATTCAACCTTTTCAAATCCCATCGATCTCGTTAACTCCTGCCAAAAAGCCAAAGTTTCAAGTCATTACCCCATCATAAGCAGACCTTCCGTTTTTCTTCACTCACCCAAGGCATATATGTATATTCAAAGTCATCTCTTTGCAATCAATTTAGGACATACTTTTTCCATCGAGTCAGCAAAGTACAAGAATATGTATCGTACCAATATAAATATACCCCTTCGCCAATGAATATGATAACCAGATACGAGACTCTTTATTATATGTACCTACTTCAACCTTTATTTTTTCATGTTGATATCTTTGCTCCAAGTACTTTCGTTTACTTTTATATAGTTTAATTTTATTGATAAACGATCCAATCCAAACCCCAAAAATCTTGTGTAAATAGATGAATATACAACAATGATTGGCAAACCGCGCGATGGCAAAAAGAGCAGGCTGCTCTAAGCCACAGAACACGACAGCAACCACAGAACCACGAAACAGCAAACCACAACCAGATCCAGAATCGAAACCCGCTGAAGAACCAATAACCCCCATACCATTACTTCCAAGCTAGAACTTGCAGTGAGAGATGATATTTTCCATATGATAACTTGGCAAACTGATCAATGAGTAAACGACGGAAAAGTAGGGAGAGAACCAAGCCCCGAGGACTGGATAATGACCAAATATCGGATATAGACCGGCGGATCGCGGTACGTTGGAGCGAAAGCACAGTTCTGGATGCCACATAGCCACATAGCCATATAGCCATATGAATACTATGAATACTCGTATGATTACTTTGATTACTCGTTTACTCGTGCCGGCGACGTCTGCTACCGCTATCTACTGTTACTACTACCACTCCAACCTGCTGTATAATCGTATATATAACTACAATATGTAATTTTCTACGTGTTTTCCTCTCTCTCTATTTCTCCACCTATCTTTACATACTCGTAAACAATATTATATACTCTATACTATATATCGTGTACGTGTTGTTCCTCAGTTCTGGCTCGTTCGTTCCTTCGTTACCAGTGTATAAGATACTATATATACTCAGATCTGTAACCGTATCTTCTCTCTCTCTATATATCTGTGTGCGTGTGTAACTTTGTGATTTTTTGTTCTAGTCTCTAGTCTCAGAGCCCCGAATCAGAGATCCCTAGCCACGTAAAATTGATGAAACATGGAAAACTTTGTATTATCTCGAACTCTTGTATTTCAGATATGGCCTTCAGTTTCGACTAAGACAGAAAACAGAACAGAACCAAAGATATTTTGTAATTTGTTAAGCCAGCTCAAGACACAAAACCAGAAACAAGAAACTCAGCAACAAATCGAAAATCGAAAAACGAAACGAAATCAAAACGAAACGAAACCTCAGTTGTATGCAATACCATACTCGTATGTAAAGAAATAGGAGTCCTCGGTTCTCGTTCATCTATCATGCTAACCAAATCAGCTAACCAAACCTCGGACTCTGCTGGGCGGGTGTGTGTTGGTTATAAACCCTTTTATCTCCCCCCCCAAAAAAAAAAAACAACCTCCAACTTTCTCGCTCTCTTCCAACCCGAAACCCCAACTAAAGTGTCAAATAGTTGAAAACTTCGAAACTAGTTCGTAGCAAGCAGAAACTCTAGAGCCACCTTCACGAATCCGACTTCCCAGCATTGATTCTACAAAGTTTGCCCCCCGACCCTTGACCCCCCACCCCCTGCCTGAGTCCAACTATCCCCCGAGCGGAAGTCTTGCGAATCGTAGTTTGAGAACTGTATCTAGCCCTATACTGTACTATACTACTATATATGTGTGTGTTTTTTTGACGAGCATGCTGCATGTGACCCCGATTTTGACCCGATTCCTAGAAGAGTGTGATTAGTGCTTCCCCAGTTGTGTGTGATGTTCGCATTCGCATTCGCATTCGTGTTCGTATTCGTGTTCGTGTTCGTGTTCGTATTACACCACCCCCAGAAACCACCCCCCACAACCCCCGTAAATCGTAGTAGTAACCAAGTGCACCCAGTAATTACCATCAGCAATTTTGAAAACAGTATGAACCAAAAGTTGCCTCCCACCTGCCATAATAAAATTCGAAGTTACCGAATCTGGACTCTCCAGCTTGACTAACCGACCTAATGAAAATAATATTTGTTTCTCTCTCTCTTTTTCTTTCTCTGTATTCTCTTACCACTCCTGGACTCCCACTACTATATCTATCTATTGTTTCCGGCTATGTACTCCACCCACCACCTACTTCCTATCCAACCGAAACTGATAATCCTTTCTCTGGCGGGGTTAAACAAAAAGTTGCTCAACTTTTCGCAGGTCCGCTGGGCGCTAGTATTGTGGCCATGAGTCCCAGGACAATGCTGGACCTGAATCCCGCCCTCGCGATGGGCAAGCCCTCGTTCCAGCCCAGGGTTCCCACGCCCCTGGCGGCCACGCCCCCTCCCAGCTTGGAGGTGGGATCAGCCGGCGCCACTGGAGCCACCAGCACCGCCGCACCACCTCCGCCAGCGGCGCCGCCCAGCATTGCGGTGTCCACCACCGCGAGCGTGGGCAAGGACTCGGGCGTCGCCACCACCACCACCACCACCTCGGCGCACCAGCAGTCGGAGATCAGCAAGAAGGCCTTCCTCTAGGAACGGCAGCCAAGACTCAGCCACCTGATGTCCCCCACATCGCCCATATCCCCATAAGCAATATCTACTCGATATCGATATCCTAGCCACACCTATCGTTGATCAGAGATCGTCTTTGTTTGAACCATATCTGCAGAACCTGGAGTTCGAAATGAATATTATATATTCCCCCGAGAGAGCACAGGAGACCAGCCTCGAATCAAATATCAATTGTGATGCTACTTACTATTCAAGACGTTGTTTGGTTTTAAAGGTTTTACTCAATTACCAACTAACGATTAGTTATCTATATAAAAGGCTAGAACCAAAGCAATAACCTCATCATGTATTTTATCTTTACTTATAATGCGACTAACATTTTAAAACCAATCCCTCTCTGATCGATCGCAATACTTGGACTCGCAACTTGAGTTGACCATATCACGACATACCTATCAATATCGAGCCTAACATAACCTTAGCTAAATATAGATAATCCAATTGCTTGACGACTACACTTAACCATCGAGAGCTAACCAAGCCAGCTAACCAAGTTTTTAACCAAACCAAGTGTTTTACCGAACGCAAGCTTACTAACGATCCATTTTCCACACAAACCATAGAAGTTAGTGCGACGAGGAGTGTATATAAACCTAGATGCTTTGTAACTCGGTTTGCCAGTTCCTTATGCGTTGTGTAAAGACTCGACGTCCCCAGTTCTCGTGGGGCAGGTCGGCCTGAAAGCTTTAATTTGATATACTCGTGTATTTATAGAGGGAGACTCCAACTCAAACGCGGCCAGGGGAGATTAATTAAACAGAAGCCAATCAAAAGTACACACACTCTTTTGAAATTCATTCAAGCCAGGCAAGTGTTGACTTCAACTTTTTCCCGAACTAAGAATAGGAAAGGTGTTGATTTTCTTCAACGTAAAACGCGAAAGTTTTCAGGGAAAAGTTGGAGCCCAAGAAAAACAAACGAAATTTTCCAGCTGCTGGCACTTTACGCTCATCACTCACTTAGACGCCGGGATTATCCTGTAAGCCAGGATAGAACCGCCTCTTATATTTTCTAACTCGAAAGTTGGCCCACATATCAAGAAGCTGGGAAGCCCGAAGAAAATTTTAAATTTCTACCAGCCGAAATGCAAATTATTTCTATTAAATTTTATTTGCTACTCTGCTCCCCCTCTTGAGTAAATGCAAAACAAACAAAGAATCCAGAAGCGGCAGGGAATTCCTTAAAGTTCCGTTCAGTTAACTTGGATTTGGATTTGCTGAAAAAGTTTACAAATTGCTGTGGGGTTAAGTGGGTGGATTCGGCCCGAAAGCCAACTGGCGTGGTTTAAAAACAAACAGGTTTGCAAATTGTTTTCCCCGATTCTCCTTTGATTTAACTTGCGCAAGTCATTAGCTAATTCTCTTGTACATTTTGAATATACTTATCTCTCAGCAAGCATTTGCCTACATATTTGTAAGAATAAACATGATAATTGCTAAGGAAAAACAAAGGAACAAAAACGCAAAGTAATAGGATGCAAAACTTAAGCAACATTGAGATCGAAGCTGGGCAACAATTGAACGAAGTTTGCGAAACATTTGTTAAGTTTTTACAATGAACAAAGCATTAATAATAACTAAATTAATATTAAATACTGCAAGCTATAGGAAATGGATACAAACAATTGTTTATATCGTTTTCGTTTTCTCGCTATGATTTCGAAAGAGTTTTTTAATTGTATAGTTAAGCAAATTGTATACTATTTGAACTAAACAAAACAAATTGTTCTCTCAATAACTCATGAACAAAGGAAGGTAAAGTAATTATATATACATTTATATATATATAATTGAACAAGTATATATATAAATTAAAAAATAAAGAAATGCAATAAAGAAATCTATTGAACACCAAATGATATCTGCATTTTGGTTGGCAACTAAACTATTTCTTTTTATTTAAGGCTGCCGTATTTATAGCGTTTATGGATCAATTCAAGTGTCTAGCTCCGCCACTTAATATGCCGCCCAAACTTTATGGCCATTTCGGCGTTGGCTTCGATTTCATTACCAAAACTTGCTATTGCAATAACGGCAAACAAAGGCTAGGCGAAAAGAAGTAGAGTTTTGGCCCCGAGGGCCTGACCTTCAACACTTGGCACAAAGACCCAGACAAAGCGGGAAAGAGCGTCAGTCGACCAAGTGTAAATCGGGTCTCCATTCACCTCTTTTTGGCCCCTGGCGATGGTCCAATAAAGCGCTTCATTAACCAGAGACCTTTTGGGAGGACAGAGGGGGGAGGACAGAAGGGGGTTTGTACAGCAGCCGAGGAAAAGAGCAAAAATTCCAATGCCTAAACGGGGAATCCCCTCATCCTAAGCCCAAAGCTATTTTCGACTGGCCTCAATCAACAGTTGGTTAACGGGGGTCAAAGGGGGCTCTTGGGCGGCTAAAAACTTTGGGGGTGGCGCACTTTTCGAAGGGGAGCACAGATTTTCTCTCGAGCAACGGCAATTTTTTACTATCCCCCCGGATTCCGTCCGAGTGAACTAATAATCCGTGAAATTTCAATTACAAGTCAAAAATTATGCCGCCCCCGCTCCGTCTTTACCTCACCTGTCTCCCTCTCTCCTCTTAGCCATCTCTCTCTCTCTCTCTCTCTCTCTCTTTTAGCCAAGTTGTAATCATTGAGAGCTTTTTTGTTGTGCTGGAAACACTTGGTTACTACACATTTTCGCCGACTGTTTGCAGAGTTTTCCAGTTTCGGTGGGGTTTTCCTTTCTTTTCCGGAGGAGGGGGCCTGGAAAAAGCTCTCTCCCCGCTTCTCCCGCTCTTTCTCTCTTCGGCGGCATCTCCCCAGAGAAACTGGCGCTCTTCGCACGCAATTTTTGGCTCTGCTCGTCTATTTGGCTACTTTGCATGGCTTTTGCTCCGCGGAAGAAAGCCAAATCTCTCGAAAGGCGAAAGAGAGAGTGGTGGTGCGGTGGTGCAGGTGGTGCTGGAGGCGCGGGTGGCTCCGCCGGTCCGGTCTCTTTGGCTGGCTGGCGGCGGGTTCAGTTGGTTCAGTTGGATTCCGACTGCCCGACGAGCCAGTCTCTCCCGCTTTTCTCGCCGCGTCGGTCGGTCTTTTCTCGGTCCGCATCTCCGTTTTCCCAGTGTACCAGTGCCTCGAGTGCCTCGAAAATATTGTCAAAAAATAGAAGCAAGAGGCCATACAAGTAATAAATAAAAACCAGCCAAGAAAGGCCAACCGTGAAAATATACACGCGAATTCCTGGCGTCAACTGTCGGCGACAGCGGCATTTTCCAGCACAATGTTGCTCCTCTGCATTCGGCGATTTTAGGTTCGTTGGGTGTCTTTGCCATTTTCCTATTTTGAATATTAAAAGCCAAGTGCGAGGACGGACATCAATAGCAATGACGCTGACAGTTTTCGCTGCCCCCCCGTCGCCACTTTTCCCCGGGTTTTCCTTTGCCAGCGATTAAGACCAGTCAAAGTTGTTGCCCGTTGCCTGGCTACGTTTACAAGCCAAGAGTCGAGAGATGCCATGCATTATACATAAGCTCTAGTGAGAGGCTTGCACCGGGAAAAATAACTAACCGTTTCACAGGTTTTCAAAATAAATAGTGCATTGGAACTGTCGATCTCCCAACCAAAATTCAATGGCATTTAGAAAACTAGTGTGTAGCCCTGAAATCCGAAATATTAAACAGCCTTTTGGAATCAATTTTCATTTATTTTTCAACCTTTTTTATATCAGTTAAAAATACCCTTTTAATAAAATCATAACATATCATAACATTAGCATAATTGTTTCATGAAATGATTTTCCTCGTAAAATCCTATAGGTTTTTTCCTGCATTTTGTAAGTGCTTTCTCTGTTCTGTACAAACCTATGAATTCTGACTTTTATGTTTTTGGTTGTACAGTCAAAAAGTATAGAATTTAAAATTTTTCAACGTGTGGAAGGAAATGCGAGAAAAGTTGGTCAAAGGGGCAGGGAATTGGTTAGAGTGGCGAAACCAAGCGAGAAATGAGTAAAGTGCTAGTGGCTGCTGGTCTCCAACTAGATTAACTCTGAGCCGAGCTTTTATTTTTTGAATCTGTATTATTAGCCGGGCACTTGGCGCCTCCAACTGGCCGCAATCAGAGTTTTCCCCCCTGGAAACTGGACACTTCTGCAGCTAACGCTTCGATGGCACACTCGTTATATATTAATGACAATTTCCCTGACAAATATTGAATCGATTGTAATGGTTTCTGGCAATGGTAATTGTAACTCGATGCGGTTAGTTAAGGGGTATCTGAATAATTGCGGTGGGCTTTGGTTTACCGGTTGATCAAGCGGAAATGTGAAACAGGTCGTATTCGGATTAGCCCGGATTAATTGAAATACTGGGAGGGTAGATGTGGTGTCATGTCTCCGTAGAAGCCTATCTTGTCTTAATTTATTTGCATTTATATTTAACAAAATATATTAAGATTATCTCTCAACTTGCAATAAATGCAACCGTTGCACTTGATTTCAAATTCAGAGATACGCATGAATTATTCCATTCACAGTAGAAAATGAACAATTAGTTGGAAAGTGTTTAAAACGAACTTTCTTTATCAACTAATCCAAACTAAAACATTCAAATGCATGCATAATTTTATCACGAAAAAGTTTTGGGGACTTAATAATACTCACTTTGGTGGCAGAAAATTGCATTCTTTTTCAAGCAACTTAAATTAACAAACTTTGACTTTATCAACAATGTGTGGAATACCAAAATAAATGAATGCATTTATGAATAGCCAAAACAAGCTCCCAAATTGAGGGGCAGCTCCAATACAGAACAATATAAAGAATAGAAATTTGTTGAGAACAATGACGATTATTTTTAGACTTTTCCGATCAAATGTTTTCCAATTTTGGCGAACAATGAAAGCCAAAAACGGTAGAAAAGCCAGAGATTTTGCAGTGTGTTCGCGAAATACCTAAAGAGAATTAACATCAAAGTTTACCCAACACGAAGAGTGACAATCTGACAATTACGCGACAACCCAACTAGAACCGCTGATACCGAATAAATGGCCAGAAACTTTATCCCAGCCCGAGTGGAAAGCGGGGAAAAACCCGCCGGAGTTGCTTCAGTTTCCGTGGCATACTTTTAGGCAAGCGCCGCCAAGGGGAAGAGCTGCGGTGGAAAGTGCTGGGAAAACGGCGGGCAGGAATGGCGGAAAATCAAGGTATCCAGCCGGTCGAGCCAACGTTTAGCGCAGTTCTTTGGTTAATTTTTTATGTGATTACCCAGCAGGCAGCTGGCAGGCGGCAGACTGTAATTGCATTTTAATATTGATGATATATTGATGCCGCGCCGTTCCGCGCCGGTCGAACTGGATGGATGTGTGTTCACTTCATTTATGAAATTTACATTTATTTCATTTAGTGACAGGCCACCTTTTCGGTTTTGATTAAAGCGATTCGCGGGTCACGAGCTGCCCTCATTTGAATATTTTGATTTCGCGACTCGCATTTGGCGTTCCGGCGCCGAATGCCGAATACTGAATGCTGAATGCTGGATGTTGACAGTAGCCGTCAGCTGGGAAAACAAGCAAAAGGTGAGCAGCGGTGGAAAGCGAGTGTTTGTCGAAAATCAATTGAACGGTTAAGTGCCAGGACACTTCACGCCGAATTTTCTACTCGCCCGCGCTGCACACTCAAAAAAACTCCCTGCTACTTGGGTATTTATCTCCTGTCTTTGGGTTAAAACCTTGTTTACAATTTATGAAGGCATCGTACAGGTAATAATCAAACCCACAACTTTTCTTGTTTTCCCAACTTGATAAGCCCTTCTGGTTCCTTTCTCGTAGTGAGCATTCCATTTCCATTTACAATATTAAATTTGTGTCGAAGGAGTCGTGACAGGACAGAACTCGTCCTGTCTCCTGCCCTTTTACGTTGTTCGTTTTTCCTGCTGAACTCCGCACAAATTTTGCTCGCCTCCCCGCCCGCAGACAAATGCATTATTTTTGTTTTTCTCTTTGTTTTTCCCCACTCGAATAACAAGTTCATTCCGAGTCCTGTAAACAATGGATTCCATCACAGCAGAATTCGTATATGTCAATCGAAAGTATTTCATTTCATTTCGTCCTGCTGATACTCCTCAAAAATGTTTCCAACAATTTCGCATTTTATTTTTCGTGTTTAGGTGCGGGAGTGTGGGAAAACCTTTTCCCGTTTGTTTACAATTGGCTTATCTCAGATTTGTCTATGGATTTCGATTACACTGAAATGGATACTTTGTTAGGCTGTGGCAACAGGACATGCCAATTATTTATTGATTAGATAGACATTAAGATTTATCTTTCAAAAGGGCTGCCATAAAACCAAACGAAAAAAAGCAAAAAGGACAAAAGCGTATCAATATCCGGGGATTGACCTGCGAGTCGAGCATTGAAACATTGTTTTTTGGGCCTCGGAAAGTCATCGAGTTGAGAGCCATGACCTTTCTGAAACAATTTCCAATTCGAGGCAATTTGCCGGTCGCCCCGCCTGGGAAAAGTTTTAATTAGATGAAAGTCATCGGCGTAAAGTGTGGATAATTTGCATATTTCAAGAAAATTCACGAAACATTGAATAAGACTCTCGGCTAATTTGGTGACTTTAAAAGTTTTAAATTGTTAAGTGGATGCTAATGAAGACACTGGCTGGGATTTTCTGTTCAATTTCAAGAAGTTTGAAGCGTTCAGCTGATTAACTTTTGTGTATTTATGTATTTGGCTTGACATGATTTTGACTGGGACTTCAAGATTTTATTAATATTTGAGGGACTGTGGCTGAAATTTATGCCAGTAAATCTTTAAATGAAAATTTATTTTGGCTTTTCAAATTTCATTTCAGAGCGCCAACTTATCCCATTCATTACAAGAAAACAAATTGACACTTTCCTTCGTCTTCCCTTTTGGGCCAACCCTCTTAAAACTTATTTCTTTGCTCTTTTCATAACAAGTTTCGAAAAATTCTTTGGCTTTCGACGAGTATTAATTCTCAACTTTCCCTAAACCGCTCAAAGAGCGGGCTCCCTGCAGTGTTTAAACCAATTAGCTTGAATAATTTGCCGGCGTTTGTATCATTTATAACCAGAAAACTTCTTAATCAAGCCGCACAAACCACACAAGGGTCTCCCCGGTTTTCCCCGAATTCCTATTCCCATGCTTTTCCCAGGCGTGCTTAATTGTCCTTCGGTGCGTTTTCTTCGCTCCTCCGGTTTTTGCCCACTCTTCCAGCATTTTTGGGGTTTTGGGTTTAATCCCGAGGAAACTTTGGGTCCAGGGTCTGTGAAGTGCATCTTATCTTAAGCACTTCCCAAAACGCATTGACAGACACTTGATGCTGCGTTTTATTTTCAGTTCCTCCGCTTCGGCCATCGCAGTTTATGGCTTGCAAATCCTTTGTGATTTAGTGGAGTGTCACCCCTTTGGAAATCCCTCTCTCAGCTGTCACATAAACCGATTAAACTTTGAGGAGCTTATGCATTTTGTATCTGTCAGCTATCTCGTATCTGGCAAATGTGCAGCTCTAAGCAGGCTTCCCTGCCACCTCCTCATCCTCCCAAATCGTACATATAAACACACATCGCTGACCATGACTGCAAATTAAAATTAGTCGAACATGGAGACCACTGTAGACAGTGTAATTGTTGCTCTCTTAGACCCCTTTATGATTCCCAAAAAATAATATATTTTACCAGCTTCTGCGTAAAATAATTTTTCAATAAAATGAATTGCTTTAATTTCGTTTCATACATTGCCAGCGGCAAATGATTCTCCTTAAATGGACGCCAATTTGCTGGAACTTCAATCCGTTTGAATGACACTCGTTTCAGATCCTTTTGCTTAAGGTTGTTGCAATTATGCTGCTTTGATGGCTTCTTCCGCTCGGTATTTTTGCAAAACTTTACTCTTCCGCCTCGCAGGACCGCAAATAAACATGCACAACTTTCCCTGCGATTTGTTTATTATTTCTCATTGCTCCTTGAAGCGACTCAACTGATCGCTTTGCTTTTCTTTCTGTTGTTTGAGGAGCAGAATAATTTTAAAGTAGAATAATAAAATAATGGGTATTACACATTCATTGTACAGCTAAAAACTGGAACAAAAGAAGTGAAGAAAGTGGAACAAATGGAAGAAATTCAAAGAAGTTGCTAATGTTGGGGCTTAAATGGAACTTCGTGCGGATAATAGCCTCTGGAATGTTTTTGCCCAAACGAACGAGTTCTTGTGCGAAGACAAAAGCTTATCTTCTAATTGAAAATTATTCATTTGGATATGTAAAAGACGGTCTTTAACGCCGTGAAA